GTTTTGCAAACCGATATTTTTGTGGTCTCAATATTATCTCCTTCACTCTTTTTTTGACAATATTTTTTTTTTTCCAGCTTTTACAACATATCTTGCCAAAACCCATTGTCTTCGGTGGTCCAATAATCCAAAACATTCTGTTATTTCTACTGATTTTTCCGACAAGTTGAGGGGTAAGAAGTTTTCATAATTCTCGTAGAGTACTCTTCCGTTTCTACTGACATATCCAATCCTCTTTGCTTATATTCCTCTCCTTATCCTTACATTTTTTATGAAAACTCTTAGCCTTTCTTTATCTTTTTTCGCAAGGAAATGCGCTTTTGGCGTTATGGACGATGAGGATATCATTAGTCAGAAATTAAAGGAGATGAGTTAAAAGAATTATACGGCGATGGTACTGGAGTAATATCACAATAATTTTCTATAATGTATCTGGATGGGCGAATTACCTGATGTTCTCTATGACTGAGGGACGATCTCCTTTTTGTGTTCAACTATCGATACCCAAGGGAGAGCAAAGAATATAATTGGAATATATGTAAGCATTGAAGGATATTTGGATACTTCTTTGTTATCATTCTAACAATACATAAGGGTATTGAAAGCTCCTCTTCCATAAATTTCATCCGGTGGCAATGGAGACTCTAAAACAAACAACAATTAAAAACACAAGAATTCATATTTTATATTTAACGTGCTAATCAAGTATAAAATTTATAACAAAAAAAAATATATATACCACAAATAAAACAAAATCAAATTGATTAGTAATTATTTGCCAGATAAATCAAGTGTCTTTTTATAAGTTTGTTCGTTGTAAACAGGTGTAAATATAGTGTCGGGTACTAAGAACGTGTAACAATTATCCAATGCAAAATCACACTATATGTAACACAAGTATCAATGTAACTTACCATATTCATCCCTGTTTTGCATTAATCACCGATTCCTGAGATATTGAATTGTATCATTGTATTATTCACCTTATTATTGAGAAATAATTTCGGCCCTCGCCGTCATTTATGTATATGAGCCAATATTGTATCAATCCTCCTCAGCCCCGCGAATATGATAAGTTTTTGGTAGTCAATGTACGATTTTACGATTGAATTGATTTAGTATAGTGAAATTTGGTATTTAGGTTTTTTAAAAAAAAATAAACTAACATTAAGATATGTTTATCTTTTGTATAAAAAAACAAAATACCTAAATTTGTTAGATGACTCAGATACTTAGGAGGTATCGATATAATTATTTTAAGAACTTACTTTTAATAATAAAGTATGTATATCCTTTGTTATAAATGCAGTATTTTTTTTAATTTCGAGTCCGTGGATCCTTACCCTACATGTAAACATACGAAAAAATATGTCTCGACTTACGTCGTTTCGATTTAAGTCATATGAACCTAACATGCCGTAAGCACAAGGACTGCCTGTAATTTATTTTTATATCTCATAACGCAGTCAATTATTATTTAAAACCAATGAATCGATTCATGTTACTTGTAAATTCCTATTTAATTAACCTATTTATTCATACAGCTAAGTTTCATCCACAATTCAGACGAATAGCGCCTCGCTAAACTTGTCAAGGTGCTAATTGACAAACTTCGGTTATTAACTAAATTTAAATCTCAATACGTTCTTCCTTCGTAATCCATAATTCAATTTCTCAATAGTATAATTATATTCCCTGATAAAGGTCTGGAATGCTGAAGCCGCAATTTAGTGAGTACAAGTCAAACTGAAAATTTACAAGCCCCAAAATCTTACATTGTTTTACTTATTTCTAGTACGGTTGATTCTACGTGAAATGCAAATATCGACAAATAATTAGTGTGACCTTTAAATTATTTAAAGCAAACGAGGTCTAAAGCATACTTGATTGTCTAATCTCTAATTTAAATATTTTGGTATTCGAGTAAATCAAAAATAATAGTAACATCATACCTAAAGGAAAGAAGTTGCATCACAGATAAGGAGCAGTTTGATCCCCCTTGTTCATAAGATCTAAATAATTATATTAGTACTAGCTGAACCGGCAAACGTTGTTTTGCCATGTATATTATTTCTAGGAAACATTTTTTTAGTTCAATAAAAATAACTATCATAAAAAATAGGGGTTGATCGTAGAGGGGTGAAAATTAAGGGTTGTATGTACTTTTGTATGCTTAAAATAAAAAAATAATAACTACAAATTTTGTATAAAAAATAAAATATTTTTTTTTGGGGTGGACACTCCTTATCACTAAGGGATTTGAAAGATATCTCTAGCTACTATCTGTAGCCGGTTCTCAGACTTATTTAATATGTATAAAAAATTTCATAAGAATCGGTCGAGCCGTTTCGGAGGAGTATGGGAACGAACATTGGACACGAGAATTTTACAAATATAGAGATTTTACCTAAAGCACAGATATGTGTCTTTTTATGCGTGAATATAATTTGAGAGGTGTTTTTAAGATGCGGTCACAAAGGACTATTAAAACGTTATTTAACTTAAAACGATTGCGAGTTCAAGAGAAACGTACTTTACCAATATTTTTCTAATGCTTACAACATTTTGTATGTTTTGTAAAAGAAACTCAGGGTATATTTTTAATTGAACCCTTGAATTATCGTTCAATAGTCATTAGTTATTCATGTATAGCAAACAAGATAATGAACCTCGTACGATCCTAATATAATCTAACATTATAATGATATCATTTTCATAACCCTTGTTTTCACGCTGAGTTTGTCATTATAACGTAAGGGGCTTATTACGCCCCCTGGCGTTAATTTACATTAACTTAGTATATAATTTACACAGAGTTAATAATAAACTCACATAAAAAAAAATATTGTAAATTTTTTTGTATGTATTTTATTTGAGCTTGATCCATGGTAGTCTAGTTATGGTTATGGTTTGTGGACTCAATTTCCGCACTTAGACTCTCACTAGGTCCGTTGTGCTTAAAGTCCTGGCGAACTAAGCCAGCCTTACTCCTTCTAAAAGCACAGACGCCTCCTTTGCACTTCGCAGGCTTCAGGGAGCGACCTCACTGCTCCGAGAATTTCTGCACGTTTTTTAGCCACAGCCTCGCATGCCAGGACATCGTGGGTGACTGATTCCGCTGCGCTGTAACAGCCTCTACACATGGGGCTGTCTGTCGCGCCTAGGACAAAAAGATGTTTATTAAAGAGACAATGGCCCGTAATTGTCCCTATCATTGTTTTGAGATTAGTTCTGTTTAAGTTAATAGGATATATGGAAAAATATAAAAAGTTTAGAAGTTGCTTTGTATGTTGCGGGTTAACTGCTGGCACAGCCACTTTGGATTGTCTGCAGTCCACACTTCACGGCCATCGTTGATGTTGGAGTTCTATGTTGATGTAGTCTAGTTGAGCGTACTCGGCTTATAATTGAGGTGGTGCATTCAAATATTGACTGTGTACAAATAATTTCGTTTCTATGACCGAAAATAACACTTGTTCAATATAGTGAAAGGAACCGTACCTTAGATTCGAAAATTGACGACGTATCAAACCCAGACAGCTAATTCATGCCCTTACAATGGTCCCACAAATGTTAGTTTATTAATACCCCACTTATTATTACAATATATTTGCCCTTGGGTTTACAATAGGAAAATAACATTGTTTTTTGTTTTTGTCCATATATATTAAGTGCATCAAAACATTTCCGAGAATTTTATTTAAGAATTTGGACTTCACGCATTATTTAAAACATTGAATGTCTGACTAAAAGAAGAGTGGCGGAGAGTTTATTGCCAGTTCTTCTCGTCCATTCTACGCCCTTTATTTTAGAACTGGTAGTAAATGTAACATTAGAAGCATTTCATAAGTATTTCTTTATTGATGTTCATAAGTGACCTAAATGAACATGATGAATGATTATGAATGATGATGATGAGTTTTGTATGTAGCGGCTTTACTTCAGATAAATAACAATGTCTCTATCGGTCTTAAAAGTCAGACATTGAACGGTCGTAAATTCTTCATTTTGCTTGGTATAAATCTATTAAGGGCGCGATTTACTAATCATCATCTTTTGTTTGATTGATATTTATTCTAAATTAATAAATATTTAAGTAGGGCCAAATGTATATTTATTGAAATTTTATATCAAAAAGCTCTGCGATCATCATTGAGCCCACGACGGTAAACTACTAAAGTTAATAGAACTTAGTACAAGTCGGCCGTAATAAGAGATCACGTCTCAATCAAATAAAATAAACCCTAATTGTAGGTAACGAAGTCAATTACAGCTTATCCGAAAGCACAACAGAAACTTTGCTTTCTAGGCCTTGTTGAAAATAGATAGAGGTATTGGCGATACTTATCATTATCTTTAAACTTTCTACTGTTTTTGTCCTATTCTTGCGTGAAACAATGTGTTAATTAAAAAATCTTATTATTAGTTGTCTCACACTAAAATAATGTAAATTTATGTGTTTAAATAATTTAATTTTAATAGTTAAAATTTTGTTTTTTTCAGTATCGCTGGTGATAGCCAATTATTGATTATTTGTGTTTGTAATTTTATCAATGTATGTGTGTTTTAATCAAATAAACATTATTCTTTCTTTGTGCTAGAGGAGATTTTCTCCATGGTTGAATTGGTCAAGCGTTTCTAAAGTTTATTTATTGCGTTAGCCCAAAGATCCTTTATTAGCTAGTCGTGAAAAAAAATATTATTGAAGTGAAACTTCTTTATCGACGTATGGGAGAAATTTTGTAGCAAATCGTCACGGTAAAAGGAAATAATTGTATTTGTATTCATGTCTATAATAATAAAAGCCTTTTGTTTAACTTTATTTAACCAATTTCTGTATAGTTGCATATAGTATATCATTTTTCGAAAAATAAGGTCATAAAGAACTTTCACTTCTTACGTGTGTACACGCACACGAATAATGAATGTACACGCAAAGAATAATGTTTATTTGGACTTATGTCAAAATGTAAATTAAAAATAAAAATTATATTTTCAGAATGCTGTACTCATCCCTTGTCCTCATCCTCGTGATCGGTGCGGTGACATGCTCGCCTGAGCGCGTCCAGAATGAAAACGACCAGAACCATGAGCACGACGCACATGAGGAGGGCCATGTTGCCCCATTGGAGAAGAGATCGCCTCACTATGACTTTGGATTGGGCAAACGGGCGTACAGCTATGTGTCGGAATATAAACGGCTACCTGTGTACAACTTCGGGTTGGGCAAAAGGTAAATTGTGTAATCAATATTATAAGAATTTACCTTTTTGGCAGTAGCATAACAATAGGGAGGCAGGGGTGGCAAAATGCCACGGGCCCCCGACCCAAGAGATGTTATGTTCTATGGATAATTGTGAAGTCTCCAATACGCATTGGGCTAGCGTGGGGACTACAGACCATTCCCTCTCGCCTAAGAGAGGAGACCTATGGCCATTAGTGGGACATATACAAGGTGTAATTGAGTATGCTGAAAATCTCGAAGTTTAGATATTAAAATTAAACTGAGTACAACGTGACGATTTTTACTGATAGGGCGCCATCAAAACAATTTGCCACAGGCCTCAGATGGTATAGTCACGCCACTGCTTCCCGGTATAACTATATATTAGAATTACTTTCCGCCAGGAAGCTGTATGTCCTAAAAGTACTTTTGGGGGGGGGCGGGGGGGGCGGGGGGGGGGGCCGGGGGGGGGGGGGGGGGGGGGCGGGCCCCCGGGCCGGGGGGGGGGGGGGGGGGGGGGGGGGGGGGGGGGGGGGGGGGGGGGGGGGGGGGGGGGGGGGGGGGGGGGGGGGGGGGGGGGGGGGGGGGGAAGGCGGCCCGGGCCCCCCCCCCCGCCCGGGGGGGGGGGGGGGGGGGGGGGGGGGGGGGGGGGGGGGGGGGGGGGGGGGGGGGGGGGGGGGGGGCGCCCCGGCCGGGGGGGGGTGGGGGGGGGGGGGGGGGGGGGGGGGGGGGGGGGGGGGGGGGGGGGGGGGGCCGCGGGGGGCCCCCCGGCCGGGGGGGGGGGGGGGGGGGGGGGGGGGGGGGGGGGGGGGGGGGGGGGGGGGGGGGGGCCGGGGGGGGGGCCCCCCCCCCGCCCCCCCCGGGTCCGGGGGGGGGGGGGGCCGTGGGTGGCCCCGTTTGGGGGGGGGGGGGGGGGGGGGGGGGGGGGGGGGGGGGGGGGGGGGGGTTGGCCTGGGGGGGGGGGGGGGCGGGGGGGGGGGGGGGGGGGGGGGGGGGGGGGGGGGGGGGGGGGGGGGGGGGGGGGGGGGGGGGGGGGGGGGGGGGGGGGGGCCCGCCCCCCCCCCCCCCCCCCCGGGGGGGGGGGGGGGGGGGGGGGGGGTTTTTGGGGGGGGGGGGGGGGCCGGGGGCGGCCCCCCCCCCCCCCCGCCCCCGGGGCGGGGGGGGGGGGGGTGGGGGGGGGGGGGGGGGGGGGGTTTGGGCCCCCCCCCCCCGGGGGGGGGGGGGGGGGGGGGGGGGGGGGCCCCCCCCCCCCCCCCCGGGGGGGGGGGGGGGCGGCCCCCCGCCCCCCCCCCCCCCCCCCCCCCCCCCCCACGCCCGGCCCCCCACAACCCCCCCCCCCCCCCCCGGGGGGTTTGGGGGTTGGGGGTTGGGGGTTGGGCCCCGGCGGGGGGGGGGGGGGGGGGGGCTTTAAGACTGACGTCACCAGACGCAATATGCAGAAATACTACATCTATAATAAATTAAAAGGGGTTGCTTAAAATCCACCCGCTCGCAGTCCACAATCAAAAAAACGGTTTAAGCTCCTAAAACCTAATACACATTACACCCACTCACTCACTAACATGCACCCACATACTTACTCATTCACTCACACACTCACTCAGGCACTCACACACTCACTCAGGCACTCACACACTCACTCAGGCACTCACACTTATGGAATTCACTATTAAGGTTGTTATAGAACCGTTGGGAACACTGACACAGGTATTTTTTACTTAAAAGGGTTCCCAAATCTAACACATTATAATGAATTGTTTTAAATGAATAAACACATTTTTAAGAATGATGCGAACTATATTCGGAGTTAGGAGCCCGATTACTTAAAGATTTAAGGGATTATTTATTTATCAAAAACAAACTATTCTTACATACTGCAATACGATAGTGTCGATCATAAAATTAAACTATAAACTATTGATTTATCACATTTATTACACAAGTTTACATAGGATATATAAAGTCGGTTATTCATAATTAGAGACTGTGAATACGTCCTATCAGTAATAAACAATCTGTGAAAGTTCTAATTAAGCTAAATAAAAGCTACTGCGAATCTGATCTAAGAAAAGGGTAATAATTCTCTTAATCTTTCTCTCTCTCTCAAATTAATTCGCTTTTTTAAGAAAGATCTTCTAATCATTTGTGAATGCTACTCGCACTCGTTATTAGAAAATTCCCTTAATTAAGCAAATAAATATAGGTATTTCTTGGTTCGTATCATTTTAGAATTTTTTATCTTAGGTCGCGACCATACTCCTTCGGACTTGGAAAGAGATCCGTAGACGAAGACACTGATGAGGATTTCACTAATGATATTGACCAGGCAACACAACCAGAAGTCTTTGAATATGAGGAAGCGCCAGGTAAAGAACACTTTGTTGTAACTTCTTTAATAACTTTTTCGTAGATATTACAGGCAAAAGTGTTGTTGTAAGTTATAAGTATTTTTTGTATACACTGGTCCTACTAGGTGCGATATCTGACAAAATGATTGTTTGTAATTAGTGTAAGGGCAGATCAATTTAGCAAATGAAACAATAAATCACGTGAGAAACATGTATTGAATGATTTCACACCCTATTTTAGGTGTCAAACTGTGTTTAAATTATAACAAAATGTGCTAAAAAGCATTCTTTACTTCTAGGCAAAATATGATATCTATTATTTCTATATATTTTCAGAGTATGAAGTAAAAAGAGCTCGACCCTACAGTTTCGGTCTCGGCAAACGATTCGTAGAAGATGAAGAAGAGGAAAAGAGAGCCAGAATGTACGACTTCGGTCTAGGCAAGCGGCCGCATTTATACAGCTTTGGGCTCGGGAAACGGGCCAGGAGCTACAACTTCGGCCTTGGTAAGCGTCTGAGCAGCAAATTTAACTTTGGGCTTGGCAAACGTCAGAGGGACATGCACAGATTTGGATTTGGACTCGGCAAGCGATCAGAGAACTCTGAGGACAGCGAATACTTTGACGTTTAAATGTTTATTACTGGCGGAGCCATTGTTCATTTATTCCTTTCGACAAAAGAAGCATCCTTCACAGTCAAGATTGAATCATAAACATATGAATTAATAACGCTATATGTATGATTATGTACTTCCCTATGTACATTTGTTACTGACTTATCAAATATGGTGTTTGTTTTAATTGAATTCAGTTGCGAAAACCCCAGCCTATTTTCGTAATTGAATTCCTTCATTCACCACCTGTTTGACGTCTTCAATTTCCTAGTTGACTTATTAATAATAAACCTTAATTTTGGTAATATAAGTTGTTGTAGTGATAGTTTCTGTAAAATATTGTTAATCGATATGCTTGTAATTTACTATGTGTCTACGAATTTTAAGATATCCAATTTAAATGAATTTCGTTTAACAAAATCAATTACCACGAAATTAGCTCGTTGTGCCAAAGTTTCTAAATGACTTTTAAAACCGTAAATTAATTGTTTTATTACTGATATCTTAATTATATTCATACATTTCGAAACAGTATTGTAGCGTCTAATCTAGTTAATTATCATAAAAATTCGTGGATTCATCAAAACTAAGTATTGTGAGACTAAGCTGTTTTGATTATAAATGTACATTAAAGTATAAAAATCTTAGATTATTGCATCATTATTTCGTTTTTGTTCTATTTCCCTAATACTTCATACTATTAAAATAAAAAATAAATCAGTGGGGTTACAACATTTTTAGGTGTGGGCCTCAGATTTCTGAATGTGTTTCATGACAAGGCAATGGCAAGTAGGTAGGTATGGATCAGCCTCCTGTGCCTGACACAACTTTTTGGGTCTAAGGCAAGCCGTTTTCTTTACGATATTTTCCTTAACCGTTAGAGCGAATGATAAATGCGCACATAGAAATAAAGTCCATTGGTGCACGGCCTGGAATCGAAGCTACGACCTCAGGGATGAGAGCAGCACGATGAAGCCTAGGCCAATACTTCATACTACTAACTTAAAGAAAGAACAAGTTAAACAGTTTAACTTAGTTTAGTTTCTTGTTACTATATAGCAGTCTTTCTATGAACGAGATCAGTTCCTTATATATTTAAATTGCAATATACAAGCACATATTTTAAATGAATACGCTTCACCAGACTGACCTCAACTTATTCATTATAAGGGTCACTTGTGCCTTTGGGCTGTTAAAGTTGGGGGGGTACGGTGCCCCCACCCTACATAGTCGCATCACTGTGTCTTAAAGACATGTTCAAACCTTTTTCTCTCTGCCATACCCACTGTTGATTTTAAAGTATATTGGGGAATTCCACTGGATGACATGACGATATCAATGTACGCCAAGCTCACCACGGAGACCATACACGAACATTGGAGAAATGAGATACCTACAACTTATTCACTTATAAGGGTCACTTGTGCCTTTCGGGCTGTTAAGGAGCGTTCAAGTATTCGTCACGCAATTTTTGGAGATTATTGACCCCCCATGTACCCAATAGAAAAACGTTTCGTGACCACCCAGTGACTCTTTATAGCTAAAAGTTACCATTATGTGCTGTAAAGTACTGGAAAGTCGAAAAGATTTGTATAATGTTGCACAGTATAATGGAGAAGAAATTTGTGAAACTCAGGGAATGCCTTTTCTATGATAATGAAATTGAAAAACGGTATCTTCAAACAAATAGGCTTAAGTACAGGAAGGCCCTTCCTGTCACGGATTTGAATCCATTAGGTACTTTCGGGTTTTATTACTGATCGAGTGGAAACTCAAACGATAGCTTATTTGAAATGAAATATTTAAGCAATAATTCTTCTTTTAGAAATTATCATTAACGAGCTTGAAGTGGAAACAGAGTAATCTACACATTTTAAATGTCCTGTATTTTTAAATATATAGGCAAGAATAGTCCTGGAACCGCAACCTAAAACATCCTCAAACAATAACTAGTTTATAATAATAATAATTTTATTTGCATTATTAATATTGTACAAAAATAGTTTCGCACACATATAATAATGCCGTGTTTTGTCAAAAAGAAAAAATAAAAAAAAATTACATTACATTATGAGTCATATTACTATAGTCAATTCTTGTATTATTATACCACTACATCATCACCTTATAAAAATATATTAATTATAATCTTTCACTTCATGCAAATAATCATTTTAGAATAATTTTTTTTCCACTCTTACTTACTGTGATAATTTTTCCCGTGCAACATATTTGTTAGTAATTTAATATAAAACGATAGAGGTTTTAAACTGTTTTCGCTAAGTACAGCTTGGCATTTAAACATTCCATTATTCTCACAAATGCTTTTACTAATGTAGGTAAGAGTGAGTGAGCAAAGTTTGTGGAAATATCTATTATGTTAAGTTTATTCGAGATGTGTGGGGATGATGAATGGAGCACTTTGTTCGCGTGATTGTGAGTGGGCAATAAGCACTCTGGGGTCAAAGTTTCCGATGGTTGAACTCTGTAAAATAAAAACATTATTGTTTTCTTTCGATCTCGAGCTGTTAGCTCTCGGCAAAGTAATCATTACAATATAAATATTGATTTATGTGTAAAGCCTGATTTGGTTAAAAACTTACTGATGGTAGGTACATTATCTATCTAAATATACTGTCATGATCGTAGAACAATGTCGGATTTGAAAAAATCCAATATCCACTTTTTATCATATTTAGATACTATATTGACTATATAATACGGCTACATGAAAAAAAAATCCATGTGTTTTAAAATTCAAATTAATCAGTCGGTTAAGTGACGGATTTGATAGAAACGTGTGATTTTTATAGAAAACTGTGTAATTTAATGTTATTATTTTTATTTTGTTTCAAAACAAACCCTTTTGTTTGCTTGTATGCCAATTTGCATAATAATAGAATATGAATTAAAATAGTTACGACAAAAACTAACAAGATAATATTATTTTGAAATGGCTGCCCTGTAAAGTTTACTATTTGTCAGATCCGTCACTATTCTACGACAATGACGATAGTTGGTCCATGCTCCTATTTACAACAGAAACACACGTCATTTACTTAAATTTGATTCACTTAATATTAATGTAAAAGTAAAATTATGTACACAAATAATAGTTAAGTTAAGTATAATATAATACTAATATGATATCTTGGATCGATATTTATATATCTTTTACGAAACCAAACTTAGACTCGAATATAAGTGTGTATAAACTCTAGCCAGGATTTGAGAAATACCTTAAAATCTTGAAATATTTCAACCTAAAACTTATACTCTTCTTTTTAATATTATACGCAATTTCTTGGCTTATTTTACCTCGTATTGTGCATACAACCCCTTTGTATTACGAGTACCTACCTGCACGAATTACCAACTAACCTTTTATTTGGGATAAGGAAAATTACTTTTATGTATAAGAATGATAGTCTTGAAAGTATTTTAAGCGAGGCCGTCAAGTAAAGTATGGTATTCAGATGAAAAGAGGGTATTTTCTAAGTCGTAAATACGGAAATCGCATTACTAAAATTTTACGACTCTTGTTTAAAATTTAATTAATAAAAAACGAATACATATATCAATCATATATACAACAAAGGTATTTCTGTCGACATGATACTGAGCAAAACGATAAAAAATATACGGAAAGGAAAATTGTATTCCGTGAATTATTAACATACATGACAACCGCTGATAAAATTATTAAAGTTTTACAAATAACTACTTGAACCTACCTAGACATGTTAAGTTGTACTAAAGAGGACTCTTGTTGGACTGATTGGGATCCAACTCATCTATCTATCTTCTATCTATATATAAAAATGAATTGCTGTTCGTTAGTCTCGCTAAAACACGAAAACAGCTGGACCGATTTGGCTAATTTTAGTCTTGAATTATTTGTGGAAGTCCATAGAAGGTTTAAACAGTGGGAAACATAAATAATAAGCAAAGAAACACTCAAAACGACAATGAAATTTTCCAATAAAATCTGTTCCTATTGTGTTTTCCTATGTCTTTTTAGAAATAAAGAAATATCACTTGGCTGTCATATATAGATGCCTTCAGTAATGTGTTTCATGGCTATAGTTTGAGTCTGTTTCAAAAAGTTGTATTACGTTTTGACACAAATATTTGTAGGTGATACGAAGTTCACGAGTTCATCTAGTATCAAATAAAAAACCTAGTCAGTAGACCAAAATTCATAAAACAAGCAAGCAATTTTTCCTTTCCCGTCTCCTACCGTATTTATGTTAAGAAGTTTTCTATACAAAATATGACTGTCTTACCACAATTAAGCTCGGCGCGGCGTAGTATATAGAAACGACAGCGCCATCTAGCGTGTAGAGTGTAAACCAAACGATCCTTTGTCGCACCACAACAATGCGGTGAAGTTTAAACACAGTCCCCTTTGACGTTCAGTGTTATACATTGTCCTTTCGGAATAGTTTTGTTGCTTGTCATACAAAAAGCCTCATCAAACTTATACCAGAAACCTAAAGCCCCAATTATCTTTTATTCTTATTATTTTTCTTGGTATTCAAAATAAGACGAAGAGAATTACTAATCTATCTAAAGGCTACAATACATTCACAATAAGCTATTTAAATCTAATATATAAAATTCTTGTGTCGCGGTGTTTGTAGTTAAACTCCTCCGAAACGGCTAGACCGATTCTCATGAAATTTTGTGTGCATATTGGGTATGTCTGAGAATCGGACAACATCTATTTTTCATCTCCCTAAATATTAAGGGTAGTCCACCCCTATTTTTTTTTAATTTTTAGATACATTTTTTTTTTTTTTATGATACAGCAGTAAAAAATACATACAACCCCTAATTTTCACCGTTTTAAGATCAACCCCTATTTTTTATTATTAATGATATACATGGCAAAACGACGTTTGCCGGATCAGCTAGTATTCATATATGAAGTCTAAAACTAATTTTATACTATATCGGATATTTTTAGCCAAGCAGTCAGTCACTAGAATACGTGTAAACTAAGTAACTATTAAGCTGCGAGAGCAATTGGAAAATGGGAGCATGCTGACGCTGGACTGTAGGAGCAGAGACCATGGCAAATATGTTTTTCTGTATTATCATTACCCACGCTAAAATAAATTCATATGAACTAAAGTGTTCGCAAAACTATAATTATTAAAGGTATTAATTTATTCTAGTGCTTGGAAATTAGATGCCTGGCGCATTTGAATGATTCTAAACATGGTCGGAAAAATTCAATTCCGACTGACTCTCGACTTGTTCTTCACAGATTGTGTGTGATAATAATAGACAAATAATTTTAAAATACTACTGTGTATGTACTAGAAAAGGGAGAAGTAAATAGTTTAAGAATGTCATGAAAGTGGATGCAGTGAGAGAGGGTTGTCTGGACCGCAGCAAGTGGAGATCCGTGATCTCTGCATACACCTTCGAAAAGGCGTGATATTTGAATGAACAAATACATGAAATAAATTTTGAAATAGGATTATTTATTTATTTCCTACACACAAATATACATTATTTACAATTTTCTTAAGCTACATAGTAATAAGAATAAAAATTAATAAATAGAAAATTAAAAAGTTTCAACGAATAAGTATCGTAATACAGCGAGCAATGCTAGAGTTAAAGGTACACTGACAGGGACCACGCTTTTTAAATTTGTTTTAATTTTTAATTTTAAAATATGCTGAAGTCAGTAAAAAACTTACATTCATTATTTTTCAAATATAAGTAAAAAACAAAAAAGTTTTTGTAAAAACTGGACTGGTTGAAATAGTTTCCGGTAGACCATCGCCATACATATTTTCTTAGAACAAAGCTTGTTAACGTTATTGTTATGATAATAAGGTTTTAAGTGTCATCGTTTGGTATTGTAAACCATAATAAACTTCAACACGACAGAAATTGCTGTAATTAATTAGAAAAAGGTCCACCGCAGTTTTCTCTCAATTTTCTAAGACACTTAATATATTCAACGCTAAATTTAGTACTTTTTATAGTGAAGGTTGTAATTTCGGCGTCGGTAACTTAAATTATAATATACAATTTAAAACATAAGGGCTTTATATGTTTCTCATATCATTCATCATTCATGATCTTCGTCTTGGTGTGGTCGAGCAAGAAGTTTCTATATTTGCTATTTTCTGCTTTTTCTGTCAGCCAATCAAATACCAAAGACGACAGTATTTCGTTTGATCGTCACATATTTGTAAAGACTAGAGATTCTGACTATTAAATCAACTGAAACATAATCTCTAAAGTATGCCATACAAGTAGCGAATAGAAATCTTATTAACCCGTTAGCTAAGGCAATATTTACATCTTAAATACTGTATTCTAATTACTAATATCGATAACAGGTGATCCGATGTCTAGTGGAAACCATAATAACTAATATTAACTATACACTCGAAAACATATATAAAAATCAGCCATGAGAATTTACGTGAAGTAAGTAATGTTTTTGTGTACCTTGATTACCTGATACCTGGAAATTGGCCGTTTGACCAAGCTAGCAGGTAGGCATACGATCATAGTACATACTAACACTACTCAATCGTCCACATTTCATCCGTCAGAAAATACGTGACGTCTGGCGGCCCTGGGATCTTGCTCTATATCTCTTAGCAACTTAGTTCTCATAGCAACCTTTGAAATATCTTAGGATTGTCTTAATTACATACCTGATATTGTTTAATTTTAATTCACGTTTCAACATCGTAAATGTTTTTATTATATTTGTCTGGAATCTTATTAGGCAAATAATTTTATTGAAAGGAATTTATATTATTAGCATAGTTTACGTTTATATAATCTACGTTTTCTTTCAGATAGTATAAGTGGTTTCTATTAGGACAGCCATTAGCCGACCTGTTAGGACATGTTGTTTAAAAAATGCTAGCAAGCACAAAGCCACTGCCCATAGATTTGCCTTGCCGGGCCATTTTTCATTGGTGCCTCTTATGTTTGATACCATATAGTATTTTAAATGTCGTTCGCATTTTTTAGTAATAGCTCACACACAAATTGTACGAGCCAAGGCTATATATTTTGCTTACTCAGGCTTACATAGTTTTATAAGCGTGGCGATTTCCTAAATGGTTAAATTTACGCCCGAGAGTAGGACGTAGGCACTCTTTCAAGTGTTACATTGCACTCATTCGTTACATAACAATTATTAACATTTTATTATTTGGCTTATATTCTATTGTTATACGCGAGTGGTTAGTATAGAGTAAAATTAAAATCGACTATTATTTAAAGCGCCCCGATGGCCCAGGAATCGTATACAAAAATTCTAGTTTATGAATTAATATACTATTTATTTATAATTTATATATTAAACAAGTAAACATTGTTCGTATAACATCAGTCCTCAAAATCAGCAAATTTGTTAATATATAGCATTTAAAAATGCAATAAAATAACATAAAAGCACAAAACATCGTAGGTATATTAATAATTGGGTTTGTTTTGTGAATCCACTGATTATTGAAAATTATTTATGATTCATTGTTTATTTAATTCACATCCAAAGAGCCTCCGGCGAAATTTAATATTAATTGTTAAATGAAACGAGAACTTGTACGCTTTGAATATAAAATGCATTTGATAATAATTTGTTTCAATTCATCTGGAAAACATGATTTGTATTTCAATTCAATTGGGGCCACACCCAACAAATATTTATTTTATACAAGCTGCCCCCGCGAACTTCGTTTCGCCTAAATATTATTTTTACTTAGCCTATCTTTTTAGCAGCTACATACTCTACTTCTACCAAATTTTTCTGTATTACACCATAGACAGTTCGCGTTCACAATTTCAGAAAAAGAAAACTGGTTTTTAGGTTTCCCCGTGCAAAATTTTTCAAGTTTTCTCTCCATAAATACGTTAGATTTCAGAGGCTCAGCTCATCTGATGTTAAGTGATGATCCGCCGCCCATGATCGATCGCTCTGCCAGAAGGCTCGCAAAAGCGCGCTGCCGACTTATTAAGAATTGGTACGCTACTTTCTCGTAGTACCCCAAGTCGAATTGGTTCGGAAATACTTTAGTGGGCAGCGGGGGGCCCCCCGGGTTAAACGGATAGTATTTTGTTCTACATAGATCAGATCATCAGAGGTGAGAACAGTACTCCATGTGGGGCCCAATTTGGGCTTTATAGTTTTGCGTTTCATTTAAATCCTTACAATTAAAAACCTCCTTTCTGCACGAAAAAGTATAACTGCCAATACGTCAGTTATAAATTCTTTTCATATAGGAATTACTAGTAAATATAGGCTTACATTTAATATGTTTAGTAAGAAAAAGAAAATAAAACACCACGATGTGGTTTACGATAATATCGAAAGAGACTCCATTCCGAAGAGGGGATATTACTCTGAGCTCGTCTCAAACATGACGAAAGAGGACCCGTCTAGAGAGGTCTACGCCAAGAAACGAATGAAGTTAATGCTACAGGTACAACTGGTTAATCATTTCAGTATACCATACATTATGACTATTGGTTATATTTGCTACACTTTTAACTTTAACTCTGAAGTCATTAGTTCGAACCCCGTCTATTCACCAATGGATATTTTTTATCTATACTTACTAGTACAGTAAAGGAAAACATCGCGAAGATACCACCACGGCTATATTAAAAAGTAATTTATTTATTTAATAATAAAAATCATTTATTTGCAATTTTTTAAATAATTTATTTGCAAGTGGTACATTAAGATCGATCGATAAGAATACGCACAATCAGCCATATAAAAATAGGCATTTAACAAAAAAAGCCACCTTTACAGATTACTCCAATGCATTTAACATTGTTTGTAACACTTGCATAACATAAAACAATATATACACATAGAAACAACAACACAACACCAAATAGTAATAGATTAAAATATTTACAAAAAGACTATTTCTACAGTATAGGAACTGACATGAAGCAGACCATTTGTCAGTCCACTTTTTTCAGACACACAATTAAAAACGTTTGTTAATCTATGGAACTTATTAATTATTTCCATACATTGTGTCGTGTATGCACTATGCACTTTTCAAGAGGTTAGTTTTCGCTAAGGTTAAGAATAGTAACGGCGGTCCATGCCACCTCCTGTCCATCAGGCACTCTGAGGCCTAGGCATTGGATCACTGCCGGATTGCTTTCCTTAATCAATGCCTTTAAAAAATATTGAAGGAAACAGATACAAAAATCTAATGCTTGTCATATAAGTGGTTTATTTTGTTCCCTAAAAGCCTAGCAAACAACGCTATACCGATGTAATTGGATTCTTTATTGTTTACTCTATTTCTTATTCAGGCTAAAACAGATAAGCTTGCGCCGATGTTAGTATCATTGCCGAAACCGCAGAAGCCCAAGCTTCTCCTACCTCCAGGTCGGTGGACTACGTATAGAGAAGATGAGAGCATTGTAAGTATTATATAGCAACCGCTATTCTAGCTATTATGCTGGATAGTTTAAAAAAAAGTGCGTGCGTACAAAGTACACATGTCAGAAGTAAAACTTCTTAGGAAAACTATTTTTTAAGTATGGTTCATATTTATACAAATCTGAAACTTTAGATTTCCGAGACTTGGAGGGAATGTTAATCTGTGTGAAAGATAATGTTAGGAATTTAATTGAAAGTGTCGAAAATTAATAAAAATTTATTTTTTCATTTTTATTCATTTGAGATTCAATAAATTATTTTGCATGAAATATAAAATACTAATATTTCAAAAAATTGTCTTTACGAAATTTTAATTAAAAAAAAATAATTTCTATAAGGTAATTCACCCTTCTCACTCTCTCTTAATCGGTCTGAATCGTTCTCTCCCTTTCCTTCGACAAAAACGCTGCACATCTTCGTAACGCTAATATTATTATTGCGTTTCATACTAGTATAAGATCCCGCTATACAACGACCTTCACCGAGATGCTTATTTAATGAAACGTATTTTATATTTAATTTAATATGTCAATAAATATAATCCATATGGGTTGTCTAGCAAATTTCAGTCCAGAGTATGTTTAATTAATAATTTAAAAAAAATATTTTTTGAAACATTTCACCGGTATGATTATTAGATAAATTCTATACCAATCGAAAGTATAAAGCCCATAGAATATGCAAACTTTATGCTGCCCATTCTTTTCCGGTCACAACTATCGGGTTGCCAGGTATAAACAGGTAGATCTGTACTAGCATTTGCAACGGTCTGTTTATTGAATGAAATTTAAATGAAATTAAAGATTATTTTATTTTGAACACGGTGGTATAGGGTTGGCTGCGAAAAATCAGTCCAGAATTGCGGTTGTCGAATTTTAAAAAGTAAAATATTGCTCCAAGTGAATGTGTGCGACTGAGAGGTCCCAACCGACCATCCCATGCGATAGAAGAGCATAGCACACAGCATAGCAGTTGTTTAAAGTCCGCCCACTTAAAGAAAGAGAGTGCGCATGCTATTTGGGCTTGGAAAAGAAAAGGATAGCGATGGACTCGTATATACTATGCATCATTTTGGAGTAGTTTATTATTTAAATAGAGAAATAGTTATTTAATTTTTTTTTAATAAATTAATTTTTTATGTGTATATTTTTTGTGACACTAAAGTATATATATGTCACCGTAAAATTGTAAACACCGTTAGATTGTAATCTATCTCGCGAGATTGTAAACTGTCGAAATATTGTGAACCTCAACGAACTGCTTACAATTTAACGTATTATTATTCGGTAGATTGTAATCTATCGAAGTGAAACCGTCAAATTGTGAAACGGATCGCACCTCGCGCGCTGATTAATAGAACAGAATATGCCCCGCGCCACCATATTTGTTTGTTTGTTGTCGAATATAAATTGATTGTTTTGATGAATGTAAATTGATGTCGTGTTGTAAGTAACTCACAGCTTTAGAATTAGTTATATGAAATTATTGGGAAGTAAAATTAATCTGTGATTGACCAAAGAAGTTTGAATGATAACTAAGTTAGTGTTGGAAATGAAATGAAAGAAAATTGAACTAATTTTTCAATTTTAATTTGTGTTTGAAGAGAAAATATTGTTACGTTTCTGATTTTTTTATTTTGATATATTTTTTTTATCATGTGATGTCAGAATTATTGATTACCTACTAAGTAATAAATACTAATTTTTGAAGTGCATTCATTTTATTTGACCGATACCCTTGTTTCATTCCTAACTCTATGGACATATAACGGTCTACTATAAAGCCGACCAATCAGCGCTCGAGGTGCGTACCGTTTCACAATTTGACGGCTTCACTTCGATAGATTACAATCTACCGAATAATAATACGTTAAATTGTAAGCAGTACGCTGAGGTTCACAATCTTTCGACAGTTTATAATCTCGCGAGATAGATTACAATCTAACGGTATTTACAATTTTACGGTGACATATACATCTTTAGTAAAAAAGAAGGTTATAGTGATTCATATATAATACTAGCCTGATTAAAAATATTGATTGAAAAAAATTAAAAAATTTACTACATGCAAATTATAAATCTATAAATGTAAACAGAGAAATTGAAATCAATTGAAACTATTGGAAAAAATTCAAAACCCATAAAAGTGAATTTTTTTAATCAGGGTAATCTTGCAAATTTTATTTTTATTATAAGAAGACAAAATAAAAAACAACAATTAAAAAATTACTTCTATTTATTGTAAAAAATTAAAAATACAATTTTTTTTTTAAATTATTCAGAATCCGAGTCAACGGACATAAAACTACGATCTTCAACTTCTGAATCTTCTTCGTCATCACTCTCTGTTTCACTTTTTTCGACAATGTCTTCTATCTATAAAGGTGTATGATCCCCAATGAATCCTACTGGTTTTAAATATTCATCTAAGAACCATCCGCAGTTCTCAGGCTCAAGTTTCACATATATTTGTAGATTTATAATTTGCATGTAGTAATTTTTTTTTATTTTTTTCAATCAATATTTTTAATCAGGCGGTATTATATATGAATCACTATAACCTTCTTTTTTACTAAAGATGTAAATATACTTTAGTGTCACATAAAAAATATACAAATAAATAATTAATTGATAAAAAAAAATTAAATAACTATTTCTCTATTTAAATAATAAACTACTCCAAAATGATGCATAGTATATACGAGTCCATCGCTATCCTTTTCTTTTCCAAGCCCAAATAGCATGCGCACTCTCTTTCTTTAAGTGGGCGGACTTTAAACAGCTGCTATGCTGTGTCCTCTTCTATCGCATGGGATGGTCGGTTGGGACCTCTCAGTCGCACACATTCACTTGGAGCAATATTTTACTTTTTAAAATTCGACAACCGCAATTCTGGACTGATTTTTCGCAGCCAACCCTATACCACCGTGTTCAGAATAAAATAATCTTTAATTTCATTTAAATTTCATTCAATAAACAGACCGTTGCAAATGCTAGTACAGATCTACCTGTTTATACCTGGCAACCCGATAGTTGTGACCGGAAAAGAATGGGCAGCATAAAGTTTGCATATTCTATGGGCTTCATACTTTCGATTGGTATAGAATTTATCTAATAATCATACCGGTGAAATGTTTCAAAAAATATTTTTTTTAAATTATTAATTAAACATACTCTGGACTGAAATTTGCTAGACAACCCATATGGATTATATTTATTGACATATTAAATTAAATATAAAATACGTTTCATTAAATAAGCATCTCGGTGAAGGTCGTTGTATAGCGGGATCTTAGACCATACGTAAAAACCTTCAAAAATTGTATAGTATTTTATTTTATATATTTAAAAACGCTTCTTTGTTCACCTTACAGCAATTTCCGTTTGAAACTTTCGTACCAAAACTTCAGTTCCTCAGTGTAGTGCTGCCAAAAGAAATGCCTAGGTTGGTAAAGATTGAGCGACTCCGAAGAAAGTTTCTCGCAGCTAATATTAAGGTAATATTACATACACACTTGTTTAATATGTAAAATGATATATAAGTGTGAAAATTAAGTCAAGTTCTATGTTATTCAAAAATAGTATGTTTAAAACCACAAACAAATATTATATTCGTCGTGTGTTTACACTAATGACATATCATTGTTATACATATATGAAATATATATGTTAGAGGTAGAATTTATAATACGGAAATGTTGGAGAGACTGGGGCTGCGTGTGCCAAACCACACTCGGTGAGGTAAGCGGCAATTGCTTGCAAGTTGCAGTACCTCGAGCGCTTACAAATCACTCAAAGAAGCACCATTTACGCGTGTCTTGCGCACCCTGAATATTATTGCGTGTGAGACGGATATATTTAGGTTTTCTTGTTTAGTTTATATTACATTTCTAGTTTAATTTTTATATTACTAATAATTTTTAAATTGTATACTATATTGAGCAGTGTTGCCCAAGTTGCTTCATTGTGCGACTCTCATCCCTGAGGTCGTAGGTTCGATCCCCGGCTGTGCACCAATGGACTTTCTTTCTACGAGCGCATTTAACATTCGCTCGAACGGTGAAGGAAAACATCGTGAGGTAACCGATATGTCTTAGACCCAAAAAGTCGACGACATGTGTCAGACACAGAAGGCTGATCACCTACTTGCCTATAAGATCGACAAATGATCATGAAACAGATACAGAAATCTGAGGGCCAGACCTAAAAAGGTTGTAGCGCCACTGATTTATTTATTTTTTATTGTATTAGTATTAAATTACTGTAAAAATAGGAAATAAATAAATAAATTTTACTTTTAGAAAATGCTTAGAGAGCTAGGTGTCCAGCCATACTGGTTGTTACCACCATCTGAATATCCCATCACAGAACAAGAGTACTACGGCCTTTATAGCCCATACCCTAAACTCGACCTGGAAATATTCGACAACACGGATTATGACTGCAGGTGAGCAGTATTAGCAAAGTTTACCTTCAGCTGGTGTGTTTTCTAAAACGATCCTATGGACGTGTAAGTTGGTATGACCCCATACTAGACTATCTAAAGTTAGTAATTCTTTTTTGGGAAAAGAGTTACTCTTCTTTAATAAAATCCCAGAGGCTCTTTTATCTATACCTTTTTATAAATTTAAGAAATGTATTAAAGAAAAGCTATGTAAAAAGGCTTACTATAAAGTTAACGATTATCTAGTTGATAAAAGGGCCTGGGACTAGTGCTAGACGGGCTACTTCTAATTAATTTGCGATATTTGTTTTAAAATAAGTGTTGTTTGATGATTTGCTTTTTTAAAAGAGTACCGAGAGGTTTTTTACGCCGGCTTCTTCACTCGGCCTACACCCTATGTCTTCTTTGCCGATGAGTAGGGATTTAATGACGTGGAATAATGTGTATTTTTTTATGGTTATTGGGATGCTTGATAATCTTAGGTAAAACTAATACAGAAGGATTTTAAATACTGTAGATAACAGAGGGCGGGGTGACTCTTCACCCTGCACCCTCGGCACCCACGGCTGCTGTCATGTCACTTACCCCACAATCATTAATATCGCCAAATACATTGAAGCGTATTGCAATAACAGTTGGTTTTTTTCTTTGACTAATTTGCTAAAGAGGATAATGGTTTAGCCGGCGATTTCATTCTTGGAATTTAAGAGTAATACTCGATAGGACTCTTTCCTTTTCTGTGAATCCTTTTCGTACGAATGTTAATTTACCTTTAAAACAACGTTAACAGCAAGTGTAGAAAGTACTTAGCCTATCTACCTATTACTTTAATAGGTAATAATATATTTATAATTTATACACAAATACATAATAAGACATATGCCTTTTTTGGTACCCTTGAAATTTTAATTCTTTTTTAATTTATTTATTTTACCAAATAATATAATAAAATCATAATATGTTACATTAGAAAACCGCTTTTGTTTGTATAAATTAATCTAATTTATTAATTTACACTTTATATTCCAATTTTATTACTTTTATGAGTAATTAATAGTCATTTGTAGGATACCTGAAGAATGGTTAAGTCTAGGTCTGATTGAAGGAGAGCAGTACCCCTGTCCAGGTTTGGCGTTTCTCCCAAAGGAAGATGGAAAGTCGAGTAAAAGCGGCGATATTTTCCAAATGCTAAATAATTTGTATGACGTAAGAACTTTTACGTTTTAGTAATTTCTTAATGGATCTATCTAACACACACACACGTACAAACGTTCACAGATTTTTTTTTTTTTGTACGAAGATTTCTATGAAACTGTTTACTAAATTTTTATAAATCATTTTCTACTAGAAAGCTACAATATTGCTGAGTTACAAAGCAAATTAAAAACATTCGTGCAAAACGTTGTATAATGTTAATAGATTTATATAATGACGTTATAAGGTCTTCCTCCAAAAGTTTTTGTCGAATTAAACAATATTAAGAACTATATACTTTTTTACTGTATACTTTTTGTTGCAGTGGATAAATGTAGCTGCTTTTAGTTATAACAAGGACACAGATACGTGGGAGGTTATGGCTTTAGATGGCACGCAGCGACGGTTCAAGTAATTTTAATTAATGTAATTAAATGAGAAGAGCAGTGTTGGCCTAGTGGATCCCTGAGGTCGTAGGTTCGATCCCCGGCTGTGCACCAATGGACTTTCTTTCTATGTGCGCATTTAACCTTCGCTCGAACGGTGTAGGAAAACATCATGAGGAAACCGACCTGTCTTAGACCCAAAAAGTCGACGTTGTGTGTCAGGCACAGGAGGCTGATCACCTACTTGCCTATTAGATTGAAAAATGATCATGAAACAGATTCAGAAATCTGAGGCCCAAACCTAAAGAGGTTGAAGCGCCACTGATTTTTTTAGTAAATGAGAAACATTTTTTCCGTTCAGATTAATAATAATAAATCCCGTTGACTTCCAATCTTTACAAATGTTGAATATATAGTTTACATTTATTATTCTTGTTACCCGATAACTTCCTTCATATACTTTACTCAGATTTCTTAATAGTATTAAAATATATATATATATATTTTAAAGAAGCCTCTTAATTATCGCAGTATACCTCGCATTCGTTTGATGTTTAAAGCGGACGATCCTGAGACTTTTGCTAGACGTGTCAAGTTTGCTGTGGACTTGCGTAACGAAGTTGAAAACAACTTGAGGTAACATAATATACATTGTAAGCATTGATATACAAAAAACCCAAGATGCACACTCAACGTCAAAAAAACGTCCTCAAAAAATGAGCGCAACATTCTAAATTGTGCGCTCATTTCAAATAGTCTCGCGTCTACAAGTGGAGTCGATGTTATTTATTTGTGTTTTTTTTATAAATAAATTTATGTACTCTTGAACTTCTTTGTATGTAGTTTTTGACAAATATATTTATGCTATATAAAGTGTGGGTCAGGAGGTAGCCAATTTAACATTTTTTTTTAATTTAAAGAAAAAAACTTTTTAACCGGATTAAAGTTATGTATTATTATAAATTGACAACTATTTAACATCCAACACCTTTTGTCTTCAGTCACCGTGACCACTCACGCTGTAAAGCACCCGAAAAGTCGGATAAATTTAAAATTATGTTAAATAGTTGTAAATAAAAAAGTCATGTTCGACTCCACTCAATACCTTGTCCTACCGACCACGGTCGGTCGTAAAATTTTATTGCTTTAAGTACGTATACGCTGCGTTGTAATAACAACTTTAAGCAATTCGCGTAAGGTTGATTTTGCAATAATATATGCTTGTAACATATACTGTTATGGACAGAAATATTGTTTCGGGACACTTTCGAGCGTTACTTTTATATGAGACTGTGCATCTTGGGTTTTTTGTATATCAATGATTGTAAGATATATATCCTATATGGCTTTTGTCTTTGGGAATCTGGAAGGAAAATAAAGCTGTGGTAAGCATCATACTAGGTAGTAATGGGTTTAGAAATACTTTAACATATATGAAAAGATATCAACTCAAACATTACAAATCAACCAAATAGTCCAAAAAAGTTTCAAAATCAAATTTTTACCAATTAAAAGGCCGGCAACGCACTCGCGAGCCCTCTGGCATTGAGAGTGTCCATGGGCGGTATCACTTAACATCAGATGAGCCTCCTGCCCGTTTGCCCCCTGTTCTATAAAAAAAAAATTCATTGTTCAATCAAAATTTTCAATCAAAATTCAAAAGAATCGATATGAGCTGTCTGTAGTAGCTTCAGCGTGTGACTCTCATCCCTGAGGTCGTAGGTTCGAACCCCGACTGTGCATCAATGGACTTTCTTTCTATGTGCGCATTTAACATTCGCTCGAACGGTGAAGGAGAACACCTCGAGGAATGCCTTAGGCCCAAAACCTCGATGACGTGTGTCAGGCACAGGAGGCTGATGACTTGTTTATTAGATTGACAAATGATCATGAAACTGAGGCGGTTGTAACGTGCACTATTTTATTTTAATCGATATTAAGAATAAATAGTAATATATTTAAAACTAAACAGTCTAAAAGAAGTTCATTTAAGTCTTTTTTGTGTAAGGTTCTACCTATATCTCGACTGTTTATTATTAAATGGTCTGCCGAGAATGCCACTGCACTACATGCCGGAGATTATCAAGATGGTTAAGATTCACCGGCAGGCTGTCGAAGTTGATGAAGATCACTTAAAGGCTTTGAAATATGAGGTAAATTAAATATATATTCTCCTGAGTGTCACATTATCGCTTGGTACAATACAATGAGTACTATGACTGCGTATATAACTATTAGAATGGACATATATTATCTACTTTAAATACCAGAAGCGATAAAAGTATCTATTTTCGTTTAGGAATCAATTTATTACTACTAAATGTGCATTTGAAATTTGAAATTTTTATTGCAGTAATGGTTCACTATTTTGCCTATAATGGATTACACATAAGATATAGATAAACGCTGTGGTGGGCTTTTTGTAGGTCTATTAAAGATAAACATTTCCATCATACCTTACATATGTGTAACTCTAGCGGTTTTGACAGCGCACGCCAGAATAACTCGAAGACGGTAGATTTTTTCCTACTTACTTGATATTTTGGACAAGTCATCCCCAATATATTTATAAATTGTAACCTATGTGTTATTCTGATGTATAAGCTATATTATTGTAAAGTTTCGTTAAAATCCATTCAGTAGTTTTAACGTGAAACAGTAACAAACATCCATCCATTCTTACAAACTTTCGCGTTTATAATATTATTAGGATGTGGGAGTTTCATGATAATTTTTATTTATAAGGAAACGAAAATTAAGTAATATATATTAACTATTAGATCAAAAAGTCTTTTATAACCAAAATGAACAAGAATATAAAAACTATTACTGTTGCAGGGTTATCTTTTACACAGGAAAGCTGAAGGGAAAATGAAAATGATTTACATGATAAAGAAGTATCCCGACTTATACAACTTTGTGAAACCGCCGAGCAAGGAATATGAGGCGTCCGTACCTGAATATGGTAAGTTTTTGACACTGAACTAGTTCAAAAAGTAATTTTGTTATGGTGTATATAACGAGAAAAAGAAGGATGTACCTATTAACGCTCACATTTCCTACGCTTTTTCAACTGCTGTGATTGAATATGACAATGTTACTATCAGATAATAAATTTAAATACGCAAGAATTAAAACATTAGCCTTTACTGAAGCCTTTAGGATCTATCTATCTTTCTAAAATTCTTATGTAACACATCATTTTTTATATAAAAAATTTGAATAGTTCACTTAAGAAACTTTATTGAATAGGAAGTTAACGAAACACAGTGAATAAATTTTCAAAACGTAATGTAAACCTGAAATTCGAAAACCAAATGATTTTAATAAGTATTGGAATAACCCCCTTAACCATAAAATTGGCCCCTTGTGGGGCGTGGACCGCACCTTGGGAAACACTAATCTAGGCCTAAGATTCTTTGAAATGCGTTTCATAATAAATTAATGTTCAATGATAAAAATTAACAAACTATCACAATTGTATTTATTTTTTATTGTTTGAATGTTACAAGATGCAAACGGGCAGGAGGCTCATCTGATGTTAAGTGATACCGCTGCCCATGGACACTCACACTGCCAGAAGGCACGCAAGTGCGTTGCCGGCCTTTTAAGAATTGGTACGCTCTTTTCTTGAAGAACCCTAAGTCGAATTGGTTCGGAAATACTTCGGTGGGCAGTAAAAATTTGCTCAGTTGTGGAACAACGGACGTCAAGGTGATACGGATGGTTTGTATTCTGCCTTGACGTCCGTAAATGAAACTCATGTACTAACTTTAGTATGTAACTTTATATGTATACTATTAATAAAAGGTCGATATCCGTGCGTGATGGACGATTTTCGGGGCCGAATGAAGTTCAACCAGTGGAGCTCACTCTACGTACTGACTGAATCGGTTTCCTGCATACACCTTGTTGTCGATGAATGCCTTAAGGTATGTTTTTATTTATTATATATTCATGAGAATCCTTCTCCACGTTGTAAGACTTTATTAGATAGACCAGAGAATAGATAACGTTCAAAAGGGTCCTAGAACCAGCGTTGTCTTATTTATTTATATATTTTATCATAATAATTATTCGAAATACAAAATTTTTTGACGGCTTCACTGCTTTATTTCCCACGGATTATGTTAGACGCATTTTTAATTTGATAACCTTTTTGCCAATTGTATTAATTGTTAATAGTTACGTCCTCAATTTTATAGTGAGTGTTTTGTGCGTTTTGTGAACAAGGCAAAGTATCAGTAGTATATTATCAGTAGTAACCTCTTTTATTGTTTCCAAACTAATATAATTTCTTCATACATACTTCACGGCTGGCAATTGTGTGCCTTTTTTCTTGTTAAGGATATGTCGAAACGAGGTATGTGCTCAGGACTTATTATTTTAGTATAAAATTGTGTATCGACGGCCACTGAACCGTTCTTTGTGGTACAATGAACAAACAAATAAATAATAAAAACTTTATTCATGACAAATAGGTTGTGACCAAATTGCCACTAGTAACACCCTGTGTTGTGGGTAACAGTCAGTTGTACATGGTACAGAAAAAGTACAAGTACAAGACTTGTGTTTGATTAGTTATAAAACAAAGTCTTATGAAACATTATTTATGTGTGAGTGCGTGAGTGTGTGAATGGGTGTTTGTATGTATGTATTTGAGAGTGTAGCTAAGAGTGGCTGTGTCTGTGTTAGAATATATGAATTTAAAAGATTATTTATTTACATGGAACACCTTATAATTGTGACACGCTTGCGGCGGATCTTTCCCTGTGGTACTTTTATCCTTATTTACCTTTGTGGTTGTTTTTATATACTAATTACATGTATCATCGAGTACATGTATGAAATGGCGTTCGTAATAATGGCGTAATTTAATATAATGATAGGCATTGAATAATAAAGTGTTCGTATTAGGTTGAAGCAATGCTGTTTTACACTTCAAACTACGGCCGCAATGCTAGTCTTGGGGAGTTCGATGCCGCGCAGCAACATTGCACATCTATGGTGAGAAATTCATGTACATGGTTTAAAACAATTGTTGTATCCAATAACTAATCAGGCTGTTATAAAGAACATTACTTCCTTCCTTTTAGAGAGAAATTGCTTCATCATAATATATGTCGCAGCTAACTGGCTTAGTTAGACTTTCAATTAACAGCCTAATCTCTTTACTAAACAATGCCGTTCAACTATCGGCCTAAAGATATATATTACTACTATCGGACCCAACAGACGTTGTCCTGTTATGCAACCGTTATTAATTCAGACGGCTCAGACTGGGAATCGAACCCAGATCGTTTGGTTACGCGCCATTAGACCCAGTTAAGCTATCCGAGACTCGTACCAAACCAGCTGTTTAGTTGCAGTATAGATATATAACCTAGATACCGACTGCAGCGCCTTCTTCCGGGCTGATTTGTGAATCTAAACCATCCAGGGCGCCAGCCAAACGCGTACAAAAAACTCATTCAAATCGGTCCAGCCGTTTAAGAGGAATTCAGTGACACACGTAAAGTAGAATTATATATATCTGTGGGTATAGGTCAGAATATGATAAATGCAATTTCATTACTTTACAAGACAAGGAATTAAATTATTAAGAAATCTTGAAGGCACTATTAAAATATGAAACTCTCGATATATGAATGAATGTATGTTCCTACTTATCATTGTCTGATATATGACCACAGATATATACAAAGATAATTACGAAATTAATGCTTCTACAGATGCTAAAATATTTACACATCACGTGGTTGAACGCTACGGCACACGCGATTAGAATGTCATTTAGAGATGTCGGAAAAGGGTAATTTTTTGCATTATTAATTTTAATATTATAGGATTCATGCAATTCTCAACGCTGATCGGACCGCGTCTATGTATCTTATAATATCTCCATAAGTACTTGTTCACGTTGACTCGCGGGCGCGGTGGCGGGCGCGGTGACGGTCACGAAATATCAAACATATGGCGTAATATCCAAGTGTTCTTATACGAAACGCACGTATATGAACCTCAAGCAAAACTCACTTGGAGGTGTTCCAATGAAGGTCCCACGAGACTCCTACATAATTAGTATCATCAAAAAAGTGCAGTGACATTTAACACTGTTACCTGAAATTCACCATACCGTTCAAAAAAAAAAGGGGGCACCCCCCCCCCCCCCCCCCCCCCCCCCGGGGGGGGGGGGGGGGGGGGGGGGGGGGGGGGCCCCCCCCCCCCCCCCCCCCCCCCCCCCCCCCGGGGGGGCCCCCCCCCCAAAACCCCCCCGGGGCCGCCCCCCCCCCCCCCCCCCCCACGCGAAAAAGGGGGGGGGGGGGGGGGGCCCCCCCCCACAAAACAGGCAAACCCGCCAAAAGGGGGCTTTCCCTCCCCCCGGGGGGGGGGGGGCTTTTTCGCGGGGGGGGGGGCGTTTTCTTTTTTTTTTATTAAAAAAAAAAAAAAAAAAAAGAAAAGGGGGATCGGGGGGGGGGGGGTTTTTTGGGCGCATTTTTTTTTTTGAAAAAATAAGGTGGTATATTATTCAAAAACTTTACTAGAATGTCACGAACAGACTTTGAATTACTTTTGAATAAAGTAATTAGAAATTATTATTATTTAGACCTCTCGCTCTCCCGGCGGAAGCAAGACGGCAAGTCGCAAAACAGGAAAACAAGTGCAAATATACTATGCGAATAATATACAAAAATTGCTAGGAATTTCCAAGTCCATCGGATATTCGTCAATTCGTTAATCAAAGACAAAAAAGAAAGAAAGGAATAGGGGGGGTATGTGGTTGGGATGGTTTTTGGCAAAGAGGACAAAATTTTCATTATGTAAGAGAACTTTCTTTTCAAAAATTTCGTGCACACCAATTCTATTTTTATCGCATCTCCCACTTTAGCGATATGAATTTTCTGGAGCAATTAAACAATATCGCGAAATAATTTTCATTATTAAAGAATATATTATTAAAAAATAAAAAAATGTCGTCCATGTTTACAATCTCTGACAACACGTCACATTCTCGCAAACGCCTGGCGGCCAATGTGAACACGAAGTCGCCACTTCTCCCGCGCCCGCGCTTTCCAACGTGAACAAGTTCTAAGTGCACGTGTAGTGAGGAAATCGTTAACGCGTTGGCCGATCACCTACTTGTTAATAAAAATAAAATAAATCAGTGGCGCTACAACCTCATAGGGCCTCAGATTTATGTATCTGTTTCATGATCTTGTAATAGGCAAGTAGATGATCGGCCTTCTGTGCCTGACACACGCCGTCGACTTTTGGTTAATACATGCCGGTTTCATCACGATGTTTCCCTTCACCGTACGAGTGTTAAATACGCACGCAAAAAGTCCATTGAAGCATAGCCAGGGATCGATTTGACGACCTTGGGGATGAGAGTCACACGCTGAACGCCACTAGACCAGCTCTGCTCATCTACTTACTTATAATGATATATAATATGATTGGCTATATAATATTTAACAGCAATAAACGATGCAGAGATGTAAAATACAATTAATATTTTTATATCCATTTAAATAGTTTCATTTAAATGTCTAGTACTCGTGTAAACTTGTGCAGCGTTGGCCAAGTGGCTTCAGCGTGCGACTCACATCCCAGAGGTCGTAGGTTCGATTCCTGACTGTACACCAATGCATTTTCTTTCTATGTGCGCATTTATCATTCGCTCGAATGGTGAAGGAAAACATCGTGAGGAATCCGACCTGTCTTAGACCCAAAAAGTCGACGGTGTATGTCAGACTCAGACTGATCACCTACTAGCCTATTAGATCGACTAATGATCATGAAACCGATAAAGAATCTGAGGCCTAAACCTAAAAAGGTTGTAGCGCCACTATTTTATTTCTAAATTAATAAAACAGACGCAGAAGTCTGAGGCCCACAAAGGGTTCGCAACTGGATTATTTGTCATTTTTACTATACTTTCTAGGTGGTTTAATATTTATGAGAAAAAGTGGGAATTCTATGGAATAAGCAAACTGTGTCGCTTTATGCAACTAGTAAGAGTCCGTATGCAAGTGAGTATTTTATTATTCATGAGCTCACATGACACCGGCTGAGGGTAACCTCCATATCCAAACAATTTTCTCTATTCATGACTCTGCAGTTATTTTTAATAAACCTCTTATGTCCATATATCTGTTTGACAGATCTTTTAATATTTGATAAAACATTTATGTACATTTATTATGTGGAGAAATATTGTAAATTACGTTCAATATTGTATTACGAATTTGTACCATATTTTATAGCATTAATTAAGCATATTTAATGTACGAATGTATTTCTATCGTATATACAATGAGACATCGTGTATAGGTGAAATCTTTAAAAATAAAAATAGGTTACGAGATAATATGACCTCTTCATTCCCGGTCAGCCCTGGTCCTGTAGTCTGGAAACAATGATTGTTTAGAATTAGTACCTAGTGGCCTTTATTAGACGTTACAGGACTTCAAACAGATCTGTTCTTAATATAAATAGGTTAAACTATAATTGCAGTACGCACTCCGATACAGTATCGAACAATCAATGGCGATGTATGTAAATATGTGTGAGACCCCGTGTGTTTGTACCTACTGGTGCGAAGATGACTACGAGTGGGATCCCACAGACCTCATTAACACCCCCTTCCGATCGCCAACGGCTACACTCTTCTATTTTCACTTGATGATGTCCGAAGAAGGCCCCTATTATACCACACCGCCGGAACAGTTCGAGGTATTTTCTACATTATAGAATTTTCAAAACGTTGAACTAAATTGGAATAGATTTTACAATAATGTTATGTTCTACAGTAGCATACCTCGTTAGGGCAAGTCATTTAAATGTTCTTAACTTATTTTTATAGAAGACAGGCAAACGGGTAGGAGCCTAGCCTACCTGCTGTTAAGTGATACCACCGCCCATGGACACTCAATGCCACTGGGATCGCGCGTGCGTTTCTGGACTTTTATGACCTAACTAGAGAATATGTATAGGGATATAATATTAAATCTTTTTCACAACTGTTTACACAACTTATTTAATTATGTTCTTTTGCAGTTTTTATACATTTTTGCAAGGTGTAAAAAATAAAATTGATTATATACAGTAAATAAAGCCTTTACACCTAATAGTAGTATATATCCAGGAACTTCAGAAACAATGGTTTTATTCAGATCGTGATACAGAGACTGTTTAGAGAGATGTTGTACCGGTGCCACTTTATACCTCAAGTCCATCCCATGATCATGACGGGGCTGGTTTTCGATAAAGAACTATTCCTAACATCTATTGGTAAAAACATTAATTTCCTTTAAAATTGCATTAGGCATTAAATAGAACATGTAGTTGAGTGAATAATATGATTAAGACAGCTACGTCACACGTTAGTTTCCGACAAGCGACGAAGAATCAATAATATGGAAAACATAAGTATATTTTTATGTATGCATTAATGTTACCTTGAATAAACCTGGATCTAATCCATAATTTATCTAAACGCAGTGGCGCTACAACTTTTAAGATCTAAGTAAAGTAACTTTTAAGATCTGGGCCATAGATTTCTGTATCTGTTTCAATAAAATAGGAAAGTAGGTGTTCAGCCTCCTGTGACTGACGCACGCCGTCGACATTTTGGGTCTAAGGCAACCCGGTTTTCTCACGATGTTTCTCCTTCACCGTTCAAGCGAATGTTAAATGCGCACATAGAAAGAAAGTCTATTGATGCACAGCTGGGGATCTAACCTACGAACTCAGGGAAGAGAGTCGCAGTTTGAAGCCACTAGGCCAACTCTGCTTATACCTAAAGAATTAAAATTTGATTGACCACAATACAATGTTGACTTAAGTCATAGTTTGGTAGTAATGTTATGTTTATATATTTTAAGAATTACACAGCAAGGCCAGTGACATACATTAATAAAAAAACATATAAAAAGGTATTGACAATACAAAAAACATGTCATTTCTTTAATCATTTACTATCTTCAATATACCATTTAATAGCCAGAAACTAATGTAAGAGACATTATTATTATATTCCCGGGCTAGGAATTTTTTATGTTCACAGGTCTTATGGAACCGAATGTGGTTGAATATAGAGAGAGATTGCTGAAGGCTTATCGCAAAGCAATCATTCCCTTGATAGCCTACATGAAACAGTATGAGTGTTACCGGGATATTTTTGTACTTGACATTGAGGGATATATTGAGTAAGTATTACAGTATACATGTAGTATACAGTTTTTGCAGCTGCCCACTGAAGTATTTCCGATTCGACTTAGGGTCCTTCAAGAAAAGAGCATACCAATTCTTAAAAGGCCGGCAACGCACTTGCGAAACGTTTGGTAATGTGAGAGTGTATGGGCGGCGACGATCACTTTTGCAAATATTAAATTGTAGTATATACACAAAAATTGCAATTGAAAAGTTTGAATGTCTGTTGTGTCTTACAAAATTAAGTGCTTATTTTAAGCTGCGTTCGGCTCTCATTAAATCGTCTGCAACTGTGCGATGCCAGGTTTGCTTGGGACGGCCTCGCTTCCGCTTTCTTTGTGGGTTCCAATCAAGCGCCTGCTTGGGGATTTAATTAGCCGCATCCACAGTGGACGATCCATCGCGATCCGATCCGCGCCCGGCATGAGCGCGATCAAAATGTGCAGGCAGTGTGGACGTGCCGCGCGCGATCCATGCACGCGATCCATGGCGGAGAGAGAGCGCTCCACACCGCGTGCGATCCATTTGGTGTCGGTTTTTTGTTCACGCTCAAAGGGGCCTTAGTCACTTGCCGCGCGCGGTGTGCCCGGTTTTGATTTGAATCGCGTGATCCAACGTTATGGATAATTCGCAATGTATTCGTTTATAATCCCTTAATAGGGATAATAAATGTTTATGGGATCCTATAATATTACACAAATAGTAGGCAAACTACCGACTAGTTTGCGTACTATTTGTGATGAACAAAAGTCAAATTGATCTGCAGACAAAGTTCATCTGATTCAGTATGGATCCGCTGGAGCGTGTTTGATCAGCCAGTCAGGATCGCAAAAGATTTCTGTTGGATCGGCCTAGTACGATCCACGTTCCACACATCGCCGATACATTTTGGAACGTTCGGTGTGGATGCGGCTATTGAAATCTCTTCGGAGTCTATGGACTATTTATTTCCACGTGCGTCGCCTGATCTGCTGGCTAATAGGGGTTTCTCGGTAGAGCTTCCAAAATTTTTAGAGATCACACGCCAATAGATACCCAAAATACGGTAAAAACAGCGGTTGACGAAGACTTGGAGTGCTAAACTAGACAAGGAGTTAAATGTAGACATGGAAATAGTTGTGCTAAATATGTGCATACCAGTATAGACTAATGTAACAGTTCTATAATTGTTCTTACTATCACGTTCTAGAACCTTCCGTGAAGAAAAGCACTCGGCCTCCGAGACTCGAGAGGAAGTACAAATGCATGTTGATGCTAAACAGGATTTGATATGGAGGCTGCCCCAGTATATCAATATTGGACCTTTTGCTATCAATGTTGATACACTTAAGGTTATTTTACTAATAATTATGTAAAATAAATCAATCAGTGGCACTACAACCTTTTTAGGTCTGGGCTTCAGAGTTATGTAGCTGTTTCATGATCATTAGTCATCATCAATCAAATAGGCAAGTAGGTGATCTGATAAAATAAAATAAAATTGATTTAATTCAAAAGATAAAAGTCTTATATTTTCAGCAAATACTAGTTACAAAACGCGCAGACATAATAAAAGCCTTACTGACAATGTGGGCTGAAGAGGTGCGTACTGTTGTGGAAGACGTGATCCAAGCTTATAAGAGCATCATGAGGAAGCTTGGAGAAAAGCCAAATACCATAGAACACGTGTTTGAAATCAGGGAATGGATGGAATCTATACCCTTCGCTTTGAAGACCCAGGAGGATATAATGAAAAAAGTTCATACGGTACGATAATTGTACCTTAAATTTTAGTTTATTTCTTTCATAAAACTTCATTAGCAGATATAAACGCGAATTTATTAAATGATTTACATAATTCGACGTTTAATATGCTTTCAATCTTGGTCAGCGAGACTCGCACGAACAACTATATTATATTATTTATTTATTTATTAAAGCTCACCACATCATACATAATGTTATATCTTCAGTATATGTTACAAGCTGTCTTTTCTAAAATATATGAAAATTATGGTAATTCTAAGTGTTACAAAAATTTAAGCAATAAAAATACAGGAAAAACAGTAATTTTTTGCTTATCGTTAGGCTTATACTAGCAAAACAGCGGATTAGGTGTCAGATAGGCACTTAGCAATGCTTTTTTTAATTGATCAACCCACTACCGGATATATCAAGCCTCAGATAAATATTGTTTATTCTGTTATATTCGCGAATATTATATCGAATACCAAAGACAATATTGATGATATTAGCCACTTAATTTTATCATTAAACTAGAACCCAACCTGGGTTCGAATAATAAATCAATAAAATGAGTTTCTCCAAAGAAAAATATTCATGGTAGCTGTGTTTGGGTATCCGTGCTTCAAATGAACACCGTATCGTAGTATGAGTTATCAAATACATAGATACTTGTTCATTATTATACCATCAGTCTTAATTGAAACTTGTGTCACTAAACCAGTCGCCAATGACGATGACGGTAGTGTAGAGGCAAGCCCATTTTAGTAGTTTGAAATTTGTAGTTTTTCATAGTAATGACATATTTCCACTATATTTTCTAGGATTACGAGGTATTGGACACGTTTTTTACGCCCTTGGAAAATGATGATTTCAAAGCTTTATGGGAGGCTATTGGGTGGCCTCTGAATATTAATAAACAAGTAAATGTTATTTTAATATACTACTTACAAGTGAATGACCGCAGTGAATGTGTGATACAGGGTGTCTCAAAAGAAAGTTTACATTTCAATTATTTAGAGTTTTATGTGAAAATGTTAGACGACTTCTTGGTAAACTTCAAAACTTTCCTGGCTATAACCAAAGAACATGGTTCCAGCAGGACGGAGCAACGTCACATACGTCCTGATTTAACCCCTATGGATTTTTTTATGGGGTTATCTTAAATCTAAAGTCTACGCCAATAAGCCGACTTCTCTGCAACAATTGAAAGAAAATATCCGTCACGAAATGGCAGCCATTACTGAGTCCACCTGCCGAGCCGTCATAAGTAAGTTTATTGTTCGATTAAATGAGTGCCTCGAACGCGCGGGTTTACATTTGGACTGTATTATTTTAAGAAATAAAGTTCCAAAATTTGTACTTTAATAATTAATTAACAATTATTTGATACACCACTTACTTCTTTTTAAATCGATCATCTAAATATGAACTTTCTCTTGAGATATCCAATAGAATGCGGAAGGATGAAAAATACTTTTGGTCTTTCATAATTAATTACTAAATCTAAAATATATAAATGTCACGCGATTGAAAATAGTAGCAGACAGTTTATTGCCAGTTCCTCTCGTTCAATCTACGCCCTTGATTTGAGAATTGCCATTAAACGGATATTTTGATTTTCTTTACTGATTTTGCATTGACTTTAATATAAATAAACCCTATGTTTTAATGAATGGGAGATAAATTTCTCTTCTTCTTGTTTACATGTGACCTAATCCCTAGGTAGTAGCAACTACAGATTTCTTAGAAGAAGAACAGGAAAAATTCTGGAAACTTCACCAGCAGGATGAACAGACTTTGTCAGACAAAATTGATATGTTCACGTCGCAATGTATGGCCCTCACCTTACAGAATGACTTTACCAGGGTTTGTATAAACAGATTCTACAGACAGTCACTTTGCTTCAGAGATAACCTAAAATAAAAATGGCGGCTGGTTGCTTAAACTGTCATTGTATAACGTTTAGTAAACAATGTCTATCCTTGGGTCTGTAACCAATCTCGCCGATTTTATAAACTAGCTGACCCGACAAACGTTGTTTTGCCATGTATATTATTATTAGGAAACTTTTTTTTTGTCCAATAAAAATAACTATCTACTATAATAAAAAATATGGGTTCATCTAGAGGGGAGAAAATTAGGGGTTGTATGTATTTTTTTATGCTGTATCATAAAAAAATAAAAATATTCTTTTTTATGGTGGACACCCGCTATCACTTAGGGGTTTGAAAGATAGATAGTAGCCGATTATCAGACTTACTGAATATGCATAAAAACATTCATTAGAATCGGTCGAGCCGTTTCGGAGGAGAGGAACGAACATTGTGACACGAGAATTGTATATATATAAAGATAAAAGATATCTCAATATACGTAGCGCAAATGTCAACCTTGAGCTAGTTACGGCGGTGATTCTTAATAATGTATATTAGCATCAGTAATGTCGCTCGTAAAAATCATAGTAATAACGCATACCTGATGTTGTTCGGATAGGTTCATGAAATAGCAAATGACATCAAGAAGGCATGGAAGGGAATGAAAGATTCCCAGGAATGGGGCAGGGTGTTGAACCAGAGGCAAAAATTGTTTGGACAGCCGGTCGTGCCATTTTCAGATCTCAATCGTTTGGTGAAGGAATTTGAGCCTTATCGAAACTTGTGGGTCACTGCTTCTGGTAAGAAATGTTAAATTATTATTGTAAGAGTTAATATACGATTTTTACAAGTTGATACGTTAAGATACAGTGCAACTAATTCCAGTTATTGCAAAAGGAGGTTCGGTTCGTATGAATGTTGAGAAAATATAGTAGCGTGATCACCTAATTGCCTAAAAAGATATATAACCCGATAAACTGAAAACACAGTAAAAAAGTTTTTACGAGGCTGACGTTAGCCTGGCCTGATAATATAAATGATGGCTGAATCTAATATACAAATACTAAACCTATTAAGTGTCGAACATTAATACAAATAATAAATTAATTTTATAATTTGTTTCTTCGATAATAAAAACACAAATTTATTAAAATGACTTAATGATTAAATTATTACAGTTCGTCATTTGAGATTGCAATGAATTATTTTGCATAAAATATAAAATACTAATATTTCATAAAATCTCTTTACGAAATTTAAATTTTAAAATAGAATTTCCATAAGATAATTCACCCTTCTCACTCTCTCTCAATCGGTCTCAATCGCTCTCTCCCTTTTCTTCGACAAAAACGCTGCACATCTTCGTGACGTTCCGTAAAAATATTACCCTCATGCGCCTAAAGAAGTTTCACTTCAAAAATTAAATACATACCTAATACGTCTGTGATGTGTGTAGTGTGAAAGTGAGGGTGTGTATGTGGGGTGTGTTCGTGTAGCCGGTGATTTAGCGCTATGAATATTCTTATAACTCCTTTTAAGCATATTCCGCGATAGCTTAAATCTTCTGTCTCCTAGATTTCCTCAAAGCGCGCGAAGTCTGGTTCGACAATCCCCTAATGTACGTGGACGCGGATTCAATTGAGCCTCTTATTAATGAATATTACAAGACTATAATCAAGTGTGTGAGGACATTTGCTGATTTGCCCAAAGTGCAACAAGTGGCGCTCACCATCCGGGTAAAGATTCGCTTATACTCAGATTTTTGATTCCGTAGAATTCAAAGAAAAGATGAAGGAAATTCAAAGAAAAATTCGTAGAAAGAGATGACTAACCTTTTGGCCAGCCACATTTTTCAATTTCAATACGAGTCTGAACATCTGAGTCTTTTCATACATTTTATTTTATTTAGTTTTATAATTTTTTATTTAGTTTTAATTTTTATAATTTCGTTTTTACAGCACTTGTAATGGGAAATATAGATCATATTTTTGTTCATGCTTTCTATAATTGTTTTTAGAAACTGACTTAAATTGACACGAAGCTGAATGTTTTAAAGTTTTAAAAAGGTTGTATGACAATAATATTTTTTCAGACTGATAAGTAGAATACATGATTTAGTAGTTTTTTTTTATAGAACAGGGGGCAAACGGGCAGGAGGCTCACCTGATGTTAAGTGATACCGCCGCCCATGGACACTCTCAATGCCAGGGGCTCGCGTGTGTGTTGCCGGCCTTTTAAGAATTGGTACGCTCTTTTTTTGAAGGACCCTAAGTCGATTTGGTTCGTAAATACTTCAGTGGGCAGCTGGTTTCACAAAGTGGTGGTGCGCGGCAAAAACTGCCTTGAAAAACGCTCAGTTGTGGAACGGCGGACGTCGAGGTGATACGGGTGGAATTTCGTATTCTGCCTCGACGTCCGATGATGAAACTCAGCTGCAGGTATTAATCCGAACAACTTCTCTGAACACTCACCATTGTAAATGCGGTAGAAGATTCAGAGTGACCCCACATCTCTACGCAACGCCAAAGCCGCTCGGAGAGGGATTGGTCGTCGACGACTGTAATTTACTGTAAATTTCAGGATGACATTGATGAGTTTAAGCCATTGATACCTGTTATTCAAGCTGTTAGAAACCCTGGCATGAAAGAGAGACACTGGAATGAATTCATGGAAAAAGCTGGTGAGTAATGAGTAACAACAACATTGCTTTTGAATAAGAACATATTTTGTTTAATAATACCGTAAATCCTAACTTTATTACATAATTATACCCTACCTAACATAACTATTTCTTATTATGAATTAGTCTATAAAAATGTTGCCATATACTCGTAATTTAAAAACATATTGCGTCGGGAATTAACTTCGGTGGCGCTTGTTATATGGATATGTTCTAATATAACACTTTGTTTGAAGCTGGGTTACAATTGCCTTTAATTGTTTAAATCATGAGCTTATTACTAAGATAACATCAGGGGTAGTGGGTTGCGACGCTGGATTAAAAAACTAACTTGACTTATTGAAGGGTTTATTTCTAAGTGACACTTATGTTATTGGATATTATCGGAAACGAGAATGTTAAATTACAATTTATGAGTAAAGGACTCATTTTGGCTTCAAGTATGTAATGAATATTTTGTTTACGCTTCTAAATTTTAACTAATATCTAATATATAAAATTCTCGTGTCACAATGTTCGTTCCCATACTCCTCCGAAACGGCTCGACCGATTTTTATGAAATTTTTTATGCATATCGTAAGTCTGAGAATCGCACAACAATTTTTCATCACACTAAATGTTAAGGGTGGGTCCACAACTAAATTTTTATTTTTTAGACAATTTTTTTTGTTTTTATTTTTTTATGATACAGCACACTCATTAATTTTCACCCCTCTACGATCAACACCTATTTTTTTATTATAGTAGATAGTATTTATATTCAACTAAAAAAAAGTTTTCTAGAAATAATATACATGGCAAAACAACGTTTGCCGGGTCAGCTATATATAATATACTAGTCTAATATATAAAATTCTCGTGTCACAATGTTCGTTCCCATACTCCTCCGAAACGGCTTGACCGTTTTTTATCAAACTTTATATGCATATTCAGTAGGTCTGAGAATCGGCTACTATCTATTTTTCATACCCCTTAGTGATATGGGGTGTCCATCAAAATATTTTTTGGACATTTTTTTTAGTTTTAATTTTTTTACGATATACATACAAAAGTACATACAACCCCTAATTTTCACCCCTCTACGATCAACCTCTATTTTGTATTATAGTATATAGTTATTTTTATTAATCTAAAAAAATGTTTCCTAGAAATAATATACATGGCAAAACGACGTTTGCCAGGTCAGCTAGTATATATATGTAACTTGAACTAATGTTAGGTTATACCTAGGTAACATTGAAAATGTTTAGAACAACAATGAAAAACGGCTAAATGTAGAAAGTTGCCAATACTTTTATCGTTTTAGCTTCCTGACGCCTAAACGGTCGTGTAATATTTATTGAACTTGACTCATACCAAGGCGTGCCCATATCTACTGATAGGTCACTCTCTTATCTTCCTCTATCACGCGTCGCACAGCACTGATGCTATCTTCATTAGTCGCTGTTAAAGGACGTCCCTCACGCGGATCATCATTGAGATTGCTACCTCCTCGCTTAAACTTGTTAAACCAATTGTAAAAAGTGGCACGAGACGGGGCTTCATTAAGAAATGCTAATCACAGCCTATATATATAGCTTTGTTGTTGAGTAAGCCCACAACGAAAGTCATAATAAATCATTGTCCGAAAATTTTCTCGCATTAGGTTCATTTTCACGTGTAACAAGAGTTTTATATTTGCCGCCAATTCTCAAAAACAAATGACAAATGAATGCAATATACTACATTAGGTTACCAAAGAGTTCTAAAATTGAAATTGAAAAAAAAGTTTTCATTAGCAATGATTCTACCTGGCCAGTTCTAAACATTTTCAGTGTTACCCACGTATAACTCGGGAAAAGACTTAAAATTGTATCCAATTCGATAAAATATATATAATATATATATACCAATGTTTTTATTTTTCAGGTATTACTGTAACAATGAACGAGAAACAAACCTTCCAAATGTGTCTAAAGCAAGGCATGGCGGACCATGCTGGGCTGATCGCAGAAATAGGGGAACTCGCCAGCAAAGAGTATGTCATTGAACAGTCGTTAGACAAGATGCAGAACGATTGGGCTACCAAGGCTATGGAGATGTCGCCTTATAAAAACACAGGTAACATCGATTATTCCTTGTCTGAATGCCGTTTTCGGAGTTGTAAATATTAAAAGAATGGTAACACCCGCACCTTTTAAATATATATATGACCGTGACAAAACATTGGGATAAAGAATACCTTCCATAAATGTAAGGATTACAAATGTTTAATTTTGTAGACAATTGTATAATTCTATTAAAAAGAATTTATTATATTCACCTACTATAAATCGGTTAGAAGGTATCAGAGTCCGTAAGTGAAATTTAATTCTGCATATTTTTTTTATTCTAATAACAACTCAATATCCAGGGACATACATAATGAAGATAGCAGACGAGACCCTCCAACTTCTGGATGAGCATCTCTTGGCGACACAGCAGCTTGGCTTCAGCCCTTTCAAAGCTGCGTTCGAGTTGCGGATACAAGAGTGGGACGATAAAATTCGGCTCACTCAGAAGGTTGTAGATGAGTGGATCGAATGCCAGAAGTATGTATTTAGTTGACGCGACTGCTAATATTTAAGTTATTTATTTATTACAGAAATACATACATTATCCTTACAGACTATGCCAATACGATAATGTCGAGAATAATAAAATAAAATATAATGAAGTATATAACATTAAACACATAATATACACAATATCGCTACCGTGAATTCACTCTGCGAACATATAAGTATGTCGATAGTGTCGTAGACAGCATTCAGTAGGCGAAATGTCTTTGTTAACGGGGATCTGTGCAACAGACTGGTCTTTGCCTTCGCTGTCGCACATATCTCATAGGTACAAAGAAACCGGAGCACACTTGGGTTGCACACTATTCCCCGCAAGACTTTCAGTATTATATTATTTACATAAACCGACGTTTTGAGTACTTTACAGCAGTCGAGTCGAGTTGATTGAGAGACTGTAGCTGAGCCTAAATAGATTATTTAAAGTATTATTTTAAATTTAATAATCTAATGACTCTCTTTTGACTTATTTCAATGCTTTTTTTAACTGCTAAATAATTTTGTATCGCTTTAAATGTGCCACGTGATTTATCTTTAATTTCTGTAGGGAGTGGATGTATTTGGAACCAATTTTCACATCGGAAGATATTTCTCGCCAACTTCCCTTGGAAGCCAAGAAGTATGGTACAATGGAGAGGATTTGGAGAAGAATTATGTCTTCTGCTGCTGCTGTTCCAAAGGTTAACAATATAACCTCATAACTTTAAGATAAACAGACTTAAGACCTCAACCTCGGCGGCTAACGTGCAGCATGCATGCATTCATGAATGCAGGATATATTATTGCGCACGCATCGCGCACTTTTTTCAATGAATCTGACACCACTACACACACGAGAAGGCGCATCCACGGACTGGTGGACCAAACATAGGCTGCCACTATATTTTTCTCTCAGTAAATTACGCTATGTAAATAATGACCTCCGCTATGGAATAATAACAAAATTTTCCTTTCTTTGTAATCCTAGAGTTACTCGAAGTCTTCTATACGTACCTACGGCTCGCTTATCTGCTACTTTTAAGTTTATTACAATCATTGATTAAAATATTGATGTGTTTTATAACAGTCTACCAACTTACCGTAACTTTGTTTTGCAGGCTCTTTATGTGGTTTAAGTTTTCATTTAGTTTTATTTCTATTATTGTTATTTTTTATCTTTTTAGTTTTAGTTATTATTATTATTAATTTTTAGTTATTATCATTATTATTATTATTATTTGTTTTTCTTTTTTGTGATGGTTTGTTTAATTCTTTCCTTTGATAGTTCTTATGTTCTAATGTAATTGATTGTGTGTTAAATTTGTGACTTCATGTTTTCTTGTATTTTTTAGGCATGCACATTGTTTTGGAATGTATAAATAAATAAATAAACCATATACGTGGCTACAGGCAATCACGTTTGTTTATGCTGTATGGAGTAGGCCCCCTTCTGAAAACCATAGCTAACCTTTTACTTGACTAAAACTGTGTTCATACTTTCAGATAATGATAATATGCCCTGACAGTCGTTTATTGGACAGCTTAGTAGAAGCCCGGCACCTATTGGCCGTGGTGTCACGTGGCCTCAACGAGTACATGGAGCTGAAACGGCTTCGCTTCCCAAGGTTCTTCTTCCTCAGCGATGATGAGTTACTGGAGATACTCTCGCAGAGCAGAAATCCCAGAGCCGTACAGCCTCACTTAAGGAAATGTTTCGAGAACATTGCTAAGGTATATATTTTAAAAGTGGTTTATATGTTTCACTTGCATGGTTCATAGAAGCTCTACTTATGTAAAAATTGCTGTATTATAAGAACGGGGCTTTGTAGCGGTCCCTAGTTTGGACACACAGAACACAGAGAAGAGATAATATGTTTATCGGAAACAACTTAAGAATTTTGGGCTAAACAAATAATTGAATTACTACCCTAACTCGTGGTGGCGAATATTATATAAATTACTAGCTGCCACCGCGAACTTCGTTTCTCCTTAATGTGATTTTAATTCTTCCTTTTTAGTACATATACCAACATGGAACATTTTGCTGTGCTACCCCAAAGACTGTTCGGTTTTCTGGAATGAAAACTTTTTAGGTTTTTCTGTGAATTCTTCTCTATATAAACCTCAGAATTCAAGTCATAAGATAATAAATAAAAAATAGGGGTTAATTGTAGAGGGGTGAAAATTAAGGGTTGTATGTATTTTTGTATGATGTATCATAAAAAAATAAAAACAAAAAAAATTATCTAAAAAATTTAAATTTAAATTTAGGGGACCACCCTTAACTTTTAGGTCTTTGAAAGATAGATAGTAGACGATTTTCAGACTTACTGAATATGTATAAAAAAATTCATATTATTTTGAACGAGAATTTTAAATATTAGATATTGGAAATATTCTTTTGACTAATTTATAAAATTTTGGCTAATTAGGTGACCTTTGAACCGGACCTCAAAATAACACAAATGCATTCGAGTGAAGGAGAAATTGTCGATCTCAAATATAAGTTCTATCCTTCGTCGAATGTTGAACAATGGCTCTTATTGTTGGAGGATACAATGCGGCATAGTAGTTAGTATAAAAGTTATTTTATTTATTATTTACATAAGTAAAAGATACTAATAACGAATATTTAAAAATATAGATTTATTGGTTGCAATGTTTTAATTTACTGAATATTTTGCATATTCATAGAACATAGTACAGGATATAGTCCCTGGAGCAAATAAATGACTTAATTATTCCGTCCGTGAGTATAATAATATAGCCTTTTATTCAGATACTTTTAAATTTAATCACGTTTCTAGTTCTATATTATTTTCGGTATCTGTGTGCCCTTTTTTGGCAAAGGCCTCCTCCAAATTCCGCCATTCCTCTCGCCATGTACCACTTCCTGTTTCTTAAATTTGGTCTATGCACCTCTTTAAGTTGTCTTCCTCTTTTTTTCGTTTGCATTCCTTGGGCATGAGTTTAGTACTTTCTTGCTTCTCTTCCCATGTGCCCCGCCCATTTTCACTTTAGTTTATTTATTTTTGTTTTATCATCTGTTACCTTAGTTTTTTTGCTTAAAGATGAAATCTTTATTTTGTCTATTCCTTTCTTTATCATACATTCGTTTATAAGACTGACTTGGAACGAATTATTGCTAAGTACCTACATATTTTTCACGAAATTATATGAAGCAATTTTCACTTTGAAGACGGTTTTTTACGTTATGTGTACATAAATTCCAGTTCGCCTTACCCTTGTGGCTGGAATGGAGGAGCTGTGGGTGCTACCTCGTGCCGAATGGGTGCTCCGTTGGCCAGGGCAAGTAGTGATAGCGGGATCTCAGACTGCGTGGACGGCAGGGGTCGAGGAAGCTATTATTGATTACCGAATGGATGGATATTTTGAAGAAATGCTGAAACAGGTATTATGCGTTATTTTTCATATTGTAATTGTGTTAGTTTTCATTCAGATTTAATGCGCTAAAAACATTGTTTGAAACTATTCTAATGAGAAAAAGGCTAAACGTTTAAATATTTGTTCTCCTTAATTTTTAAATAACAATACAATATAAATTGCAGTCGTTAATTTCCCTAAGAATCCCCTGTATGCTACAAGATATTCACAATTGATCTATGCAAGTTATGAAGATATTGACACTTTCCACCTCCAAGCGGGAAGTCCTTGACTTTATTTAGAAGCAGTAACAATTTAGTTTTTTCTTTAAAATCTTAAGTTTGTTTTATGTTTAATTTCAGTTTTCTTTTTTTTATCTATTAATGTTCTTATGTATTCTATTTCATATTGTTTATCTATGTAATCTGTTTTGGGTTTGTGTATTGTCTAAGTGCTTTCTTTTAAAATGTGGATATGTGTAGCTGAAAGATTAGTTATAAATAAATACAATAAAAGATTAGGAAATTAATTTCAGTTGGACACACTTCGAGCTCTGGTCAAAGGCGAACTGACGTTCTTCCAACGAGAAGTGCTGTGCGCCCTCATCGTGATAGAGGTGCACGCGCGTGACGTCACCAACACCCTCGTGTGCGAGAACGTCAAGAACGTCAGCGACTTTCAGTGGATATGTCAGCTGAGGTAATGATTATCATTAAAATATTTAATATTAAAGTATTTAGTTCAAATATTAAATAATTAACTAAGGGAGCGTACAAGTATTACGTAACGCGTTTTGGGAGGGGGGGGGGTCCTTTAGTAAAAGGTTACGATGCGGGGCGGGAATTGAATTACGCGTTATTGTTAATATTATTTTCGACTTACACCACAAAATAGTAACTAAAGAGACACAAGGTGGTCACGAAACGTTTGACTATACTTGAGTACAGTACTGTACTAGGGTACTGAAAAACGTTACGGCGACATACATGGAGGGAGGTCAATAATTTCCAAAAATTGCGTTACGTTAACTGACTTCAAATACATGTCTAGTGAAAATGCAATTGCAATGATCTCAGGAAGTCTCAAAGGCTTAAATTTTTTTAATTTTATAAACCCTTGACTCTTCTGTAAGTTTGAATGTCCTATTTACTAAAAAACATTATTTTGACTGATATGACTTTTTATTTGGTTAGTACAAACATAAATATAAAAACACGATTTAGGGACTTTAGCCCCAAATTCCAGGAGGTAACTTTAACTTAAAACTTAGTTTCCAGAGTTGTCAAACAATTTTTTCTAGTTGAATTTGACTGTGCTGTAGTGGAGATTGACATACCTAGTTGGTATATTGAATGGATATTGTTTCAGATATTACCAGATAGTAAAAGAGATGTATCCTCTAGAAGAAGACGAACTCCCAGAAATATACCAGGATGAGAACAGACTTGACACGTCCGCCTTCTACCGACAGTTCAGTCAGAATCACTGTGACGTGCGAGCACTTAACTCTGTCTTCACATACTCGAACGAATATTTGGGAAATAGGTCCTTAATTTCAATAACATATGAAATATTTACATATCCTTAGGGTCCACTACCTCAGTAAGGTGATCGTCTTGTCACTCGGTATTATTATCTCTCCGGACATCGAACCCAACACTTTCAGGATGAAGTTAACTATATGTGTTTGCAAATATAATGATGGATTCTTAAGTCAGATAAAAAAAAATTATCTCGTTTTTTGTGTATTCTAGTGGTCGACTTGTGATAACCCCCTTAACTGACCGTTGCTATTTGACTCTGATGTGCGCGATGCATCTTTATTTTGGCGGCGCACCCGCAGGCCCGGCTGGCACTGGCAAGACGGAGACCACTAAGGTATTATATTACTTAATACGAATGTAAAATGTCATTGATAGATTTTAGGAAGACTTTCTAAAAACTAGAGCAGAGTTGGCCTAGTGGCCTCAGTGTGCTACTCTCATCCCTGAGGTCGTAGGTTCGATCCCCGGCTGTGCACATCGTGAGGAAACCGGCTTGCCTTGGACATAAAAAGTGCGACGGCACAGGAGGCTGATCACCTACTGCTTATTAGATTAACAAATGATCATGAAACAGATACAGAAATCTGAGGCCCAGATCTAAAAAAGGTTGTAGCGCCACTGATTTATTTATTCTAATAACTTACTTTTCTTTACGTAAAATTTTAAGTAATTGTTAATCTGTCCGTTAAAGTATTAAGAAATTGCAGGATTTAGCTAAAGCATTGGCTGTACAGTGCGTGGTCTTCAACTGTTCAGATCAACTAGACTACATGGCTATGGGAAAGTTCTTCAAGGGATTGGCGGCGTAAGTCATTTGATATGGACCTGACATAAATATTTTACAATGTGATGCAACAAAATAAATTATTCTGCTTTGTAAAAAGACTTTATGCATATCCAAAGCTGAATAAGTTCATTAAATAAGAACAAACATTATCTAATCGGTACTTTGTCCCCTCAGATCGGGTGCCTGGGCATGCTTTGATGAGTTCAATCGGATTGATATCGAAGTGCTATCAGTTGTTGCTCAACAGGTAAGGAATTTTGGATTATTTTAATTTCAGCATTGTTTATGAATAAGGTTATATATTGATAATTATATTGTCAGGTGGTTACGATACAAAAGGCCCAAAAAGCTCACTTGGAAAAGTTTATGTTTGAGGGTGTGGAACTTCCCCTGAAGGCGTCCTGTTCAGTCTTTATTACTATGAACCCGGGATACGCAGGTATTTAAGGAAGTTAAATTTTTCGCTAGACGCAAGTTATTTACCCGTGCAAGATTAATATTAAGATATATATATAGAAGACGCTAAAAGTGTCTAAAATGTGACCCGTATTTGAAAATAATTTGTTTCGCGGTCATTTGGGGAAGGAAAGGTTAAGTTAGCCTCTAAGAGTCTTGGTGTGCTGAGCAAGGCGAGACGGTACTTCACTCCCCGGGCCACCGCTTGCAACTCTATAAAGCGCAAATTCAGCCCCATGTCGAATACTGTTCTCACCTGTAAGCAGGAGCTCCCCAGTACCAGCTCCTTCCTCCTCCGTAATCAACGAAGAGCGTTTTGAATCGTCGACGAGCAGTCACTTTCCGAGCGGCTTAATCTCTTGGCGTTGCATAGAGATGTGGGATCTCTCTGCATCTTGTGCATTTACCATGGCAAGTGTTCAGAGGAGCTGTTCGGACTAATACCAGCAGCTGAGTTTCATCATCGGACGTCAAGGCAGATACCATCCGTATCATCTCGATGTCTGTCGTTCCACGACTAAGCGTTTTCTAAGGCAGTTTTTGCCGCGGTAGGACTTAAGCTGGCCATAGACCGACCGCATGTTGCAGTCAAGACCGACTGCTGTAGAGAGCGCGTTGAAGTCATACACGACTGCAACACGACCGCATAATGCAGTCGACTACGACTGCTTGGAGCAGTTGTGTTCGACCGCAAAATAACAACTACTGATGCGAGTTCATTTACAAGATGGATTTCGATGAAGAAACACTGCTACTTGTACTACTAAGTATTACGCAAGCGTAGGCGTAGAAGACCGTAGTATGTGGGCGCGTCCAATACTACAATCAAGAGAACAGCATGGAATATTTAATACTGTATCCCCAGCTGAGAGAAGACACAAAAAGCTACTAACTTCCAGCTACTTTAGAATATCTGTGGTTTCATTTGATGAATTAGTTATGGATACTCGTACAACGGACAGATTCCAAAAAAAAATAAGTGGGAGTGGCGCGCGGTCTGCAGCAACCCCTTGTTACGCTCCGTGTATGCGGTAGGTGGGTCCCGCAGCTCTAAGCAGGTGACCGGACGGCGAAACAGAGTGACTGCTCCGACCGCTCGAGCGGTCCGTGTATTGCGGATATGAATTTAGTATGGAAACTGCAGAAACTGCTCTAGAGCAGTCGATCTCGGCCGCAACATGCGGTCCGTCTATGGCCAGCGTAAGGGACCAATTCTTGAAAGGCCGACAACGCACTTGCGAGCCTTCTGGCAATGTGAGTGTCCATAGGCGGTGGTATCATTTAACATCAGAGCCTCCAGCCCGTTTGCATACATAAATAAATGAAAATAATTTTTAATTTTTAAGGTCGTACGGAGTTGCCAGATAATTTGAAAGCATTATTCCGTCCAATCTCAATGATGGTCCCTGACTATGCCCTCATTGCTGAAATATCTCTCTTCTCATATGGATTCTTCGAAGCAAAACTCTTGGCTGGAAAGATTACTACTACATTCAGATTGAGTTCGGAACAGTTGTCGTCACAGGTAAGAATATAATATTTCAATGGTTACGAGGTATTTTGGTTAAGGTTAGATTTATTCTAAAAATAATAATATTAATTTTATTTAAAAGAGCGTACCAATTCTTAAAAGGCCGGCAACGCAATTGGAGCCTCCTGCCGGTTTGCCTCCTATTGCATTAAAAAAAATTTGCTCCTTAAATCTTTTCAAAATAATGATTCTAGGACCACTACGATTTTGGGATGCGAGCTGTAAAAACGGTGATCTTGGTGGCTGGAAACCTTATCCGACAAATGCCGGATGCCGACGAGAGGCAGATAGTCCTGAGGGCGTTGCGTGATGTCAACGTACCCAAGTTTTTGGCTGATGATCTTGTCTTGTTTAACGGTATCCATTTTGATTAATTTGATGATGAATAAAAAGTTATCTGCGATCTCCGTTTCGCCATCACGCGTCTGTAGCTACATTGATTGCCTTATGCCTGTGTTAATACGCGATAAAAATTTACTAGATGACACCTCTGTATGGAATTTATTAAAATGATAAAGAGTGATTTTAAGGACTCTTTCAGGAATTATATCGGATTTATTTCCTCGCGTGGAGATTCCAGTTGTTGATTACGGCATCATGGAGCAGTCTATCAGAAATATGCTTGTCAAAAGAGGCTACGATGACCTTTACAGTAAGAATTTCAATTGATACAATTGTTTTTAAGACACTAATAACCCAATCACTTACTCTTTTGGTTCCACAACACAACAGAAAATATATATTCGGATAGGCTTAGGCATTGTTAAGTGCCTAATCCTATCTCAAACCTAATCCACTGTTTTGCTGGTATTTTTTTGTGCTTAACAAAAATTTGTAGTATAGTAATTTTTATTGTATTTTTGTAACATTTCTGTTTACCTAAATTGTCATACATTTTACATAAAAGAGTTTATAACATATACCGTAGATTTAGTACTATGTATGATGTGGTATAATTTAATAAATAATAAACTAAAATAAAAATGTACTATTTACCATTATTCTAAGTAAACTTAAAGTTTATTTTAAAATTTTGTTTTAATTATTTTTAAATACTCATATATTGATTATATGTTATTTTTACAGCTTTTATATTTAAGATAATACAACTTTATGAGACGACAGTTGTAAGGCATGGGTTGATGTTGGTCGGACCGGCCGGCGCTGGGAAAACTAAGGTGATTTTTTGTTATTCAAATTATAAAATTGTTAAATTATAATTATTTATTTCTTTTATATATTTTATTATAATTATATTGTCTGAATGCGCTCAATTCAAATGTTGTGTGAGGTTATTAAAATGTATTTTAGTGCTGTTGCAGTCCCATAAGTTAAAGTTACACGCAAAAACGTCAGTAATATTTTTCTAAGTAATATTTTTTTAATATTATAAAACAACTCACAACTTTATTAGTATTGTAAGTGTCTATGGACTGGTTTTCCAATTTTTTATCTAAGACAACATATAGAAAGTTCAGATAGTTTCATCTCTTGGCTTTGCCTAGAGATGTGGGGTCTCTCTGCATCTTCTACCGCATTTACCATAGAGAGTGTTCAGAGGAGTTGTTCGGACTAATACCTGCAGCTGAGTTTCATCATCGGACGTCAAGGCAGAATACAAAATACCATCCGTATCACCTCTGCGTCCGTTGTTCCACAACTGAGGCAGATTTTGCCGCACCACCTTTGTGTGGAACCCGCTGCCCACTGAAGTATTTCCGAACCAATTTGACTTAAAGCCCTTCAAGAAAAGAGCGTACCAATTTTTAAAAGGGTCGCCCTGCATGCATTTGCGAGCCTTCTGGCAATGTGAGGGTCCATGGGCGTCGGTATAACTTAACATTAGGTGAGCCTTCTGTTTGAACACTGCTTAATATTATTTCAGTTAACACCGAATTTTGCTAAGAGACTGATGGAAAACGAAATGTTAAATTAAACTTATCTTCCATAAGCAATAATTTAATTTTAGTGTTATGAAATTCTTCGCGACGCTCTAACAGCCATAAGAGGCAAGTTAGCCCCAGACGGGTTCCCCTTTACAACAGTGCATACGTTTATCGTAAATCCCAAATCCATTACTATGGGTCAGCTATATGGAGAGTTCGACTTGAACACTCATGAATGGTAACTGTTCCTTTGTATTTACCTTAATATGTTTATCGATTTGCTTAGTATTTAAGATATTATATCATTAAATATTTATAATGTAGGGGAAGCCCGAGCAAGAAGCAAAGTGCGGGCAAGAAGAATAACAGATTTTTCCATAAATTTAAAATAGATATCGCTTTGGCAATTTTTTTAGTCGTTTCATATGCAACCGGCGATGCCATGACAGTTCAACCAAAATAATACGCGAGTGCATTTGTTGTTAAAAAAATAAAAAAGAAATATCGTTGTTTTGTTACGATTTTTGTGAAGGTTTGTACATAAAGTTCTTGTATTAGTCATGAGTTATCTTATGAAATGTTTTACTTAGCCTATTGCACGTTTATCTAAGTATTATTTCTAGTCGTTACTTTTTGTTTACCTACTAAAATGGTTTCAAGTTTTCAAGTTTTTTCTAATATTACCGTGTTGGGCAAAAAGAATATGGGCAAAACGGATAGGTATTATTGTATTGAAATTGTACACCTCTGTGTAGACGTCTACTCCCGCCAAACCTGAGCAAGCATTAAAATTTCAGAAGGCAAATAATAAGAATTCCAAAATTTCAGCCCCAGCAAGACTAAAACTAAATAAAACCCTCAAAAGTGTAATCGATGCAGAAGTTGGGCGAATAAAGACTGCTTTTCTTATGTAGGAGTTGGCAGCTACTTCTTTGATGAATACGATGACTGATCTTAATTAATTCAACATTATCCGTCTTGCCCGAACCCTCCGGGCTTGATTTGCTTGAATTGATACTTTTTGCTAATTCTCATAAATGATATAGAAATCATTAAATTTTTTAAGTTTATGTGATTATTTTCCAAAGATGATTAACCATAGTACAAATTAAAAGTACAAAGAGTTCTATTGAATAACAGATTGTGGCTTTAATTTACAGTATCCCTTAACATATGCGTCTTGCCCGGGCTTCCCCTAACTAGCGATATCCAAAGACATTATAGGTATGTTAACTAAAGCTGGCGGCTTCAACACATTTACACTTTGTGCTTGTGTAGTGTCTGTGAATAAGCGCGAGATGTGATGTCAAACTGAAATACAATCATAAATACATCATGAATAGACTGTCCGTCGTGTATGAGTGGACTAAAATGTATAGCATGGCAAAAAAATCATATTTTGAAACATACTGTATGTGAAATTGCATTAGTGTGAGTACTGTGAACCCGCCAGCTTTCGATAACCGACCTATACATCTTTCTAGATAAAATGCAAATGTTACCTTTTAAAGTGCCAGTTTAGTTGCATACCTCATGTCTTGTGTTTGTAATTGTGTTTTTATTTATTGTAAATAATTTTAATTGTTAGTGTTTTCGATTGGTATTACTTCAAGATAATAAAGGTCTACTGAAAATCAGTGTTGCTGGTGACAGCAACTTAAAGCTATTGGCTTAGCAATAGGGTGGCAGGGCTGGCAAAATGCCACGGGCCCCCAACCCCAGAGATGTATGCATGAATATGAAGTCTCGAATACGCATTAGGCTAGCGTGGACCATTCCTTTTCGCCTAAGAGAGGAGGCCTATGGCCATTAGTGGGACATATACAACGTGTAATTGAGAACGCTGAAAATCTCGAAATTTATTACAATTAAACTGAGTACAACGTGACGAATTTTACTGATAGGGCCCCATCAAAAGAATTTTCCACGGGCCCCAGATGGTAAAGTTACGCCGCCACTGATTAAAGTAATTGTTTTTGTATTTTTTTATGTGTGTGCTTTTATATAAATGTTTTTTTTCCTAGACGCTAAACTAAGTAGTTAAACTCGAGGCAAATTCAGAATATTTTTAATATCAAAATGGGCCAACAGTTCTTCGATGGAGGCCTACTCTAAGACTCATTGAATACTTTATCCTTATATTTCTCGTATTATTATGATAATGAGACATATATTTGATAAATGACCTCAATTTGAAGTAGAAACCAATAGTTTAAATGATCTTATAGGACCGATGGTATTCTATCGAGTTTGGTCCGGGCGGGAATAGCAGTGGAAGACACGGACAGACGGTGGTACCTGTTCGATGGACCAGTGGATGCTGTCTGGATTGAAAACATGAACACTGTGAGAAGGAATCCATATAGATCATTTTATCTTTTGATATTATTGAGGGAATATGATCACTTTGTACTCTAATAATTTTTCTCAAAAACTTATTGAAACTCTAGGTTTTAGACGACAACAAGAAGCTATGCCTATCAAGTGGCGAGATAATGAAACTGACAGACAGACAGCGTATGATCTTCGAAGTAGCGGACTTGGCTGTGGCCTCTCCTGCTACAGTATCTCGTTGTGGAATGGTCTACCTCGACACCAAGGTGGTCGGTCTTCAGCCTCTTGTCAATGCTTGGATGAAGAGTAATTTACCACCGGTAATTCTTTTTATGAACTACTGCACCAACTTTTCCTAAATCGACATTTCAAAACTTCGATAAACTTCGAGAAACTTCGTTCCTTGCTCCAGCATGTAGAATAGCGTGAGCCTGGAAAACTTGCCATTCTAAACCAGTTGAGTTTGTACTTTCGAACCCAGGTATCAGGAATTTTCTATGTGCTCAATTATATACCATATATCACTCATTTTGAAGTAGTTAACAACATTACAAATGAACTTAACTTGTGAGTTATGAATTAAAATTTACACTATATATTCCTAAAATTTCAGATTGCAGACAACATCCGAAAAATCCTCTATAACCTAATAACGGTCTACCTATACCCCGCCATTACCGTCCTCCGGTCAAAGTTGACGGAAATAGTGGCATCTATTGATTCGGCCCTCGTGCTAAAGTTCTTGGAGCTGCTGGACTACAGGCTCAGACCTCTTACTGGAAAGGATGATAGACCTCCCCCAGGGCCAGTATTTATTGCTATGATGCGTAAGTATGCCATATAAAAGTATTTATAGCGACAAATTTATTTTAAAAAGAAAATAAAATAAATCAGTGGCGCTAAAACCTTTTTAAGGTCTGGGCCTCAGATTTCTGAATCTGTTTCTCGATCATTTGTCTTATAGGCAAGTAGGTGATCAGCCTCCTGTGCCTGACACACGCAGTCGACTTTTTGGGTCTAAGGCCGGTTTCCTCACGATTTTTTTCTTCCCCGTTCGTTATTAAATGCGCGAATTGAAAGAATGTCAATTGGTGCACAGCTGGGAATCGAACCTACGATCTCAGGGATGAGAGTCGCACGCTGAAGCCGCTAGGCCAACACTGCTCTCGACAAAATATTTTAATGCTTGGAATTTAATTGATTTGTTTTTAATTAGTAAGATACAGTTCTTCCGTCGTTCCTTTTTACGCAATGTTCCTAATGCCTGATTATTTTACCATGTAGCCAAACTAGCACCTTGTTGGGTCGTGTGGGCGATTATATGGTCAGTGGGAGCTACATGCGATCACAACGGACGAGCGATCTTCTCAGACTTTATGCGAAATATTATGGAAGAGAATGGGACCAGACCAGCTTTTCCAAAAGAGGGGAGGGTTTATGACTATACGTGAGGATTTTTTACGTTTTAGTACTTGTTTTAAGGTAAGAGTTTGAAGTAGGCTGGAAGGTTTTTTTTCTCTACTTCTTCGCCGCTTAAGTGTTTAGCGCCACAACTTACTCGTGTATAAAAAAATAATCTCTTTGTCTAAACACGCACTTGCAATATGCAGATTACATGACGGTGGATTCACTGATCCAACAGACGACGGTGAGCCAGCAAATCCTTACTGGTACAACTGGATGGCTAATCTTGAGGAATATGAAGTAGATCCAGAATGGCAGTTTGCTGGTACGCGAATATTTTAAGCAATACTAATTACCCTTACAAACTTTTTGGTTACAATATTTTAAGCTATTGCATAGATTTTATCGTGGGCTTTGAGCGCGCCGGCCGAATCAAGAAATTCCGTAACGAAAATAAAAACTTAACACAATGACGTAATATAGGTGCGGCCAATACGCATTTGAGCGGGACAGAACGCATACTGCGTCTCACATCGGTCTGGCGTGATAGGTGACGTGGCGCAGGTGCGTTAGAGTGGGACAGAACGCATACTGCGTATTCACATCTCTCTCACGAGATCGGTGACGTAGCGTAAGCGCGGCCGATGCAGTCGGTACGCGTTAGAGTGAGCCAGACTGGTTAGGCGTGTTATTCTGAGTCTGGTAGATTGAATTAATATCAAAGAAAAAAAATACTGCATAAATAAAAAATTCATAAATAATTATAATTGCAGAAGTTGACAAAAAATGATATGAGCTTTACCGCGGCAGTCCCCGAATGCCACCCGTTTTTTTTTGTTTAGTGTTTTTAATTGTATTCTACTTTGATATATTTCAGATATCGAAGTCCCAACATTAGATAATGTTCGTAGTGCGGCGATTCTGGGCTACAAGATCGCTAACTACAACCACGTAATCTGCGTGGGGCCGACAGGTACTGGGAAGACGGTCACGATTTCCTCAAAGCTCTCTAGAGGGCTGCATAAGAAATTTATCTGCGAATTCCTTGTCTTTTCGGCTAGAACTTCTGCTAATCAGACTCAGGTAACCTTTACGTTGGTGACTGGTCGTACTTGAATTCGTGTATGCGGTGATGTTAGTTATTTCGACAATGTAAGTGCGTGCTCCTATTTCACCATGCCTCCTGCTGATAGAGGACAAATCTTTGTTTTTAATTTATATTATTATTATTTATTACTTAAAATGTCATGTTGAACATGGTGTAATGGTTGCAGCTCCTTACAAACGTTGTTTAAAACAAAAACTTGGCGATTAATAAGAGTGGCGGAGAGTTTATTGCCAGTTCTTCTCTTCCGTTCTACGCCCATGATTTGAGAACTGGCAGTAAATGTAAAATTAGAAGCATACCGCTACTATGAATTCACTCTGCGAACATATAAATATGTCGATAGTGTCGGAGACAGCATTCCGCAGGCGCAACGTCTTTGATAACGGTGATCTGTGCAACAGACTGGTTATTTTATGATTATAATTGGTGTTATCAGAGAAACATTTATTTTGGTAGGGGAGCCCACGATGCTAAATGGGGATTTACTCGAGCGTCGTAGAGACCTATTGGGATGCAAAGCTTAGATAACAAGAAGAAAAAAATGTTATATGATATATACCTTTTCATCGGTGGGGGAAGCGGCTATAGATTATATATGTAAAAAAAACTGTTGCATGGACATCCTCGAGCGCGTCAGATATTGATAGCATCAATGCCCTACGTATTTTTAATAATGTACGTATGTTAATCTGATCGTTTGCATGATGCGGGTGGTTGTATTTAAGGGTTGAAAATGAAAAAAAAAAAATTATCGAGCGCGTCAGATTTTCTAAGGGAGTGTTAAGTGCACCAAAAAAAAGCTCTCATTCACTAATCTGACGATTTCGATGGGACGCAAACCCACGGCCATTTTGATAATTTGCAAAAAAAAATCGCAATTTTGAATTACTCAAGCGCGTCAGATTAAGATATATGTGGTTCATCTTTATGTTCTAAACGTACTGTCTCATAATCTGACGATTATCTAGAGGGATTCGCCTGATCTGACAAAAAAAGTTTAGAAAAACGGTTCACCTAAAGGGCCATCCCTGCAACTTCCCGCTAATTCCATTCCTGGGCGCTTAAAATTGATATTTTGAGCTCGCTGAGTTCAAAGAAATAATATTTCTATGCATTTGAGCTCTCCCAGCTCGAAAGTCTGATAGAAGTTTCATAGAACACTATTTTTGGAATTTTCAAACCGCAATAACTTTTGAATGGATTAAGCAATTTTCACGCGGTTGGCAGCATTCGACGCAGTTTTATCATCCTCATATGTAATTTTAATTGATCGAACCACAAATTTCGGAGTAATCCCGAAAAAACACTTTTTCGGGTTCCTTTCGTTCACGATATCTCTCGAACGAATCAACCGCTTTTGACCAGCTTGGTGGCGATCGACGTGGTTTTTCAAGCTCAAAGGCGGATTAGTTTTTGAAGTTGATCGATAAAGAAACCACTTTAAAAAAAAATGTTTCTTATTTTTTTAAGATTTTTCAAAATTTCTCAAAATCTATCTGTCCGAATCGGTTCAAATTCACAGGAAATGTAATTTTGAGGGAAATATTTAGAACGCCGTTTAGTAGATTCCGATCGGTTTAAGGAAATGTAGGCATCACGCAGCTGCACGCATTTAACTTTATCGACGAATTTTTGTTATTTCGGCTTGCGGAAATCGTCAGATTATATATTTTTCATTATTCTTGAATTATTTCCTTCAAAATAAAAAAAATTAGCTACGCTCGAGAATGTCGAGATGACGTTTTTTTTTACAACTTTGTTGCTCTCCCCTTTTTTTACGTCACTTTCAAATTGTCAGATTAGTGGAATATACACTTTTTAGGATGTAATTAACTCACCCTACCTTAATCTGACGCGCTCGGGAATTTCTGATGGTCAATTTTTTTTTACTAATCTGATCCTGTCTCCTTCACGGGCGGCCTTATATATGGGCCTCATATTTTGTGGAGGTACTTAACCGGGTACAAGGTATCCCCCTATATATTAATCTGCCGCGCTTTAGTAAATCCCGAAATCCCCTCTTGGGCTCCCCTACCATTTGATATAATTTTTGTTAGAAGTCAGTGTTGTAAATACGTGTAGTAACCAATTTTCAATTAGATTTTGACTGCTAGTGTACAATATTGGTATATTCCAGGATGTAATTGATGGGAAGCTGGAACGTCGTAGGCGTGGAGTGTTCGGTCCACCGCCCACCAAGAGACAGGTTTTCTTCATCGACGATCTGAACATGCCGGCCCTCGAAGTATATGGAGCGCAGCCCCCTATAGAACTTCTAAGGCAGTTCATGGACTTTTCTGGTATATTTAATATATGATACTAAATAAATAAAAAGTACTTCGGACGTGAAATATGCCGTTTTAGGATAAGATTTTAGCTATAACTTCAAATTGAATACTCAGGCTGGTATGACCGTACGAGTATCGGTGACTTCAAGACTCTGATCGATGTGGGCATCGTAGCGGCCATGGGACCACCCGGAGGGGGACGGAACCCCGTTACTATGCGACTGATGAGACATTTCCACTACGTCTCGTTTACTGAGATGGAATACAACAGCAAGGTTTTAATTAAGTTTTTTTAAAGTTTGTTCCTTTTGTAATACGTAGGTACTCGTTTCTTTATTTTTTGATAACTTTGTAAAAAGTTGATTTAAAGGAATCAAGTTCAATTCAAACATATTAAAACAAAGTTAAAGGTCGAATGTATAACTTGTTTCAAAATATCTTAAGTTTTGAAGATTTTGATAAATATAATATTGAGCCTTTGAGCTTGGAATAAACGTGAAAGTTCGATGTATAATACACATCGAAGTGCTTACCAATAATTTAAAATGTTATTTTCAGTACTGTATCTTCAGTACGATTTTAAAATCGTGGACCCGAAACTTGGAAAAAGTATCAGTCCGTGAGAATCCCTTTCTCAAGGGCTCTATCGAGATATTTAATTCTCTGGTAGAAGAGTTACTGCCGACTCCGACCAAATCCCACTATACTTTCAACCTACGGGATCTTAGCAAAGTCTTTCAAGGCATTCTTATGATGGATCCACACTTCGTCAAGGTGAGAGTAGTAGACTTTATTTTTAATTACAATCAGTCAAAAATATCCTGTTCAATGTTTAAAACCTTTTAATTTAAGTCTTAGGCTACAAATTGATTTTTTGGTATCCTTATGTTTAGGATGAAGACGATGTGATACGGTTATGGTATCACGAACACCAACGCGTGTACCAAGACAGATTGGTTAATAAAGAAGATCGCATGTGGTTTGTCAAGTACGTATTTTTTACACCTCTTCTTACTACCGCAAGAAGAAGTAAAACTTTCCCCAGATAGAGTGGCCTAGATTAGATTCGATTACAGAAAATTAAAGATTAGCACGACCGAGGTAAAGCAAATTTATTATACTAATTGATTGATTTGATGTTTGATGATATTGTTAGATTAATACGTAACTATTGATTATTATGATTTGTGATATGTAATTATTTCAAGCTTGTTGGACAAGAAAATTAAAACGGAATTTGGCAAAAAAGCTAGCGAAGTTGTTGGAGGAAGATTGATGCTGTTTGGAGACTTTATGGACATTGGAGCTGATGATAAAAAGTACCTGGAAATTACTGATCAAGAGGAGGTATGGTATGGGTACCTTATTGATGAATGATGCATTGATTCTACTATATGTGTTTGTGACAAACTCAGGTCTTGAAAGGCTTTTGAAAACTTGGGCATGATTTATCAAATATGTTATGGATATGTATAACAGCTATAGTAATATATAATTTAAAATGATATATGCGGAAATAGTAAAACACGCTTGCACACTTTTTAAGAGTAATCATAGAAATTCTAGGCATATGAATAAAATAACTCAACATCTTTATTATTTTTTTAGCTTGACGAAGTTCTGGCCCATTATCTGAATGAATATAACACATCGTCGACAGCACCTCTTGACCTGGTTCTCTTTGATGACGCTATCGCTCATCTCTGTCGACTAGCAAGAATCATGAGACAGCCTATGGCCAATGCACTTTTGCTTGGTATGGGCGGCTCCGGTGAGTTAACAGATAAAATCACTTTTACCCAAATGAAATAGAAATAAAAATGGTTTTTACTGGAGCGAGAAATGTATGCGAATTTTTTTATGAACCAACATAAGCACTAAAATCCGTAGGTTAAATGACTTTATTAAGGCAAGCGTAAGGTAGATAAAAAAACTTTCCTTCTAATATCACAACTATTACGGTATTCATTTTTTTTCAGGACGTCAATCCCTATCCCGATTAGCAGCCAATATGTCAGAGCTGAGCTGTATTCAGATCGAGATTACGAAGGCATATGGACAGGCTGAGTGGAGAGACGACCTTAAGCAGACAATGCTGAAAGCTGGAGCTGAGAATAGAGGAACTGTCTTTCTCTTTTCTGATGCACAGGTTTTTTTTTTAAATAGTTTCTAAACCTTTCTGGGAAATTAAACAGTTTTGTTTATAATTCATAAATTGAGTTAGGAACTGATTTAACAACGAACAAAATTCTAAAAACACTTTCTAACAAATACATTATTAATTTTCTTTACTCGACGAAGCGAATGCCTGTTGCTATTGTTCTAAAAATAACTTGTTTCCAATATTCCAGATAAAAATGGAATCGTTCCTTGAAGACCTGAACAACATCCTGAGTTCTGGTGACGTGCCCAACATCTACGAAGCAGAGGACCTCGACCGTATCTACATGTCCGTGCGACACGCCGTCATGGAAATGAGCCTTCCCGCTACTAAGACCAACCTCTTTGCCTGCTATCAACGACGCGTGCGCAGTAACCTGCATATCGTTATTGTTATGAGTCCAGTGGGGGAGGCAAGGGCTTTATTTATTTACTATCTCATAATGAAACTATAGTGAAATAGTTTGTGATTTTTAATAGATCTTAAAAATGACAAACATCGCTTGACTTAAAACAAAGAAACAATTAAATATTATACCAAAACAGGTGCAGGAGGCTGGCTCTGGGCAGTATTTGTCTCTTCTGTGCTTTTTAAGGAATACATTCGTACCTCGCCACCTGATTCAATAAACCAAACGACTTATTAAGGTTTTAGAAGAAATTTCTTCTTCGAACGATGTCTTATCACGCTTTAGGTCTGTAAGCGTGAACCATGACAATGGGGAGAGTAAATAGTTTTTTTAAATTATTGTGTTTTATCAGATATTCCGTGCTCGTCTCCGTCAGTTCCCTTCTTTAGTGAACTGCTGTACTATCGATTGGTTCAGTGAATGGCCACGCACGGCACTAGACTCCGTAGCCACGCACTTCTTTAACAACATGTACGAGCTACAGACGACTGATGAAGTTATCGCTTCTATGGTGGTACGTAGATTTACAGAGCAAAATTATTCTCCTCAGATATTCTTAAATTATCATCATAAGGGGTGGTTGATTTTCAACTTTCGGCGTGTATTGAAGTTCAATTCAATTTTTTAAACACCATTCTACACAATTTTCCAATTTTTAAACATTATTTACTACACTTTGCATATAAAGGGTATCTTTTAAATTTTTGGAATATAAGTAGTCGGAAGGTTTGAAACCAAACCTTTAATGTATTTTATCCTAAATTGTTTTATCTTTGTAATCACATCAAAATCATTATGAACGTCAAAAAGAAATACATATTAAATGCTTATAATTTTACATTTACTGCCCAAATCAAGGGCGTAGAACGGAAGAGAAGAACTGGCAATAAACTCACTCACTCCTTTTCATCGCCAAGTTTTTGTTATACACAATGTTTGTAAGGAGCTGCAACAATTACACCATGTTCCACAAGATATCTTAATACAATAGTTAAATTAATAATACAAAAAAAAAACTTTTTCTCTTAATCTTCTTCGATCTTCGATCTTAAATCATGACCGATATTGAATCAAAAACATAAACGAAACATTTTCTCAATATAACATATTTCTTGAAACAGTCGGTCTGCTGTTTTGCCCACCAAAGCGTGGTAGAAGCAAGTGCTCGATTCTTGGCGCAACTGAACAGACTGAATTACGTCACTCCCATGTCATATATGGAGATGCTTGCAGCGTATGCCGAGATGTTCAAAAAGAAACAGTTGGCTATACTCAACGAGTCTAACGCTTTGAAAACTGGTCAGTATTGTAAATAAAGTAGGGAAGTATTATTGTGATTGTAATTTCTGACGATCAGCCAAATGTTCTTTTCAATGCTGGAAACAGAGAAGCAGCGTCAACCAGAATACATCATAAGAATTATCGCTCTCTTTTCATTACAGCGTAAATGCAACTTAACTGAGAGGAGGTAATAATATAACCGGTATAATTTTAGGACTGAACAAGCTAAATCAAACTGAAGTGGAAGTAAAGCAGCTGCAAATAGAACTTGCAGAACTGAAACCTCTGATGGAGAAAGCTGCGGAAGAGACCAGGAAGGTTATCGACCAGATCGCTAGTGATACTGTAAGTAAATAAATATACATATGTACATGATTTCTGGCCTCTTGATGAATTAGTTTTTATATCATATATTCATTTTCTATAATATGTATTCAGTTCCGTAATTTTTGTGTGACTTATTAAAAAAAATCTTAACTAACTACTATTACTTTCAGGCTATCGCAGAAGAGGCACGAATTAAGGTAGAGAAGGAACAAGCAATGGCAGAGGCTATGGCAAAAGAAACTACTGCAATGGCAGAAGATGCCCAAAGGGATTTAGGTACAATTTAATAAACAAGTGGGGCCAAACATGAAAGTTGGCTTTTTATTTTTGCATATGTTTCTTTATCACTTTTTTTATAAACATGGTAATCTAATAGAAATACAGCTGATGTATTTTGAATAATTTCCATAGACGAAGCGATGCCAGCGCTGCGAGCTGCAGAAAAAGCATTGCAAGAGTTGAATCGGAATGATGTTGTAGAAGTAAAAGCTATGAAGACGCCTCCAGCCGGGGTCGTATTGGTCATTGAGTCTCTCTGTGTAGTCTTCGACATTAAGCCTATTAAGGTGACGTGTATTTAAGAATTATTTGCTATATATATAAATATATATAATGGCAGTCATCGCAGCCCATGGACATCCATTTTAAGTAGGTGCGTTGCCGGCCTTTGAGGGAAGAGTACACTGTAACTTTGAATAATTGGAGGTCGTATCTCTTAGGGAAGGCCCCCACCGGGAGTCGATAGTTCGCTAGTTCGCAAGTGCCTTGTGAAACGGACTGTGGAAGACTTCCAGCCATCAAGATGATGTCTATGTGATAGATGCCACTATGTGGAACCAGCTGCCCACTGAAGTATTTCCGAACCAATTCGACTTAGGGTCCTTCAAGAAAAGAGCGTATCAATACTTAAAAGGCCGGCAACGCACTCGCGAAACCTCTGGCATTGAGAGTGTCCATGGGCGGCGGTATTACTTAACATCAGATGAGCCTCCTGCCCGTTTGCCCCCGGTTCTATAAAAAAAAATGATGTTGATGAAATATTTCATTGATACGGCTCGTACGGTGTTGAAACTAGGCAGGAGAGATCAACCCAACCAACTTTTCAGACCACTCACCTCCCAACCACCAAGTGTACTATACACTTTGTTGAAAACGCAAAGAGACGCAATGTCTCTACGTAGATATAATCAACCGATCTGTAATACGTTGAAGATTGAGAATTCGACCAGCCCATCGCTGAATTGGTGAAAAGGATGAAGCTGGTATTTGGGAGCACCAGCCCAGAGATGAAAATCTCTGAGATATGAGGGCAACAAGTGACCTTAAGGAAAATATAGATATATAGATTTTGATTGAGTACAAAAAGTGCATAAGTGCAGAACTATGTCACAAAAACATATCTTTTCTTATTTATTAGATTTTAATTTTAGGATCACATTACTTTCTTTTATTATAAATAATATATAGATATAGATATATATTTATTTATATATTTTATAGATTTCTATTCATTTAGTGTTCCGAAGTCTTATTTATATTTCTCTTCTTCTTTTATTACTTATACGAAACTTAATTTCCTTTTGTTATTAACATTTACAGGAACCTGGGCCTAATCTTGGCCAGAAAATCCTGAATTACTGGAAGCCCGGGTCACAAATGTTGGCAGACCCGACTGCGTTTTTGGACTCTCTGATGAAGTTTGACAAGGAGTCTATCACTGAAGATATGATCAAAAAACTGAAGCGGTTCATCAATGACCCCAACTACGACCCACCCAAGATTCTGAAAGTAATTCATTACAATCAGTTTGTTTTGATTTATGGGTCTCGAAAATCCCTTGTTGCATTTGCAACGAAATGTTGAAGAATCAACGGCCGTCAAAGCATGCGCTTTAAAATATACAAATACATACGAGTATATGTATTATGTATTATGTATATATATATATATATATATATATATATATATATATATATTTAACTTCCCTACGATCCTGATCAACATATATCCTGTAAGTTTATCTTATTTCTATAGCAGTGTTGGCCTAGTGGCTTCAGCGTGCGACTATCATCCTTTAGGGCGTAGGTTCGATCGCTGGCTGTGTACTAATGGACTTTCCGTCATGTGCGCATTTTAAATGAACGGTGAAAGCAAACATCGTGAGGAAAACGGCTTGCCTTAGACCCAAAAAGTCGACGGCGTGCGTAAGGCTGATCATCTGCTTGCCTATTAGATTTAGAACTGTCATAAAACACATACCCAGAACTAAACTTGTATCGTCAGTCGTCACTGGTTTATTTTTTATCTTATTTAATAAAAATATATATTGGCCCTAGTGATAAGTTTAGTTGTGATAAAAACATATACATATAGTATGAATTTTCGGTAATTCAACCTATATTGTAGGTATCGAAGGCGTGCATGTCCCTATGTATGTGGGTTCACGCTATGTACAAGTTCTACCACGTGAATAAGGCTGTAGCGCCCAAGAAGGCGGCTCTTGAAAAGGCTTCCAAGGATTTGCAGGTGGTTGAAGGTATGTCATATCAAATAGGATATACTATACGTATATTAAATATTAATGCAAAAATACAAATTTTACCTATAAACAATATTTTAAATAAAAATATAGTAATATTTACCCTAGGTAATATTACCATAACATACTGTGTTATATGAGTACTTATAATCACTTTTTCTCTTCAGCCATGCTTGCCAACGCTAAAGCCAAGATGCAGGCTCTGTTAGAAGGTATCGCTAAGCTAAACGCTTATTTGCAAGAGAAGGAAGAAGAGAAAAGAAAGATGGAAGAAGATATCAACCAGTGTTTGGCGAGAATGGATAGAGCGAACAGGTATGTTATTTATTTATTGAAGATTACCACATCATACATAATACTATATCTACGGTATATGTTACAAACTCTTTTATCTAAATGTATGTTTATAAGGTAAGCATAAATGATACAAAAAGAGTTAAAACATAAAATTAAAATACAATGATTATTTTTAAATTGATCAGCCAACGACCGAATATAGCCAGCTCCGGATAAATAGTGTATGTTATATCTACGTGTATTCGTGACAAGTACTTAAGCAGAAGTTAAAAAAAACTCTTTATTATTTATTTATTAACACCTCATTGCATATACATAAATATAGTACAATTGACATAATTAAATAAAAAAAGGAGAGCAACTGGCGGCCTTATCGCTTTCGAGCGATCTCTTCCAGGCAACCACTGTGAGAAAAGAAAAAAGAAAAAGTATTAAATTACATAAGGTAGGCAAGAAGTGCAAAAATACATGTATTACATTTAGTTGTTGAGAAAAAGAAACTAAAATCTTTATTTTAGTTTACTTTATATTAAGATCTATTTCCATTCACATGACACCAACGATACAAGTGCAAATTTCTTGACTAGTTTTTAGGATTACACAAATTATTACTTCGACATTGGAAGTAAGGTTTTGAATCTCTGTATAACAATTTTACTGGACCTATAAATATAATATCAATATTGTTTTAGACTACTCAACGGTCTCTCGAGTGAACGAGTTCGGTGGATCAGGACAATCAAGGAGTTAGATATAGGCATCATTAACCTAATTGGAGATATTCTGTTGAGTGCCTGTGAGTGTGTTTATTAAGGCTTTAGATATACCAAAGCTAAAAAGACTTAGGAACGCCAATTACATTTTTATGTACGAAGCTGCTTGCTGAGGCCAGAGCGATATACTCTTTAATTGTGGATCTGAAACATAATCTGGGTGCGCGAAACTAAATTTATTTATTTTCCTTATTTCCTATTTTTACAATAAATTAATACTAATACAGTAGAAAACTAAACTAAAAACATAATATGTAAAAACTTAAACCTTTTTATAAATAATGCAATTCTTGTGAATTCAGCCAGTGTGCAACTAAATATATCTGTCTCACAAGCAATAATATTTAGGGTGCGCAAGACACGCGTAAATGGTGCTTCTCTGAGTAAATTCGTATGCGCCCAAGGCACACCAGCAATTGCGACCACTAAACACCCCAGTGTGGTATACATGATATTTTGGGACTTAGGCATATCTTTGCAGTGATAATAACTCTTATACCGATGATTCAATGGGTGGGTTTCATGTCATAACGATATTGGACGATAAATCTGTACTTAGTTAAAATGTTTCAACAAATGATTGGTCTTTGTATCAACTAAAAAGGAAATACAATTTTAGGTGCTGTTGGATACGTTACGCCATTCACAGATGAATTCCGTCGGGAATTGTTGGGGCAGTGGATTAGCCATATGGAGGTAAAATAATAATTTCCTTCCTAAAGCACCTTGTTTGATACATTATTTAAATGCAGGTATAATTGTTAATGTTACATACTTTTTAGTTAATGAGTTTATAATTGAAATATACTCTACAGGAAGTAGAAGTTCCACATACCCATGGAGCAACTCCATTGTCAACTTTGGGTGATCCTGTTCTAATAAGGTTTGGTTGCTTACAATTGATATGTATCCCAGTTTCTAGCAATATCGTACTGTTTTATATCTATTCTTAAGTCCCGTCACAAAGAACGCGTAGTCGCGTTCAAAAGCACGAAGTTATTAATTGTGTAAATGTAATTATTCTATTTTAGAATCTTTATGGTAACTTTACCAGTTATTAAGTACTTCCTCTAGCTTCTCCGTAAATCGCACTGAGCCTCGACTCAGAATCTTAGCTAGAAACAGGAAGTCTTCGTGAGTTTAACTAATCATAAAATGTTTGAGTAATATTTACGATTTAATATAGGGATAATAATTCGTTAATATTCAGTATTTCGTAAAAACTAAAAATACATATGACAAAAAATACATTAAATATAATAAATAGTTAATGCGCGAATTAAATTTGGTGGCGGTTTTTGTATGGATATGTTCAAATAAAACACTTTGTTTGAAGCTGGGTACCAACTGGCTTTAATTGTTTAAATAATGAGCTTATAACTAAGATAACATTAGGGGTAGTGGGATTGCGACGCTGGATTAACAATAAACTAACTTGACTTATTGAAGAGTTCGTAAATATAAGTGACACTTATGTTTTTGGACATTGTGTCTAAATTCCGCAGGCAGCTGGGGTGGCTACCTATTCGATTCAGACGTCACGCTCATCTTCTTCAACTTCTATACTCAATTCTTTTCAATCCGAAAACCCCTTCTTATCTCAAAAATCACTTCAAATTCTTAGGTCCTTCTAACTATATGTTACGCTCTTCTAATAGATGTTTATTGGAAATTCCATCCCACACTTCCTCCTTCTTAGGCAATTCATTTACGATCTCCGCCATTAAGTTGTTGAATACGCTGCCTGACTCCGTACGATTGGCTACCTCTCTGTCATCTTTTAAAACTCTTCTGTATAATCATTTCTTAAACTTATCCTATCCTCATCAATCGTGACTTGTATAATTCTTATGATTCCTTTTACATCACTATTCGCTGTTCATGTATTTGTAAGATAAGTTTTTAAGTTTTTAGTTTGTTATTAATATTTTTTTTTTATTACTTTAGATTAAGGATTCTGCACTTCTCGCACGCATCATGTGTCTTTTTTTTAGTTTTTCTCTTAACTAGGGTTGCCTGGAAGAGATCGCTTATTAGCGATAAGGCCGCCCGTTGCATCCCTTATAATTTTTATGTATTGTGTTTCTTATATTATTAGCAACGAAGTGTAAATAAATAAAATAAAAATAAAATTATCGGAAACGAGAATGTTAAATTACAATTTATGAGTGTGGTAAAAACTAAAGAGCTCAATATTAGCTTGAGTGTGCGATGGTTGTTTACATTTTGTTTACGCTTCTAATTATTAACTAAAATACATATATGTAACTTTACTAAAGATATGTAAACTCTGTAAGATCTGACACAAAAGTTGTTAGTTTTATACATAACTTAACTGATACTGTTGTCTGTTGGTTATTTATAGAAACTGGCAGATGTACGGTTTGCCAAGAGATCCATTGTCAGTGGAGTCGGCTGTCCTGATGTCTAACTCTCGTCGATGGCCTCTCATCATAGACCCTCAAACGCAAGCCAATAAGTGGATAAGAGCTATGGTAGGTAATATTGTCTTTTGGCTAGCTGATCCTTTTTCTATTTACACCGGACAGAATCAGCTCCTTCTAGGTTCTTTGCCTAACCTATCATTCTATGTCTCTTAATATAATAGCTAATGCAAATATAAATTTTAGGGCAAGATAGAAGGTCTCGTGGTATGCAAACCAAACGATAGAGATTTGTTACGTAACTTTGAGTCCGCCCTGCGGTTTGGGAAACCTATACTTTTAGAGAATGTTGGGCAAGAACTGGACCCAGCACTAGATCCTGTTTTAAAAGTAAGTGTTTCAAAATATAAGCGATTTCTTAGTATACATTTATTTTTTTGCTATTTCTTTTTAAATCATTATTTTTTTTAGGCAAATATGAAAATTTTATTATTTCTATGTCTATAAGTGTACAGACACGTATATGAATAAGTGAATTTTGATTTGATCATTCTTCTGTGCTTGACACGTATTATTATTTTTCTATAACGAATAAGCCAGCTAGAAAATTCAAATAAAAAAGAACTGTTGTACTTAGTTTTGACTTGACTTAACCTCAAAAATTTTAAACTTAATTAATAAATTTCAATATTTTTGTAGCGTCAATATTTCCGGCAAGCAGGTCAGTTAGTACTCAAGTTAGGTGATTCTTTAATCCCGTACATGCCGGGATTCCGGCTCTACATTACAACTAAACTGCCGAACCCCAAATATACTCCGGAAACATCAGTCAAAGTGCAGATTGTTAATTTTGCACTTGTCCCAAGGTATTTATGTAATTTATGTATGTGTAAGTTTATCTAAACAGATTTTTCTAATTTCTTTAATATTAATTTTTTTCTCTAAAAAAAAACAATTTTATTGTTGTTAATTCTTGACGATTAATTTGACAGTAGGTAAACGCAACATCACAGCTAAATTACGTATGATTCTATATTTATTTTGTAATTTAAAAGTAGTTTTAACACAAAACTAATGTTTTCGAAATGGAAACGCCAAATATCAAACACAGTAAATAAATACAGTGGTCTGGCGGAACAACTCCTCTCAATAGTTGTGGCCCAAGAGCGACCAGATTTGGAAGAACTCCGAGGACAACTCATAGTTACGCGAGCACAAATGTCATCGCAACTGGCTGAAATGCAGTCTGCCATTTTGTATGGACTATCGAATAGTGAAGGATCACCGGTCGATGATGTACCACTCATTTTGACTTTAGAAGCAATTAAGATCAAGAGCGCTGAAATTTTGGTAAGGGTTTTTGTAACCTGATTCATTGCAGTTATAATGTTGATTCTTGTGTTAGATATTCAACACATTTGTAAGCAATTTGCAGAAGCGTTCACTTCGTAGTGATGTTTAGCATTTAGATTCAGAATTTTAGTCAATATCTTTCTTTATTTTAAAGAACAGGGGGCAAACGGACAGGAGGCTCATCTGATGTTAAGTGATACCGTCTATGGACACTCTCAATGCCAGAGGGCTCGCGAGAGTGCGTTGCCGTTCTTTTAAGAATTGGTACGCTCTTTTCTTGAAGGAACTTAAGTTGAATTGGTTCGGAAATACTTCAGTGGGCAGCAGTTGAAAAACGCTCAGTTGTGGAAGCGCGGACGTCGAGGTGATACGGGTGGGACGTATAAAGCCTCGACATCCGATGATGAAACTCAGCTGCAGGTATTAATCCGAACAACTCCTCTGAACACTCTCCATGGTAAAAAATATCTAAAGGTTAAGTCAAGGAAGTCATACATGTTATAATTATGAAATGGCGTGATTTTACGTATACGCTGTTTTTCTTCTTATAACATAATGTATGATATTTCCCAGATAAAAGTAGAAGACATAGAGCGTACGTCAATAGAGATAGACGCAGCTCGTGAGGGTTATATACCGGTTGCGAACCGAGGACAAATTTTGTTCTTCTGTTTATCGGGAATGGCAAACGTTGACCCCATGTACCAGTATTCTCTTGAGTGGTTTGTCAAGCTCTTCGTACGGAGCATGGCTGAGACGGAACCGAATGGTATATAATTGTTAAATATCTTTACTCCTAAAATTCATTCAAAAATCTATGTTACCCGTAATATGGTATATATTGTTCTTAAGACTACGTATATATAATATAAATAATATTTTACATTACAGAGGATATAATAGAGCGAGTGGAGATTATCATAGAACACTTTACCTTTATTCTTTATCAAAACGTGTGCAGGAGTCTGTTTGAGCGACACAAGTTGTTATTTGCTTTCTTGCTTTGTGCCAGAATTCTTCTTGATCGGGGGACTATACGCTTCACAGAGTTTAACTTTCTTCTTAATGGCGGCAAAATAGAACAGGTTTGCAATTTTTGATTTAATAAAACATTATAAAAGTTGGATATACAATTATGGTAATCAATTTTTCATTTCTAAATATCAACTATGCCCATTAGTTGTATTGGCTTCGATAGTACTTTGAATAATAGCCAATTATTTAACAACCTTACTTTATCATCATAAATACAGCACCTTGTGGGCTTAGCCTCCGCAAGTTTATTTCGCTATCGCAATCTATGTCATGACATCAGAAGACAGAAGCATGCTTTTTGCGTCCAACTTAAGGTTGTGAGTTCAATAAGGGCCTGAACACTTCGCCTGTAATCAGAAATATTCAATTCAAAATATGAGTCCTATTGAGACGATCCTTTGAAGTTAAAGATTCATCAAAATTGGTTAAACAGTGAGATATTCACGCTTTGTAAGTATAATATAGATATACACGGGTAAATTACTTGTAATGGTAACTTAAAATCTTTGACTACCAACTATAACGGTGACATCATACGCTGAAACGTGCTAACATACTTATTCTAAACGCTAAGGACGGACTTCTCGGACTTAGGCACTGGAGCTTTCGGGCCGCCCTTTTAGTGGTTCGACTAGTCGAGGATCCTATGAGGTCGGAAGAAGCTCACAAAATCCTTCCTGCACATATTTAATTCCAGGAATTGGATAACCCAGAACCAAAATGGATATCACCTCGAATGTGGCTGGATATGCAGCAGTTAGCGTCCATCCCTACCATGAATCAGTTTGTGATGGACTTCCCTGAGCACACTAAATTCTTCAAGACCTATTATGATGCCTGGAACCCGCACAAGTGAGACAAGAACTACGTTTTATCATATTATACTTAAATTTTCTATAAAATAAAAAAGTGGAATTGTTGGATAAAACTTACCCTTATTATTAAATAAAGTCTGTTAGAAAAGTTACCTAAACAGATATACCTGTTTTTAACATAGTTTATTGGTTTAAATTTTTGTTTTCTAGATTGCCATATCCTAAACCTTTAGACACACAATTGGACCCTTTCCAAAAACTATTAGTGCTGAAGTGCCTTCGTCCAGACAAGGTGGTTCCCGCACTACAGGTCCGTTCTATAAATTATTGTAATCATTTTTATTTTTATTTATCTTTCCTTTTTTATTCTAGACGAAGTAGTCCGTCTGCTCTTCAGATAGTTAAAAATTATAAAATATTTAATTCTTGTGTACCTAAGTAATTAACTTATGGTTTGTATTTAACTTAAACATTGTTCTTCATTAATGTTTACTAGCTGACCCGGCTAACTTCGTTCCGCCTAACAGTCTAATAATATCGTGTTAGCTTTAGTCAAACTTAATTTAGGATTTAATGAAGGTAATAACATTAATACAACTTTCTTTGCAAATACAGAAATGTTTTATTGCTTGCCATTGCGATAAGAATTGCAGTTTTACACATTAGGCTTCTTCTCTCTAGCCAATATTGCGATAGGTACTGAATGTGAAAGTACTTTCTGATATAGAAAATTTTTAGATAAGGTAACACATGTCTTCGATCAAGATCAAAGCCTTGTTATACCCCTCATTCACTTCAAGATCGGAATTTCTTGAACTGACACGAATTTAATGTAAATGATGCGTAGTTTTGTCAACAGATGGCACCACATGCTGTTTGCATTCGTAAAATTAATTAATTTATTTATTGTTATGCGATAACTTTTGCGATATTTTATAACTTATTCTGCTATTCGGGGCTGAGAAGAATCTTCCAAAAAAGAGATAACTAACATCGGTCCGGCCGATCTTGAGTTATAAGTGGTGTACCTAACACGACTTTGTTTTATATATTTAGATATTTTATGACTCGTTTCATAAACGTTTATTAGCTAACTAACCCCAAATCCTATACCTCATACTACTAAAGTTTCAATCTTCTCACTTCATTTCATTCTATTAATTTTACACATTAAGAATTATATTGTTTTAGTTATATTAACATACACAGTCGTGTGAGAGCCATAGCCGATGATGAAAAAATATATGATGTTTGGCATTATTATTTTGTTATAAATATTTCTGTGAATATATCAACTAGAATTAGAATTAAAATATATCTCGTTTTAGGACTACGTGGTGGTAGGTCTAGGAGCTCGGTTTGTAGAGCCTCAGCCAGCAGACTTAGCTGCTTTGTACGCAGAGTCGGACCCCCTTGCACCAATCATATTCGTGCTATCCACTGGGACGGATCCCGCTGCTGGTATGTTATGGGCTTTTCTACATGTACTCTAAACCTAAAATATTATGTATTGTGCTTTTCACTAGTGTTATTTTGAAAGTGAGTTTATGAATTAGCACGTATTTTAACATGTAATATGTACTGGTAAAGTTTAGGAAAGTTATTTTTGTTAGCGTTAAAAGTATACCTGTATCTTATATTCTATAATAAACATATTTTTGAAGTGAAACTTCTTTATCGAGGTTGGAAAAAAATTTAGTGTAACATTTTTTCGTTACGCGTCACATTTTTCGGTTACGCGCCATGTTGCTTTTTGAAGTCAAACTTCTTTATCGGCGTTGGAATGAAACTTCTTTATCGACGTATGGGAGAGATTTTGTAGCAAATCGTCACGTTTTTCAATGATAGTAATAATTCTATTACAATTCATGAAATTCTATAATAATCTTCGTAGTAATAAGGTAAAATGAAATATATGTATTCATGTCTATGATAATAAAAGCCTTTTGTTAAACTTTATCTAATTTAACGAATTCCTGTAAAGTTGCATATAGTAGATCATTTTTCGAAAAATAAGATCATAAAGAAGTTTCACTTTTTACGTGTGTACACCTAGTACACGCACAATTTTTTTTTTTTAAGTTTGTGGTTTTACGTGCTTTATTGATGAGTTACATTAATAAGAAAGTCAGTATATTAGCGATTCTTGTTTTAATATTACCTACTTATTTCAGATTTACTTAAATTTGCGGATAAGATGAAAATGGGAAAGCGTTTTGAAAGTATATCCCTCGGCCAGGGACAGGGACCACTCGCCGAGGCCATGATGAAGATAGGATGTGATTTTGGGAATTGGGTATTCTTTCAGGTAAAGTTTACATTTTTCTTAACTTACTCTACTTGGTGAAACACCCCACACTAATTATTACAAATTGTAGAATTTTCTATGGAAAAATAAGTTTTTATACAATTGAGTTTGGCTAGGTGACGCCAGGTATGGTAGATATAGAGATGCCATTTTATCATACGATGTTAGGCTTAGTTTGAAAACTTGCAGAATTGTCACCTATCTCCTTCATGGATGCCAGTTCTGGAGCTGAACGTGGAACATATTCAACCGGAAACCGTACACAAGGACTTCCGTCTCTGGCTGACTTCTACGCCTTCACCTTTCTTCCCTGTCGCGCTCTTACAGAATGGTGAGTTTCTATTTAAACTTTGATATTGAATATGAAAAATTATACACCATTTAAATTAAATTCTTTTAACTATCCCGTGGTAGTGTTTCAATGAAGCTAAGAAACACTTATCAAACTAATAATTTCTTAGTTCAAAGCGATGTAGGTGCAATCAAAATTGACAATTTCCCGTTTTCTTACAATGTTATATCCTAGGAATGCACTTTAAAACATACTTTTTTTAAGGTTACAAAATGACCGTGGAGCCACCGCGAGGAATCAAAGCTAATCTGTTAAAAGCCTACATGAACCAAGTGCCTGACTTTCTTGATTATTTCAACTCTAATGATTCTAAAGTTCCCAATTTCAAGGTACTATTTCAGTAGATTCTATACTTACTTTTTGTCTGTTAGAATTTTCTCAACTATCCCAGTAGGTATCAGTGCAAATTAGATTTTAACAGTTTTGAATTACTAGTTAATGAAAGTATGAGCACTGTCACCGTTGAGTCTTATTATCGTCCGTTTGGAGCACTTCACATACCATACAAATATTAATAAATTATCTTTTTATAAAAAAAAAACTCCTTGGGAATACCTCTACTGGGAGCCGATTCTATAGTTCGCTAGTTCGTAAGTGTAAGGCCAACTCATTAAAATCGTAATGTAAATACACTTAACTAATTAATTTAGGTAACACAATGTACACTTATGAACATCAATAAAGAAATACATATTAAAATCTAAATGTTTCTAATTTAACATTTACTGCCAGTTCTCAAATCAAGGGCGTAGAACGGACGAGAAGAACTGGCAATAAACTCTCCGCTACTCTATATACTTAATCGCCAAGTTTTTTGTTTTACACAATGTTTGTAAGGAGCTGCAACCATTACACCATGTTCCATATGACATCTTAAATAATAAATAGATTTTAAGTAATTATTTTCTTCATCAAATAATGGTATAAATCGTTTAGTGGCTGCTGTTTTCCCTATGTTTATTCCACGGGGTTGTTCTGGAACGACGCAAATTCGGTCCTCTTGGATTCAATATTCCTTATGAGTTCACTGACGGTGATCTTCGTATATGCATCTCACAGCTGCACATGTTTCTTACCGAGTATGCTGAGGCACCGTTACGGGTTAGTATTTTTCATCTTATTATTGTAACCTTGTTTTCGGACTTTCATAAATACTTATATATACTATCAGATTCATTTTTTTTCGACAATATCAGTTTTTAACATGTTTGATGTATCGTATTATCGTACCCAATATTCGTTAACAGGCTCTCCGTTACTATAAGCCTCTCATAGCTATTAAATCACCTTCGTAGGCTACGAAATTTCCAGGGAAATAAACAAAACGAAGTATAATTTTACGAATCTATTTCGATTATTAACATACAGGTTGTTTAATGTCTCAGATGTTAACGTACGTAGCGGGCCACATAAACTACGGTGGTCGAGTAACAGACGACTGGGACCGGCGTTGTCTGCTGACGCTACTCGCGGACTACTACAGCACTACAGTTCTTAACGACCGGTGGATCTTTGACGAGAGCGGGGCTTATAAACAGGTGATTTGCTAACGAAAGACGTGGTGATGCGAGAATTAGACATGGGCAGGTGAAATCCCAACTCAGGAATCGAGTAAAAATATACAATTGCTATTTTTTTGCGTCGAATGCGATCTTTTTGAAGTGACTAAAAATGTTGTGTGTAAACAGTCTTGACACCGTGTCTTCTATTCTGGAGCGGTGAGGCTAACATAACCCCAAGGATAAAACAAAAATAGAATTATAAATAGTTAAAGTTTGCTAATGTTCTAATCGTTTTTAATTTTAGCAACCACCTTCGACGTCAGTAGAGGACTACACCAAGTACATCCGTACTCTGCCCTTGAACGACGATCCTTCCCTGTTCGGTCTGCATAGCAATGCTAACATCAGTTACGCCATGTCGGAGACCAGCACTTGCCTAAGTATACTTAAACTCTAAATGTTTTTCTTGGCTAATTAATTAATTATACACCTGTACCTGTTAAAAAGTACCTTATTTAGCCCTCGCTATTTGTTGATTTCAAGGAAATCAGGTCCTCATCATTTAGCCTAATAAAGAGACTAAGACTTATTATTTGTTCATATCTGCATTTTTTAAAATAAAATTATAAAATTTATATTTATTACTGACGCATATATCTCTCAATGTCTCATACAGATACACTACGTAACTTACAACCGAAAGAAGTGAGTGGTGAGGGAGGGCTGTCCGCGGAAGAGATGACGGAAAACGCGGCTAAAGAGATTCTGGGAGTGTTGCCACCCATGCTGGACCAAAAGTTCATTGCTACTACGTTAGTTTCTTTTCAGATTCGTTTTATATTTAATCGTGAAATAAAAATATTTCATTTTGTCATTTGTGACTACTGGACACTATTTTTAGGATATTTTGTGTAAAGATAAATTGAAACCCACAGATATCCGGTGTCATACAAGGAATCTCTGAACACGGTGCTGATGCAGGAAGCTATCAGATATAACAGGCTCCTTGTCGTCATACAAAATTCCTTGAAGTTAGTATTTAATATTAAATTGAATAAAATTGTTGACGTAGTTATCAATCTCATCCAAAATGGTTGATTGGAAGTATTATGATGATAAAAAAATATCATTTAATATTAACAAAATGCTAAATCTTTGATATAATGATTGCAGTGTATTCTGAGAGCTATAATAATTATTTTATTCTACACGATTACTTATTACATGTATCTATTTTATACATCTTGTATTAGCACACATTTTTTTCTTTAGAGACCTTCTGAAGGCACTGAAGGGCCTAGTTGTTATGTCGGAAGCATTGGAAAGCATGTCGGGAAGTCTTGCGCTAAACTCGGTGCCCAGTATGTGGAGTTCAAAAGCCTACCCTTCGTTGAAGCCATTAGGTATTAAGATACTTGTGCTTGGATCCAGATAAGTCAGTGCCTCGAATATAACAGTTGCAGGAAGCAAACTTGCTTTAAGAGCAGTGGGAAACCCTGTAGTAATATTGGTTGCTTTTATTTGCTCATATTTATTAATTTTTTTCCAAGGAGTGTTGGTACCAGAAAATAAAAATAGTAATTTTGTTATGGCTGTGACCTGTTATTTTATATATTAAGAAAGACGAATTGGGTTTTAATTTTTATTACACATTTAAAATTTCCAGCCGCATGGGTGAAAGACCTGGTGCTGCGTGTTCAGTTCATGCAGCAATGGGCTGACGGGGGCATTCCCAAGGTGTTCTGGATATCGGGCTTTTACTTTCCGCAGGCGTTTCTAACTGGGGCTCTTCAGAATTACGCCAGGAAACACGTTATCGCTATTGATACCGTTGCTTATGCTTTTGAGGTAAGTTTTGATAAATGAAAATAATTATAAGTACAATTAAAAGGCAATACAAGGCATTTCAATCATTTTGCTCACGCAAGTTAAACAAGGCTGCTGAAACCAGAAGTATGCTTTTATACTTCCTGTGTAACTGTTATCGTTTATGGTAGCCATTACCGGGTCCGCCAGCGAAAAAGCCAGACGACGGCTGCTGCGTTCGTGGTCTATTCCTGGAAGGAGCCAGGTGGAATATGGGAGACATGTCGCTTGAAGAGAGCAGGCCTAAGGAGTTGCATACTGGTTAGCATTGTCAAAATTTAAACTTTTAAACCATTTCTCGTTTGCATCCGAAAACGGATATTCATGTTTTCGTCTGACGACAGTTTTCAGTCTGTAGTTATTATTTTAAAGGGAATTGTTTTTAGCTTACTACACATTATTTAAAAGATGTTTTTATTCAAACTTTATTGTTTCAGAAATGGCAATAATCTACATGAAGCCAGAACAGAACCACAGATTGCAGCAAGGTCTCTACGAGTGTCCGATTTACAAGACGCTGCTCCGCGCGGGTACTTTATCTACGACAGGACATTCAACAAACTACGTCATGACGATCGAACTACCCACACACAAGCCACAATCACATTGGATCAAACGAGGCGTAGCTTTGTTTTGTGCTCTTGATTATTAGGATATAATATTAAAGGATATAATATGCGCTGCATTTTAACTTTCTTTCACACACAGAGTTTAAAAAAAAACTAAAATGATTTTAAATAATAGTTATAAAAAAATACAACTAACATTTTATTATAAAAACACATTAAAAAACTATAAAAAGTTGGTCAAGATTTGGATTAATATTATACATATTTAAATTTGTCATAATGCAGATCATACAGATTGCTTAAAACACACTTGGAATGATAAGCTTTTACTTTGTTGGAATGATGAGTTTTAATTCTAGTGAGTAAGTTTTCTTGACCTTCATCATCATTTTCAGAATCATCGGAGTCATAACCAAAAAGATTATGCATAAAGTTGTCCGCTTTGTATAAAGTTAGTTCAAAAATTAAAACATGGACTTGGTAATTTAGTTCTGGAGTTAACTCCGAACTCAAATCTAACATTAAGTTATATATCTTATATTGTGTATGTTTTTTTACATCAAATCTGTCAAGCATATCTTGTAAAGCATGATAAAATAATCTCCAAATGCTGTTACCATAAATCGCAACATCATCACAGAATATGTTTATACACATTTCAGCAAATGACAAAGACGTTTGATCAAATATATTTGTATTTTCGTCAAATTTTACAATTGCATTTGCCTTGGATAAAATCTTAAAATATTCAACAGCCAACTTCAAACTTCTTATGATCATATAATTTTCTTTTACTGATAAATTATTTTCAAGGCTCTCTAGTAGCACTGTAAGTACACTTGGTGAGAAATTGCTCTTGGAGTCTAAATAACTTTGATATTGTTTATTCAGAAGAGTGACAATGTTATTAATATTTAATTGTGCTAATTTACAATTCACAATTTTCGTATCCCATTTTTCATAAGCTTTCTCGAATAAAGGGGCAATTATCTTTCGAAAGGATACCATCTGTTCTGCATCATCTTTCCATGTGTAAAGGCATGATGTGACTACATCTAGATGATGATTGTTCATTTTTGTTGTCCACAATCTTCTAGTTATAATATCATTCACCATAGCAGCTAAAAGGTCAATGTCAACTAAGTGTAATCCTCCTCCAAAATAATGCATTAAAGGTTTTCTTGGAAATATTTTGCATTGAGAAGTAAAGTTCTTCGTTATTTGATAGGATTTCAAGCAAAAATCTGAGGCTTTCATTCGTGGCAACCTTTGGAAATAGGATGGAAATTTATCAACTATCAATGATTCATCTTTTCGTAAATTATCCATCAGAAACTGCAAAAATTGCCATTCTTCGCTTATCATTACAATATAATTATATTTTACATTAAGCTCAATATCCTTGTAAATACATAGAGACCTCATTGATTTCTTAAATATTTCAGCTCGTATTGAGCTGTAATTTGTTTTCTGCCAAATTGTGAGAAGAATCTTCCGTTTATCATAATGTGGTTGTGAAAATATTACCCAAATACATAATTTTTGAACTTGCTCCGGCCAAGTGTCAAAACATTCTATTGTCTCTTCCATTTGGCACGTTGACATTCCGTGTAGTATTGAGTTTATTGACGAGAAGGCATGTATCATAGGGATGCCTTTGTAATACATTAGGGTCATTTTTATAGGTAACTTAGGATATACTTTGTGCATATATCGAGCAATATGTATTTGAACTGTGATTCCATTAACATTTTCATTATGTTTATTTGTAGGTGCATTGTGTTGTATTAAATGATGTAATTCTATCCTAGACAGAAGAATGTACAGACCCACTGAAGGTGATTGGTGTAGCATAGTGTAAAAAAAGTCTTTGAATTGTTGCCCTAATGAATCTGACCAATATGTACGCAACTTTCTGTAAAACACTGCAGCTAGTTTTTTTTCTGAGTTAATTACATTTTTCTTTTGAAATGGTACTAGTAATCTAGGATTATGTTTTAACATATTTATAAATGTATTACTCGAATTAGGTTCTATAACAATGTTTTCATTTAGCAAATATCTTCTCCAAAATCTGTTTTTATAGTATAAGTATTTAAGCTTTTCATAATCAGATCTATTTTGTAATTCTTGTAGTACCTTTACTACCTCAATGTTAAATAATGGATATTCTTGCATACTCCTATTCCAAACTTTAAATAATACAAACATATTTTCAATCCAAATAACTTTGTTTTGTTGAGTTGTTTTTTTGATTTGCAATAAAGCAAAAGTTAACAAAAAGTTAAAGACAATTTGAATTTCTTTGTTACTTAATTTCTTTCGAGCAACCCTTAATGAATTATCAAATTGAAATTTCATCATGATATCTTCCGATATTATTTCATTGTGAATGATTTCATAGAAAACTGTAGATTGCATAATGGATTGGTTAGTTTTATTTTTTTCTGAATATTGCTTAATGTTCATAATTTCCTTGAAAACATCAATGTACATATTCCATGTAACTCTATTAAATTGGTAAACATTACATTTGCTTAAAAACTTGTTAATAAATTTGAATATCAGATCTTTACTAAACTGAGAAAAGTTTTTTTTAAATATTATAAGAAGATTTGTAACCTCGACTTTGTTATTGGGATCACAAGAACCCAATGCATCTAAAATATATTTACCTTCACACAAGTTTTGTACATTCTGTCTACCTTTTAGGAAATAACTTATTAGTTTCTCATTGTTACTATATTTTGACTGAAATTCTTCAAATCTTTCCAGTTTTATGTATTTAATAAAGCATTGAATATCAATGTGATTTTGATAATGATGAAAATTAAACATAAGTCTATGAGGGCATACTTTCATAGCTAACTTAGTAAACTTTTTATTGAATATTGGTATGTGTTCAGTACCAAGTTGATCTAAGATATCAAAAAATTCCTCCCCATTTGATTTAATAAGAAATAGAGCTTTGTGTACCTTAAGTGATTTTTTACAAAATACATCACAATAAATTTTAAACGCCTCAAAACTATGAAAAAATAGTCGAAATAGTATGTGTTCTGGTAGTATATGAATATTATTGTGTAATCTAGATAGTATAAACTGAATAGAGCATTTTGGAAACCATTTCATTGCTGCATTAGTATCAGTTTTTTCTAAATAATTGAAAAAATATTCAATACGTTTTGGATCTCTTAAATTCAATCGAATTAGGAGAAGGAGTTTGTTCCGTGCTTCAGACATAATATATGGAAAGAGTTGTGAATATAAATATTGGGGGTTTATTACATGTGCATACTCCGGTTCAACTAGCCAAGTGCCATGTCTGATAGCCCTAGATACAAATAATATATCTTCACATTTAAATACTTCAAGAACAAAGTCTACATTTCTAGTATGACATGCAACATCTACTTTTAACAGGTTCTCTATGTCTGTATCTTCATAATCAATAGTATAGTTAAAGACTTTTTTGTTTCCTACAGCTTTCAATACTAATTTATTGAAATTTTTATGTTTCTGACCCTGTGTTTCTCCTTGAATTGTAGTACACATAGTTGTTTCTGAAAATATCATTAAACTACAAATATGCTGAATATGATACATTTGAGGATCAAGGTTCGTTGTGTACAATACTTACATGTTACAAAATGTTACACAATATTTTAAAACTTGATTATAGTTAAGCCGAGTTCTTATGTATCACTTATAGAAGATATGCATTGCGCATAAAAATACACGTAACAAAATATAATTTAAAGATCTCTTTAGAAAAATTAAAAACTACATAATATACACTCTAACTAATAATTAGTAATTTAACAAAAAAAAGATACAAGTCGTCGGAAATATCTGCGAACCTGGCTTAATGACGTCATACAAACTGGAGAGATAGCAAAAAAATTGAAGATGTAAAAATAAAAAATATTTTATTTGTGTACTTATTTTTATTGGTAGTTTTTATATAGGTAGTTTATGTAATATTTCACCAAACAGAGAAACAATAAACACTAAAATGCGATTACGAAAGCAAGAACAATACACGTGCGGCGTCGGCGATTGCGTTGGCAACGGTACTGGATAGGCGAAAACGGGGCGGGGTGCGGGGGCGCCAGGGGAAGCGCATTCCAGCGAGGTTCGCAGATATTTCCGACGGCTTGTATATAGGTAATCCGCGATATAATCACTTCGTACTCTACCAACTACTAAGTACTAATGTTATAATTTGTTGTTTCTTAATAAATTTCGAACCATTTCTCTGTATTTTTAATTATTAATTTGTCAATTATTAATGCAAATATCATATCGGTTTTCGATAAATAATAAATATCGAACATCGATGTTGGGCTTTCGATTATGAGATGAGAGATCGATGACAATATCGATGTTTTTACAACATCGATCATCCCTAGAGTGCAGCTATATATCTCTGGAAGTAATAGTGTTTTTTTTTAAATGGAATCTCGCTGTTGGCCTCTAAAATAGTTTATTGGTTTATAATAAATAAAAAATGGCATAAGTAACGCGACATATGATAGCAGAACAGCCTTGCGATTCTGTAACTCACTTTTCGAACTCACACAGCGGCGGCATTCTGATAGACAATCAGATAATGTAAACGAGTGCAAGGTCAGTTTTTCATTCCGACCCATTGGTGCCGACGATATAGTGAGGATATTTAGAATCATAGATATTAAGAACACTACCGATCTTTGGGGTATTTCTGTAAAAATAATTAGTAGCATAATTGATGTAATTGCTCCCCATCTAGCTATAATTTTCAACAATTGTATTAAAAGTGGCGAGTTTCCCGATCTAATGAAACATAGTAAGTTATTCCTTTATTTAAAGCAGGTGTTGTCCGACCCCAGTAACTTTAGACCAATTTCCGTACTACCTACTTGTAGTAAAATATTTGAAAAAATTATATTAAATCAACTGGTAAGTCATTTTAACGTAAACAAATTATTACATAATAATCAGTTCGGTTTTACCAAGGGTCGCTCGACAGCCGATGCCGGTGTTGAGTTATATAGATATATAGTTAAGGCTTGGGAGGAGTCGCATGACGCTTTAGGTGTTTTCTGCGACTTATCCAAAGCATTTGATTGTGTCCAACACGAGACCTTAACGGGAAACTCCGCCACTATGGCATCAAGAATACCGCACTGAATCTTCTGACTTCCTATTTACACGGAAGAACTCAGAAGGTTGAAGTGAATGGTAAGAGGTCCTCTGGGTCGGCAGTAGATATGGGGTACCACAGGGCTCAATTCTTTGCCCTTTCCTCTTTTTTGTTTATATAAATGATCTACCTTTCATGTAGAGAGAAAACATCAGATAGTTTTGTTTGCTGATGACAGTCCTTGATTTTTAAAATCAAACGACAAATAACAAATTTTGACGATGTGAACAATGCTCTGTCTTCGATTGTCCATTGGTTTAGTATGAATAACCTTCTACTTAATGAGACAAAATGCATTAAATTTTGTGCAAAATGCAAGGGTTATGGATACTAGACCAATTATAAACGGTGAGGAATTGAATCTGGATGATACAACTGTATTTCTCGGAATCACCATGGATTCAAAACTTAGTGGTCCCCTCATATTAACGGATTGGGAAGAGACTTAGTTCTGCAGCCTACGCGGTTAAAAAAATTCGCTCACTAACTGATGTCGATACAGCTAGACTTGTTTATTTTAGTTACTTTCATAGCTTAATGACTTATGGCTTATTATTATGGGGTCATGCTGCTGATGTCGAAACTATTTTCATCCTGCAGAAGAGGGCTATTCGTGCAATCTATAATTTAAAATGTAGGGAATCTCTTAGAGATAAATTCAAGGAAATTAATATACTTACCTTTCCCTCGCAATATATTTATGAAAATATTATGTATGTATACAAAAATAGTGATAAGTTTACTAGAATAGAACATACGCACAATGTTAATACACGGAACAAACGCAGGCTGCAATTTCCCCGTACTAGACTATCTAAAGTTAGTAATTCTTTTTGGGGAAAGGGATACTCTTCTTTAATAAAATCCCAGAGGCTCTTTTATCACTGCCTTTCAATAAATTTAAGAAATGTATTAAAGAAAAGCTGTGTAAAAAGGCTTACTATAAAGTCAACGATTATCTAGTTGATAAAAGGGCCTGGGACTAGTGCTAGACAGGCTACTTTTAATCAATTTGCGATATTTGTTTTAAATAAGTGTTGTTTGATGATTTGCTGTTTTAAAAGAGTACCGAGAGTTTTTTACGCCGGCTTTTTCTCTGGCCTACACCCTCTGTTTCTTTGCCGATGAGTAGGATGCCTTCAAATTTAATGACGTGGAATAAATATGTATTTTTCCATAATAAACATATTTTATTTTTTATTTATTTTAAACTACAAGCTACCACCTTTTCAGAATACCAAATCATAAAATGACTGCTTCACGACTGATTTGAGAGTGACCGCCGATGCGAAAACCGCTGTGTGAGTTTCGAGAAGTGAGTTACAGAATCGCAGGGCAGCTTTAATATTTTATATAGATATCTATACTAATTTTATAAAGAGGAAGGATTTGATTTTTTGTTTGTTTGAAATGAATAGTTGTTATTAATAATTGTTTGTGTAATAATTTTTGTTTGTTTGAATGATTCATTTTCAAAAAAATTAGGGATGCTTATAGAGCAAGATCCCAGGGCCGCCAGACGTCACGTATTTTCTGACGGATGAAATGTGGACGATTGGGTAGTGTTAGTATGTACTATGATCGTATGCCTACCTGCTAGCTTGGTCAAACGGCCAATTTCCAGGTATCAGGTAATCAAGGTACACAAAAACATTACTTACTTCACATAAATTCTCATGGCTGATTTTTATATATGTTTTCGAGTGTATAGTTAAAAATAAATTGTCAATACTCCCAGACACTTTCCGTCGGCCATATTGCTTGACAGACGCTTTAAGGGTCTCAAAATAATTAGTCAACTTCACGTAAATTCTGACGCTCCATTTTTATATATGTTCATCCGACAACTATTTTAAAAGCTTTGACAAGAAGACAGACCGATCCAAGGGGCCAATCATCCCCTAAACTAAATTTTAATATCTCTGTGAGTGGGAGCGCGAGAGCATTATCTACGCGCATGAGACTGAGTGAGACCGACTGCGCTGTTAAAGCCATGAAAATTTCCAACAAGCATTTCACCGTTTTGGTACGTTGAATTTTGTTGGTGATGTAGATGAAGAAGAACGTGTATTCAACATAATACAAAAATTTATCTGTGATATTTACAACGTTCCTGAAATAATTTATGTAAATGCTGCCAGACTACAGTTGTTTATTAATACATACATGGTATCTGATATAAATGAAGAATTTAATCGAAAGAATTTAAGAAACTTCGATGCCAGTAACTTACCACATTGTAAAAGTGAGCTTTGGCAAAAGTTTCGACGGGCTAGCTATATCGCTAGTCTTTGGAACAATGCAAGTATGAAGATGATAAAAATTTTCAACCCCGAAAACAATGGCTGGACACTACAAAATGGTAAATATGATTTTCATTGGTTCGATGGAGATCAATTACCGGGTTTTGTCAGTGAGTCGCTGGAAGAACAATCAGGTAAATTATTTTCGTTTCTCATATTATTTGTATCTTTTTAGTTTTTTCAGACATCATTGTTTAACTTGTTTTTTACAGAGGAAGAAAATAAGGATAATGCTGATGATGACGATCACGATTTAGATATTCAATTTCAAGATTGGCTGGATGATGAATTATCTAATTTCAACGATGATGATAATGAAGATTAAAAGCCACTGTTAATAAATATTGAAGAATTAATATTTTTCCACTTTGTTTCCAAATTTCCAATAAATAATTAATTTAAAAAATTGCTGCTATTTAAATATAAGTGGTATTTTAAAAAAATATTTTTTAGTTCTAATTAATAAATTGAAAAAAAAAAAAATTAAAAATGTCGGCTTACTTTAGTATTATTTATTATATGTCATTTTTTTTTCTTATTTTTGTTGCTATAATTTACTTGTCAACAAATGTTCTAAAAATTAAAAAAAAACTGTTCAAGTAATTTTCATGGCCTTAACAGCGCAGTCGGTCTCACTCAGTCTCATGCGCGTAGATAATGCTCTCGCGCTCCCACTCACAGAGATATTAAAATTTAGTTTAGGGGATGATTGGCCCCTTGGATCGGTCTGTCTTCTTGTCAAAGCTTTTAAAATAGTTGTCGGATGAACATATATAAAAATGGAGCGTCAGAATTTACGTGAAGTTGACTAATTATTTTGAGACCCTTAAAGCGTCTGTCAAGCAATATGGCCGACGGAAAGTGTCTGGGAGTATTGACAATTTATTTTTAACTATACACTCGAAAACATATATAAAAATCAGCCATGAGAATTTACGTGAAGTAAGTAATGTTTTTGTGTACCTTGATTACCTGATACCTGGAAATTGGCCGTTTGACCAAGCTAGCAGGTAGGCATACGATCATAGTACATACTAACACTACCCAATCGTCCACATTTCATCCGTCAGAAAATACGTGACGTCTGGCGGCCCTGGGATCTTGGACCATTACTAAAACTTGAATAATCTAACCCAAGGTGTAAAAAAATAAACAAAAAACTTCCTTCAATCGCGTGCGCTGCGAAAACGATTAATGATAGAACAAAATTATGTATTTCAATTTTTCAGGACACATCACTATCTATAGAAAATGCCGCGACAGCATTGTGTCTATCTTTTATAGTTACGTCACAATTAAGTCCTTTTATTAAAATACCACCGCTTGAAAAGGCTTTTTATTCGTACCTAGGTATTAATCCTTATTAAAATAAATACCAACGTTTCACATAAGCTACAATTTAATGGCATAACCACCAAAAAAGCATGGTGGATTGCTGTTCCTCTTGAATAGTTTACCACTATGTAATTTAACAAAAATCTTAGCCACAGCAACGCTTGGCCGAGTCTACTAGTGCAAAATAATGAAGTTAGAAAAAATCTCATAGAGAAAATTTCACACTAGACGAACTATTTTGCATCGGAGCTCGTATTTCCTTGACTTTAAGTCACGTTTGGGGCCTCATAGCCTAGCGGTCTTATTAAGTGGCAGCTAGGTGAGGGGTACCGGGTTCGATTCCCGGTTCGACCGCAAGTTTTATTTTAATTTGTTCTCGGCTTTTGGGAGGGTTGTGCGGTACCGGGCGAGTACTTAAACCGTACATGGAGGACACGGTCGAATTTCTAAAAAGACAAGCACAAATTATACATTCGAGCCATTAAAAAAAAAGTTACGTTTATGTTAAAAATTGTGATGTCTTATGTCAATTGTCATTTGTCATATTATGTGTTCAGTTGATATCAGTTGATTTTGATAAATTTTATTATTTCCTGGAATTAATTTATGGAGTGTTTTCGGACATCTGATATTAGTACGCGGTACCGAAAAATTATATTATCATCCAGACTTCGAGTGCTAAGGTTTGGGTAATTAATAATGAGAAGAATATAGTGTTTGTGATAATCATCGATTCACACCATAATCAGCTTTAAAACTTAACTATGGAAGATATTCATATACCGGTGGATGTTAATAAGGTAACAACTTATATAAACTAAATATAAACAAATACGTATACGTAAGCTATTTCCTTTGCAACCATCCCTCTAAAAAGGTTTTATTTAGTCTTCCGTGTTGCACCTCTGAAAATAAAAAAAAGAAAGGGTTATTTATGATAATATTGGTTTTTTTTTTAATATAATTTGTTTTTCCTGCAGAGTTATAGTGATATGACAGTTGAAGAAAAACTGAGGTATGTTCAGACACTGGTTAAATTTGTAGTGGCTACTAATTTAATTATTTGATATTAATATTTGATAATTTTAGATATGACCATCAAAAGATGCATGAACTCCATAAAGGCCATGAATCAATGCATTCAACTATGATTCTTATATTCCTCTTCACCTTGATCATAGCACAAATTGTTTTTGTACAGTGGAAGAAATGTCATTATAAGTCATATGCGGTAAGCTTAATTTCATTTAAATATAAATTTTATCTAAACATCAGTAGCTGTGTTGTTATTTTAATTGTGCAGGGATTAATTACATTTCTTTTTTATGACCCTATATTTATGATTTATATTTTAATATGATAGATATTATAATGAATGAAACTATAATTGTGTTACAGCTCTTTACTATGGTGACAATGTGGTCAATGCCATTAATAATGAGTCTTAAGAACTCTTGGTTCCGTTTTGTAGTAGTGTGGTTACTCTTTACATTCCTGACTGCTGTGGTTATAAGAAAGTCATCCCAAAAACCAATGTCACCTACCACTCCTAGGTAAGCTTTTGGTCTACAAATGCAAACAATTTATTTGGTACTTTTTTAATATCTTAATCAGTTAATATTGTCTTTCACATCTTTAAAAAAAAATTACATTAGTACTTTATTACAGTTAAAATCTAGTTCTAGTCATTCTGTTCTACTAACATATCCATACATGTAACTACAACAATTAATTTAACATTGAAACTGCTAGTCAAAAATATTATGTGAAATTTATCTATATTTTTAAATTATGTGTATCTGGGGCTTTAGACGAAATGACTTCTCAATAGGTGTAATCCACTAAGACCAATTCAATTTGTGGGAAACAGTGTGTAAGTTTATTATTATGGATGGAATAAGATACAGGTATCACTTATTCCACGTCTCTAAATTGTCTCAAGACTACTCATACGCGAAGAAGACAGAGGGTGTAGGCCCAGTGAAAAAGCCCGCATAAAAAACTCTTGATACTCTTAAATATATAAAATCCTCATATCTCATGTGAGCAAATGCCATCATCATAACACATTGTTTAACATTAGTGGGTCACATCTGTGTTTTTATATATATTTGTATGTAAGTACAATAAATTTTTTCAGGTTAGTATACAAATGGTTTTACCTAATATATAAAGCAAGTGTAGCAGTTGGTTTATTTGGATATATCTCACTTATACTAACACTTATTGGTGTTAATGCACTATTTGGTCATAAACCTAACCAATGGATGGATATTTCACTACTTACATTGTTCTATGGGCTGTACTTTGGTGTACTGGGAAGAGATGTTGCAGAATATTGTTCAGAAAGAATGGCTTCTTCCGTTGGCGTGAGTACTATAAATACACAATGTTTAATGAAAATCATTTTTACAATCTTTAATCTAAAAGTGTAATCTTTAATCTAAAAGTGTAGGCTCAGGACTCTATAAGGTTTATGATGAAAGAAACCTTAAACATTGCTATCGAAACAATATTGGGTCCGCATAGAAATCTAAAATATCTACATATTGAAAATCTATTTCACCTTGTAGTTAAAAGTGCTTTTATAGAATTATCTTACATCTGTGTTGTTTAATAAATGTTATCCACTGATAACAAAGTGGTTTCAACTTTCAATGTTATCCAACCGAAATAGGTCCTTCTCATCAGAAGACCTTACTTTATTACAAGAGTTAACTGCGCTCAGCTACTCCATGTGTTGACCTCCACATCCATTGGCATCGATACAGTAAATAAATAAGTTAAGCAAATTTATGAGTTTGGTTGTACGGTATGAGGTAAAGCTAACACATACTGTACAACTTAATAACTTATGAATTATATTTTACGTAATATCTGCCATAATAAATATGTAATTAATATTCATTTAACTGTTGTTTCTTTAGCAATGCTATAGTACAAATCTTGAGTTTAGTCAAGATGTGGTATTAAAAAACAAATTTATAATATAGTAGTTCTACATTCTACAGAAAACATTGCAATATAAATTTGTACTGAATTCATCTAAGAAAATATTACCCTACATTCAATCACACAACAGTTTGAAACTTGAAAATTATAGTAAATTTTATGAAAGTTCTGGATCTACAAACAGTTAAAAATTAATCTATTGGAACTCATTAACAACGTGAAGTTACGTTCGAGCGAAGCCGCAGTTTATGCGTCCTAGCAGCAGCAAAACATATTATGAAAAAGATTAATATATATTTATATTTTAAAAATACATATGTTTCCGACAAAGTTATGTTTAATAATGTATAAAAATCATATTTTTCAGTACTACACGGCAGAAGGTATACCAACGAGGCAGTTGGACCAGAATGTGTGTGCAGTGTGTGGGAATAGGCTTCTAGTCAATATTAATGAAGAAGGAGTACTTGGTGGGTTAATAGACAGACATATCGTCATAGTCGTAGAATAGTGACGGATCTGACAAATAGTAAACTTTACAGGGCAGCCATTTCAAAATAATATTATCTTGTTAGTTTTTGTCATAACTATTTTAATTCATATTCTGTTATTATGAAAATTGGCATACAAGCAAACAAAAGGGTTTGTTTTGAAACAAAATAAAAATAATAACATTAAATTACACAGTTTTCTAGAAAAATCACATGTTTCTATCAAATCCGTCACTTTACCGACTGATTAATTTGGAATTTAACACACATGATTTTTTTTTATTTTAACTATAATATTTATTCAATATAGTATCCAAATATGATTAAAATTGGATTTTGGATATTTTTTTCAAATTCGCCATTGTTCTACGATCATGACGATATTTTTATTTTTTTTTAACTTATTCATGTAACAGAGTGTGAGTTGAACCTTCTTTGCTTCTATACTATAGAGTATAGACAATAGCTATGCATGCCTATGCAGGACGGTTTTGGCATTAGGCAAAAAATGCTGAACTGACCCGAACCTATTAAGCTAACTAGTGTCAAGGCGTAATATATATATTTTTTTAGAAAATACATACAAGTTACCGTGTGGGCACGTGTTTCACGAGTTTTGCATCCGGGGTTGGTGTATTGTGGGCAAGAAGGAGACCTGTCCCTATTGTAAGGAGAAGGTGGATCTCAAAACTATGTTCGCTAATCCGTATCCTTTTTATTCTATATGTCTCTCTTTATTCTATAGGAGTGTGTCTTACTTAGAAATGTCCATTATATTTTCTGTAATGGTCGAACAATAATTATAATTTATCTGTATATAAGACTGTACAAACTAGTGACCAACTCGTTTAAGAAAACAAAGTGCAGAGAGAGCTATTTTTACTTTTTATAAAATCTATGTTTAATTTAAATAATTACTAATTTTAATTAAGATTATCTTTCAAAAACTTTATCAATCAATTTTGACGTTAAAATGAAAAATCAGTCTGAGCTGACTAGATTTCAGCTTGGGACAATTTTTTAAATCTAAAAAAAAAAACCTAATTTCCCAGTATTGTGTATTGTTTTCATACAAACGTCATATATCAAAGTTACACAAAAAATAATAAGCTGAACAAAATAGATGGTTTTTTAAAGGAATTATTAATTAAATTCTAATTCGCTTAAAAATTGTATTAATAGAAATGTATTACAGTATATCATACATTTGCATATAAAAGTTGCGCCGTATGAAAAATATTTGTGTACCAATAATAAAAGTGTTGTTATACTGGGAGTCTCTACATGATAAGATTTTTCAGTTCGCCTGTACGTTTCTCTATCAATGAATAAATTTCCTTAATAACAGTTCAGCTGGGATCGTCCCCACATCCTCTACGCTCAGATGTTAGACTGGATTAGGTGGCTGGTTGCCTGGCAACCACTCGTATTATTTCTAGTCCAGGGAATTAATTGGTTATTTGGCCTTGAATAACATATACCGTGGGACCTTTAGACTGTATAAAGTGTACAGGCCTCTTAAGTATTAAAACGTTTTTTATCTATGATTGCGAGGTATGTTTTTTTTCTTGTCCTATTATTTTAGATTGGCTAATGTTGCCATGAAAAATAATTGTCACCTTAATTCCTTGTTGTTATTTAATAAATTTATTTAATGAGCTAATTGTAAAAGTACATTAATATTAAGTATATGAAAAGTGAAGCTAGTGTTGCGTGAATTTAAATTATGTACCTAAATATATAAGTAATTTTTTTTACATATGTATTAAATTTATTAAAATGTTTTAATAAAAACTATAATTTGTTTTGGAATATTGTTTTCTTTTAATGTTACGTATAGCCTTAATATTTTATGAACAAATTAATATACTGAGTATAATATAATATTTTCATTAGTAAAATTCTCTAATTGTAGCTGGGCTTTAATGAATCATACCTGTACAAAGTTGCCTAAAGATTGAGTTTTTAAATACAGTGTAAACTTTATACACCCTCACGCAAGAGACTGCATATTTTGTCGTTACAAAGAGTTGTCGTTGAACAGAAAGAAGAAAAATCTGTATTATAAAAATAAAAAGTTTATTTCAGATGATTTATAGTGTTCATTAGGTACATAAAAAAACAATTCTTATTTGAACGCTATCGCGTATAGTATGTTATTTTCCCCTGACGTCTTACTGCACCAGTAATTATGTTTTATTTTTTTACTTGTTTTATTTATATCTTGCTATATGAGGCATCTTCGTAATAAAGCACGTGCAATCAATCCCAGTTTGTAAACAAAAGAACGGATTTCTTATAAAGTTCGGGACGTATAATGCCGACAGTCGATTATATTACGGGAAAGTGACAAAAGAACGCAGTAAGTGGGTGTCTATGTAGAGTGTATCATTGTATGGAAGTTAGCTAAACCAACCAAACCCGAGTGATTTCGACGCTTTAGGGGCTTTGTCGCTAAATAGAATGATGATACACGGAGTTAACACTATAATGATAAAATGAAAATTGTAAATTTCATTAAACCATGTTTATTCTTATCTTCTGATGATAGCAAAGCTTTTAACTTTGAAAATTTCTATTCTCAGTTGTTTAGCGGTAAGGTTAAAAATAAAAGTCTATTTCATTAAACTCTGGCACTCGTTAACTGAACCACATATTAATATTTTATCTAGTTGTATTGTATATACTACGCACCGTACCAATGCCCTCGAATTACCCGCCTTTGTACTATACTAGATGATATTATATCGTATCTTAGAGCGCGCTCTTAATAAATAGGTAAACAGCCATTGTTTTAATGTCGCGTTTATTCTAACGCTGGCCATAGACGGACCGCATGTTGCAGTCGATACCGACTGCTCTCAGCGGTCGCCGCACGGCGATCTGCAGTTTTCATACTAAATTCATATCCGCAATACACGGACCGCACGACCAGTTTCTGAGCGGTCGGAGAAGTCGCTCTGCGGTCGACTGCTTAGAGCTGCCGGACCCACCATACACGGACTGCTACAAGCGGTTACTGCCGACCGCGCGCCACTCCCTCAAATCAAATGAAATACTAACTAATTCATCAAATGAAACCACGGACATTCTAAAGTAGTTGAAAAACTTTTTAGTGTCTTCTCTCAGCTGGGGATACAAAGTATGACATATTCCATGCTGTTCTCTTGATTGTAGTATTGGACGCGCCCACATACTACGGTCTTCTACGCCTACGCTTGCGTAATACTTAGTAGTACAAGTAGCAGTGTTTCTTCATCGAAATCCATCTTGTAAATGAACTCGCATCAGTGTTATTTTGCGGTCGAACACAACTGCTCCAAGCAGTCGTAGTCGACTGCATTATGCGGTCGTGTTGAAGTCGTACACGCTCTACAGCAGTCGGTCTTGACTGCAACATGCGGTCCGTCTATGGCCAGCTTAATAATAAATAAAATCACTATAGAAATGTTTGAAAGTGAGAGTCTGTGAGATTCGATAAGCATATTAAGAAAAACATACTTTTGCGTATGCGATATTGGGAAAACGTACCTATAAGTTATCTTAATATATTAGTCAAAGCTTTTTGGTATATAGTCCCAAAAATAGGATTATTTATGATGTCGTATTTTATGTATGCGTATTTCTAATATATTTCCAGAAAGGCGACTGCATACGGCTATGAATTAAAACCTCGTTTTATCGGGTTTATAAAAAGTGGATCTCGTTCGATTTTTCGAATCGATGCCAACCGTGAAGCATTCAAATTTTTGCAAAATGTACAAATTTCCGTTTCAAAATCAACAATGTAACTAAATTTAAATCAAAACAAGAATATTAATATAAAATTTTGTGTGTTTTTGCGCAATACATTTTAATTTACACGAAATGATGAGTTTTACATCCAGAATTTGTTCCAATCCGTTTAGAAATTTAAACCAAGGAATCTGTTCAATTGGATTTAATAATTTTGGTAAGATTTTCAATGAAATAAATCAGTGGCGCTTCAACCTTTTTGGTCTGGGCCTAAGATTTCCGTATATGTTTGATGATCATTTATCAATCTAATAGACAAGTAGGTAATTAGCCTCCTGTGCCTGACACACGCCGTCGAGTTTTTTGGTCTTAGGCAAGCTGGTTTCCTCACGACGTTCGGGGAAGCCATTATTAGGCCAACACTGCTCACTGCACTGCAAGCTATCGTAATTATTATTAATGTCCGAAAGTTAGGAGTTTTTTCCCTGAAATATCAGAACTGATATTGATGGGAAGTGAAACCATAAAGACACACGCCTGCTTTTCATTACAATCGAGTCAAGAAAGGATCATAAATTTAGAATTTGATGGGTAAAAATGGTTTTGAATGTTATACTTTTCAAAATGTCTAGGTACTTTACGGAGTTATTCTAAAGACAAGGGACAATGTTGCAAGGAAGTTGCTCAGACTGAGGGTAGACGCGTGGAACCTTGGCCGAAGACAGACCCACCGCCTCCTAACTGGCAAGGATGCTGCCCTAGAGAACCGCAGCCTCCAAACTATGACCCCTATAGGATAAAAGTGCCTGACGTGGTTGTGCCGCCTCTACCCGCAAGCAACGCCAAGGTAAAACTTTTCCTTTACCGAGACAAGTTATTATTATTCCAAGGAGAATTTGCTTGGTCGTATCCAGAGGCAATTTCTTTGATACTATAATATTATTATGCTTAATCATAGGTATCCTCTGAATACGATCAACGTTCCTTGGCCAATTCCAAGTGACATTCCAACCGAGTGCGTTAGACGAAATCAGAGCCTGTATCGCGACGTGATGTTAATCTAATGAAAACCAGTTTGTACTTTGTTCATCAGTGGACTGGAGTGATGTGGACGACCCAGCGAGATCCGCAGCATGGCGAGAATGTAACTGAGCAACAGTACCAAACGGGCTTCCAGCAACACACTCATCACCAGCAACACGAGCAAAACGAGCAACAGCCAATGGAAGCTAAAGAAGAGGAAGAGAGTGGAGGTTTCTTCGGCTACCTCAAAAACCTCTTTGGGAGAGGCAAAAAGGGAAAAGGCGAGGGAGAAATGTCCATGACTGGCGAACAAAATATCCATTGGTGTTATGCCCACTAACCGATCAATCGGTAAGAAGATATATTAATAGAGAAAGTGTAGTTTATGAAGATTTCGTCCAACGCACTATTACCCGTAGCCATAACTGTTATCATAACATGACATTTTTCAACAGGAGTTCCAATCAGGCGAGATGTTGAAACCTGATAACGCATTTGGGAGTGGACTCAAAGATTTATTCTTTGATTCTCCCATAGTTCATCCCAACTATTGGAAGGATAAGCCTAATAAGAAGTTAGTCAATACCATCGAGAAGCAGGAGATGCCGAAACTCGGTTACCATGGCAAGGACAAATACAAATATGCATTTCATGAACCCTGGAAACCTCTAGATAGAATCGGTCTGCTGGAGAAAGCGGAGAGAGGAGAGACCGGCCATTCCGACGTAGCTGATATTCCCAAACAAATTGCTTCCTGAACGGGCTCTGATCTAACAAACAAATTGCTTGAAATGTCTCTTGGATTTCAAAAATAAAAACATATTGATAACTACTTTTATTATTAGCACTACTTCTAAACAAAATACACTAGGACCTAACCGAATACTATTTATTTAGGAACCGCTTACATTTTTTTGACAGCTATAATATTATAACTGTTATTGCACAGTACAATCTGGCGAGTTATATAGTTATATATGTGCTACACGAAAATTTCAAATAATAGTGACCATCTTTGGTTTGCAAATTACCTACGTAGTTTGTCCTGCATAGCATAGTGAGTATGTTGGTTTATAAAGCCGATGCTGGAGTGCGCGCGAACAAAAGGCCCATGCTCTGTGCGTCCGGTGCCTGATCCTCCTCCTTGCCCACCGCCACCGCCGCCACCCTTCCCCTGGATCTATGTTTGGATTGTAGGCTCTTTCCTTAGCATCATGGGTATTGTGAGTATCAACTTTCTTAAAATTTACGAACATTTGTTTGCTGCCCCCGCGACATTCGTTTCTCCTTAATGCCTACCCTACCTTTTTAGTACATATTACCAACATGGAACATTTTCTTATGCTACCGCAGACTGTTCGGTTTTCTGGAATGAAAACTTTTTAGGTTTTTCTGTGAATTTTTCTCTATATAAACCTCGAGAGTTCAAGACATAAGATTTTAATTAACAAATAAAAAATAGGGATTGATCGTAGAGGGGTGAAAATTAAGGGTTGTGTGTATTTTTGTATGTTGTAGGTATCATAAAAAAATAAAAAACAAAAAATTATCTAAAAAATAAAAAAAATTAGGGGTGGACCACCCTTAACATTTAGGGGTTCGAAAGATAGATAGTAACCGATTATCAGACTTACTGAATATGCATAAAAAATTTCATAAGAATCGGTCGAGCCGTTTCGGAGGAGTATGGGAACGAACATTATGACACAAGAATTTTATTATATTAGATTTATAAATAATAAGTTTTTATTATTAAAATAGTTATTCAATGTACCTTTTGGGTAACAAATATATTGAATGAATTATTTGTTTGATTGACGTCTGAACGATATGTTTACAGCTTTACAAAATTTATTTATGGAGAATGGAGAAAGAGAAACTTGGTGAAAGTGTACCCATATGTAAGTATTAATGTAAAGTCAAAGTCAAAAATCATTTATTCATGGTCACACAATATGTATACTTATGAACGTCAAAAAAGAAATGCTTTTAATTTTACATGTAGTGCCAGTTCTCAAATCAAGGGCGTAGAACGGAAGAGAAGAACTGGCAATAAACTCTCCGCCACTCTTTTTAATGGCCATGTTTTTTGTTTTACACAACGTTTGTAAGGTGCTGAATTTCACCATGTACACAATATATCATAAGATGTATACTCATTTGAAGATTTGAACAAAAATTTATTTAAACTAGATTCAATTTTATTAGGAGTCTGCTGATATACCAAAAAGATACTTAAGAAATTGTCAACGTTCTTTTTATTATGTACTTTAATGATATATATTTTACTAGCAGACCGGCCAAGCGTTGCTGTGGCTAAGGTTTTTGTTATATTACATAGTAGTAAACTATTCAAGGGAAACGGTAGGAGAACTTATGTGAAAGGTAGATAGCTTATGCGAAACGTTGGTACTTTTAACACAGCGCCATCTGTTAGAATTGTATCAAATAATAAACAAATATTTGCAATAAAATAATATTGCGGGTATAAAATGAGATGTAAGCTATCGTATCTTTTAAGTTAGATCAAACTGCACACGGTGTGCAAATTTGATTGATATCGGTTCGGTAGTTTAGGGAGTCCATAGCGGACAAACAACGTGACACGTAATTTATATAAATTAAGATTATTAGGCTCTGGTCCTGTTTCGTTTCAGGGCGGCCTCGTCGGAAAATTAAGCGGCCCTTCCACTGCAAAGATCTCCCGGCTTGCGTGCAGTATTTGATTATAGGCGCTGGGGCTGCTGGCTGGGCGGCTTCCAAGTCTATTATCGAACACGACGAAACTGCTAAGGTACACTAACGTACAGGATGCCTGTTGCTACTATTTGTGGCGTCATTTGTTTCATACGAACACGAAACTTGTAAATTAAAAAGTGTTACTCCAGAAATCGTTCAGAACTAAACCAATAAAAGTACTAAAATGGAAATATACAAAATATTAAATAATTTTCTTAATAAACTAGCACTATATATAACCGGTTACCGCCCTTTTGTATATATAAGCATAACTTTTCATAATCAGATATCATTTATCTTGTTAAACAAATAATCTTCGAATGGTACATTCCATATACTGAGTGTTTTTAAGGCAATCTTTAACGCGCACCACCACTATGTGGAAACAGCTGCCCACTGAAGTATTTCCGAACCAATTCGAGTTAGGGTCCTTAGGTCCATCGCATCAATTCTTGAAAGGCCGGCAACGCACTAGCTTTCTGGCAGTGTGAGTGTCCATAGGCGGCAGTATATCACTTAACAATCGTTGAACAGATATTCATGATATCCAAAGAGGACTGCGTGCCATACGATCGACCTCCCATGTCGAAGCACATGTGGTGGAACGCGGAACCACCCGATATCTTGACCCTCAACTATGTGGAGCTGGGAAAGAGACACACGTGAGTATTATTTCTGTTGCCTGTAACGTTAGGATGGAACCAACCAAGCCTCGTTTTAGACTGGAAATAATTTAAAAACCTATACAAGTTTTCGCGGGAATTATGTCATAAGTATATGTATGTCAATTGTTTTCAAAATACAAAATAATAAGAGGTGAACGTAGAGAGGTGAAAATTAAGGGTTGTATGTATTTTTGTTGTTTGTTGTTTTGCTGTATCCTAATACCAGTAGTACTCGATTCTCAGACTTACTGAATATGCATTAAAAATTTCATAAGAATCGGTCGAGCCGTTTCGGAGGCTCGAACATTGTGACACGAGAATTTTATATATTAGGTCCTTACATATGAAATTGGCGTTTTGTATGGGAGGAACAAAAAGTCGAATATTTTTAAATATAATATATTTAACTAATCAAAGTATGAAGCATTGTTTTCTGTGCACTTTTGCCATCTCATAGGTAGTTCATTGATCCCTTTACTAGCTTTTCCATCATGGTTTGCAATTGCTGACAATAGACATTAGCCGTAATAGTCTGGCCAGATTTGAGAAAACTGCAATGAACAATACCGGCACTAGTCCACCAAACGCTTACAAGTAACTTTTTTGGGTTTAATTTTCGCTTGGGGCAGGATTTGGCTGGCTGGCCAGGATCCAACCATTGCGCTGAGCGCTTCCGATTATCGTAAAGAATCCATTTTTCATCACAGGAAATGATTCGGTTTAAAATATCTTCATTATTGTGCCAGTTCAGTAATGTAACGCAGCAGTCGACGCGCGTTTGCCGGTTTGCTTCAGTCAATTCGTGAGGTACCCATCTTTCAAGCTTTTTAATCTTCCCAATTTGCTTCAAGTGAATTAAAACAGTTTTATCACTAACACCGCAGCCTTCAGCTAACTCGGACGTGGTTTGCCATGGATCCGCTTCCACAATACTTCATTATCAACTTGGGTCTCAGGCCGTCCACGGGGCTTGTTCTGCAGGTCGAAAATTCCAGAACGAAAACGTTGGAACCAAAAACGAACTGTGTTTTCTTTTGCAACATGACCGCCATACACATCATTCACCCTTCGAATCGTTTCCGCAGCACTAGTGCCACCGCGGAACTCGTACTCGTAAATAATGCGATACTTTAAGTTTTCCATTTTGTAAAATGAGTGACGCAAACAGAAAAAAACAAATGAATGACGGTCATCGAAGCACAAATACATGAGTAAATAGCTGTACAAATTTGAATTTGGAATTCCTTACCAAAGAGGAGAACATCGTGATTAAAGTGGCCAGTACGAAATACGCCAATTTCATATGTAAGGACCTAATATTAGATAAATATGTATATTGAACTACTGTTAGCAGTAAGTCTTTTTACACATACAAAATTACAATAATTACAAGAGAGTGAAACCAACGGAAAATATAAAAGCTGCTTATTATTTTGAGAAGTTTTTCTTGGCATTTAGTTTCAATTGCATCAAATGAACCTTATTCATCTCTTCAGGATTAGTAATAATTACAGTTTTTTAAACCGGCAGGATGTACCTTGCCCAGTGCCTCGATTTCTTGGACCCTATAAAGTTTTACCGTAAGAAGAAGGGTCCAGCCATTTCCATAGCTACAGGCTGGTGCGTATTGCGAGTGGACGCGGATGACCACGTGGCCTATGTCAAGACGCTGTGCGGGGAACAACCTATATACTACGAGCGTTGTTTGATTGCTCCAGGTTGGTAGTAAAAGTAGTGTTTCTATACTTTTTTTATTCTATATTCGATGAAGATGGAAGTTAGTATATGTGCTATATATATTGGATACCAGTTTCCAATAGAAACCTCTACTACTGCTATCATGGGTATAGGTTTACACTCTATCGTAGGTATACCATCATCATCAGCCGGTAGTAAAAAAAAAAACTTTTTTAAAAAAGTTTGCTAAAAAATCCTAAAAAGTCATAATCCTAAATCATCCCTGAGATCATAGGTTCAATCCCCGGTTGTGCACCAATGGACTTTTTTTCTATGTGTGCATTTAAACTAGCTCGTACGGAAAAGGAAAACATCGTGAGGAAACCGGCATGCCTTAGACCAAAAAAGTCGACGTTTGTCAGGCACAGGTGGCTGATCACCTACTTGCCTATTAGATTGACATATGATCATGAAACAGAAATCTGAGGCCCAGACCTAAAGAGGTTGTAGTGCCACTGATTATTTAACTTATTTTGAATTTTACTAGTGATTCCCTTATCGAAATGCATTATTATTTTTGGATTGTTTTCAGGTTCGAAACCACGGAATTTATCAATATTCAAAAACGCACCGAAGTCAATTCGCGATCGTGTGTGTACACTTCGCACTATACGGGATTTGGAGATCGCCTACCGCAAAGTGAAGAAATCCAAACATGTTACCATCATCGGCGCTGGGCCCCTCGGGTGTGAATTGGCCTGGCATTTAGGAAGAATGAGTAATCCTCTATTGTCTTTTTTTTACCACATTCGAGTCAAACTATTTCTTATTAAACCCAAAATAAAAAAAATATTATACATTAGTAAAAAACGCGTGTATGTACACGCGTTAGAAGTTTACTTCTTAGGCATAACAAGATAAAAATATTTTCAAAATGTTATTCAACGTTTGTAGAAAAAATACGCTAACAATAGAAAAAAGGTATTTAATACATTGAAAGTTGTATTATAACGCATTATTACATAATTAAAGAAATTGTATTTTTTTTAGCAAGTTGCATTATAGATATTGATATCTACTATTTAATTCATCGGTTGGAGTTCAGTGTACATGTGAGTTACAAGATATGACAGCTAAAGTATGTATATTCTAGTATAAACATTGTCTAAATATCGTACAAATACAGCATCAATAGTTGTATAAAAAATGTTGACTATAGCTAACTTCAGGGTGTCGGTTTTTTGTGACGGTGCGCGCGCGCATCGTAAAAATTTACTCTATAATTTTTCCCTAACGCGTCAAATGAAGTATAACTTCAAAAACCCATAAATCATCAAAGTGGGGTAAAAGCCGAACCAATTTTAAATTAAAATAAACAAAAAACATTTGTAAAATTATAACTTTTTTCCAGATAAGGTAGTTGAACGCCCAGAACACGAAGACCCGATTCAGTTCGTGCATATTTACAAGGATCGGGGTATTTTGGGCGGCATCATACCGGAGTATTTGGGGGAGTGGGCAGCTGAGAAGATTCGCGCTGAAGGGGTCACTTGTATGAGGCAGAGTGAGTATCTATGGAATGTGGTTTTGTGTTTGAGATTGATAATTGGAATAGCTACTGAGGTGGCAATTGTAGTTGGCACTGGCCTGAAACAAACATTATTATTGGCAGCTGAATTTCACCATCGGACGTCGAGGCAGAATACGAATTACCACCCGTATCACCTTGACGTTCGTCGTTCCACAAGTAGTTTTTGGGCACCACCACTATGTGGATCCAACTGCCCACTGAAGTATATCCGAAATAATTCGACTTAGGGTCCTTTAAGAAAAGAGCTTAAAGAGCGTATCAATTCGTAAAAGGCCGACAACGCAGTCTGGCAATGTCCATCATACAATTTATATTACGAGTATTATATATTTTTTTGTATAAGTAGGTAATAATTGTTAACTGTGTTTTATGTTTGAATGTAATACACATTGACCGTTTTTGGATGTTGTATATAGTTTTTTATATATTTTATAATAAGTAGCAGTAGGAGTAGGTACTGATAAGCAAATAAATAAATATATAAGATAATAATAACATTTCAGCTCAAGTGTATGACGCCTTCGAGACTCCGGACGGCCGCTTGGAGCTGACGCTGTCCAATGGAACGTCCATCATTACTGACTATGTAAGTTTTAGTATGTTTCATGGTCAAAATTCAAAATTGAAGAATTATTTAATCATATAGGTAACACATTGTACACTTATGACTTGTCAGTAAAGAAATACATATTAATGCTTCTAATTTTACATTTAGTGCCAGTTCTCAAATCAAGGGCGTAGAACGGAAGAGAAGAACTGGCAATAAACTCTCTGCCACTCTTTTTAATACCCAAGTTTTTTGTTTTACAAAACGTTTGTAAGGAGCTGCAACCATTCAACCATGTTCCACATGACATCTTAAGTAATTAATAATAATAACATAAATTAAAAACAAAGAGTTGTCCTCTATCAGCAGGAGGCATGGTGAAATAGGAGCACGCACTTACATTCTCGTGGGAACAACACGCAAACACATTGTCATTTGTCAATCGAATAGGCAGGTAGGTGATCAGTATTCTGTGCCTAACAGACGCCGTCTACTTTTTGCGTCTAAGGCAAGCCGGTTTCCTCACTATGTTTGCCTTCACCGTTCGAGCGAATGTTAAATGCGCACATAGAAAGAAAGTCCATTGGTGTACAGCCGGGGATCGAACCTACGAATTCACGGATGAGAATCGCAGGCTGAAGCCACTAGGCCAACACTGCTCTAACGATCCGTAAATGAAAAATGATTCTTCCTTGATTGTTATTTTTTCCTCCCTTAAGGTGTTCGTAGCGGTGGGTGCGGATCCACGTGTGGAGATAGCGAAGCATTCATACCTGGAGACGGATTCCGTAAATGGCGGATTTCTTGTCAACACTGAACTGGAGGCTAGGACCCACCTCTATGTGGTTAGACTTTCCTTTACAAAAAACATCGAAGAATTTCTTTTTTTTTACAAGAAATAAAATAATTATACCCAAATATGTTGGATATTTCGTCACTGTAGAATGATAACCTTGTATGTTAAAATAACCGTCTATTTTTTATTATCTTATGTCATTTAACTGGTATAATCACGAAGTATTATTAACATAAAAAGTCCTTTTTACCTTCCAAAACTATGGACAAAAGTATATGGCGAAATGATTTTTTTTTTATTTTTGAGGTTATCATTCTACAGTGACTATTTGACTAATTAAATATTATTATGATAGTATTATATAACCAAGTGCTCGATGCTTCTTTGAATTTGAATGCTCGGTTTTGGGAACAAATCATTATTAGTTTTAAAGCATTTTGAAGTTATGTACAAAATAATTTTACTTTGTCCAAAAATTTCTCAGAAACGAAGTCTTATCGAAATTATTTAAAAGAGGTTTATTCCAACTTAGGGTTCAGTTCATCTTGGTAAATAATGGAAAACGTGTTCCATTTACCCCATATGAGTTCAATACAGGCGGGAGACGCAGCCAGCATCTACTCCCAGTGGAAGGACACGAGGATCCGCATGGAGCACTACGGACCAGCAGCCGAGCAGGGCTACATTGCTGGCAGTAACATGACGGGCTATTGGACTCCTTGCAACATGGAGCCCTACTTCAAGTTGTCGTTAGAGGGTGCTTTGGTTATGGAGGTGAGTAGCTCAGGGAGCGTTCAAGTATTACGTCACGCAATTTTTGGAGATTATTGACCCTCCCCCCCTACGTAATGCGCCGTAACGTTTTTCTGTACCCAAGTATAGTAAAACGTTTCGTGACCAACTAGTGACCATTATGTGATGCAAAATACTGGGAAGTCGAAGATAATATTAACAATAACGCGTAGTTCAGTCCCCGCCCCGCATCGTAACGTTTTACAAAAGGACCCCCCTCCAAATTCGTTACGTAATACTTGAACGCTCAAAGCAAACAATTTTTTTAATTTTCTTCATATGTCAAAGGTCGCTTTTACGAAGTAGTAGTTATATTATTATTATTATATTTAAATTTAGACTCCATCGATACGTTTGGTCAGATCGAACCTATAAGAAATAATTCCCTCATTACCCAACTTTTTTTTTCTGCCTCGTAACTAGCTACTACTTAACTTACTAATTATTATAACTTATATATATTACTTAGTTAACCTTTTAATTGGCATTGAAATTTTTGTTTATACATATTTTTATTTTTTCTTTAGATTTTACTTTATTTTAGTTACCTGTTATTTTGTAAATTCTTTATGCACTTCATGTACTTTACCCTCTGTAGGTGTTTCTTTTTCATTGTTCCACTTTAGGGTTGCCTGGAAGAAATCGCTTGTTAGCGATAAGGCCGCCCGTTGCCTTATAACTTATTTAACCTGCTTTTTAAAAATTTTTTATATGTATGTTTTGTATAAGGTAATAAAGTATAAATAAATAAAACAGAAAAGAGAGTCAATTGTTATCCCAGGTGGTAGGCGAAGTGGGAGCGTGTATGCCAACAGTGGGCTTGTTCAAGCCTTGCAGCGATGAAGCCAAGCCGCAAGTGCAAGCTGTCGCGGACAATTCTGGTGGCGGAGACCGACCCTGCTATAAGAAGTACTTTTTTTAACACTTACTACAGGCTAAATTATTCCTAAGAATTTTTATGAATGGCTTGATTAGCCTAATCGCTAGACGCTAGACCGCAATACAATTGGAATTGGCTTTTCTCTTTGCAAGACTGTAAAAGAAATTATCAAACACTATTTTGACCGGATTGAAGTTATGTATTATTATAAATTTACAACTGTTTAACATAATTTTAAATTTATCACGGTCACGGTGACCACGCACGCTGTAAAGCACGCGAAACGTCGGATAAATTTAAAATTATGTTAAATAGTTGTAAATTTATAATAATACATAACTTCAATCCGGTCAAAATAGTGTTTTATTAAATGAATAAAAGTTATGTTAATCAAAGACAATACTAAAAGAAATTATCATTGTATAATAATAATAAGCCTCATTTGTTCCTTAATTTTTTTTACAAAACCAACACTCACTTAATATACATATATTATTTTCAAGGACCTATTCAAGAGGTCTTCTCCAAAATTGGCTCCATCTCTCTCTGTCTTGAGCATTTTCCACCAACTTCCTTAAGCTCATCATTGTATAGATATAAACAGATCGAAGGGCTAAAAGTGAGTGATCATATCAGGCCCATAAAAAATGATTTACGGTCAAGACTTATTAAGTAATTTAAGTCTAAGCTAATTTACTAATAAGAATAATATAAAGGGATGATTTTATAGATCATGTCCATTTGATTTAAATAAATCTGTTAAAATATTGAACATTTCAGCACTTTCTAGCTATTTATGAATGTAATTAAATGATTATTCTTCAATGTAGATAAATGTTTACAATATTCATTTCCTTCTAGATCTGACCAATACCAGAACAGATATAAGCGTGGTCTGCTGTACTATCTTCGAGATGAATATATAGTTGGCATTGTTTTCTGGAATATGCCGCCTTTGGAGGAACGGAAAGACATTGCCACAGAGGTAAAACCGAGATTATATGTCTTGCTTTGTTTATTCGGAATGTTACACAAGTTAATAGAGATAAAGGCAAAAGTTATTATTCATAATATTTAGTAGCTTATCAGATTCACTAAAGATATGGATTCTTAATATGCAGGAAGTCTCTCTTATAATATAAATCTACTAGCTGACCCGGCAAACGTTGTTTTGCCATGTATTTTATATCTAGGAAACATTTTTTAGTTCAATAAACATAACTACTAGACCACAAGCCCCTGAACAAAAAATACCTGTGAAATGACCCAACGTGAATTACGCTTAGAAGGCTGTTACTATATCTGAAAATTACTCTGAGCACTATGCCGTCATTTCTGAGCTGTACATGTGAGTACGTGAGTGAATGGAATTTCTCAGGTACAAATGAGGAATTTCGACTAATTATTAATGTACCTACGGCTTTGTTATAAGTGTATATATAGATGATTAAAAATAAATGTCGAAAAACCTAGTGCCGTACTAAAGTGATGGTACCGGAAGTCGGTACAAATTTTTAATTCGACGATAGTTGCAGAAGCAATATAGGTCATTTATTACTGTACGGCGTTTGTGTAATTCCTTTTGGACACATATACAGATACTTTACCTGTAAACGCCGTACATATTTCCAGCGGAGCGGTCAAAAATTTGCACCGACTTCCGGTACCATCACTTTAGTACGGCACTAGGTTTTTCGACATTTATTTTTAATCATCTATATATACACTTATAACAAAGCCGTAGGTACATTAATAATTAGTCGAAATTCCTCATTTGTACCTGAGAAATTCCATTCACTCACGTACTCACATGTACCGCTCAGAAATGACGGCATAGTGCTCAGAGTTATTTTCAGATATAGTAAGAGCCTTCTAAGCGTAATTCACGTTGGGTCATTTCACAGGTATTTTTTGTTCATGGGCTTGTGGTCTATAGGTATCTACTATCATAAAAAAGAGGTTGATCGTAGAGGGGTGAAAGTTAAGGGTTGTATGTATTTCTTAATGCCACATAATAATTTTTTTTGAGGTTGCCACCCCTTGTCACTTAGGGGTTTGAAAGATAGATAGTAGCCGATTCTGAGACTTATTGAAAATGCATAAAAAATGTCATAAGAATCGGTCGAGCCGTGAACACACGCACTTTCACACCCTTACATTTTCCTACAGACACCTCAACCAATAAATTATAAGTAAATTGTTTTAGTACATATTATTATTATTATTATATTTTCGTATATATTATTATTATTTTAAATTAAAAAATTGTAAATTTATCTCAAACGAAATCAATAAACTGTTAAATAAATAAAATACCTAATACCTTTACAAGGTTTTGCTCTCAAGTTATAATTATTTTATGTACCACTGAACTTTAAAGGCGATTCAATTATTTAAAATACATACAACCCCTAATTTTCACCTCTCTACGATCAACCCCTATTTTTTATTATAAATGATAAACATGGCAAAACAACGTTTGCCGGATCAGCTAGTATTCTATATAATATTGTAATGAATGTCTTCACTTCGGTAGACACACAAATTGTGAGTTTATTATAAAAAAACTTACAGATACTCAGAGCTCGTCCAACATACAAAGAAATAAACAAGATCTCCGAATTGTTAGGCTTCCCCGAGACAGAGTGCGATTACAAGCCAGAAGAACAACTGCGCGTAAGCGCGCCGTGCATAAAGAAGTTAGTATCATTTGAAAGTTACAAAATCTTCTGGCATTAATCTAATATTATTCGACTATTTTAACAATCCCACCAGTGATTGACATCTGAACCTTGGAAATATTCTTAAATACATACTGAATCGAATAGGTGGCAAATGCTTCCTTGCTAACAGAATTTGTTAAAGGCAACTGAAAATTCATGAAAATGTGTTTATTTTGAGTATTATATAATATATGTATATACAATTAATATTTCAAAATAGGGATTTTTAGACTATACATGATGTGTTGTATACTATAAAAATAAGAAACAACAATTTTCATGCGTGGTAACTATATTTAAAGGCTTATTTCAAAAGTCATTAATTTTCTTTTCTTTTACAGCCGGCGTGAATTCTGAATCCATCGAAAACGAAAAATAAATTAAATTGTTTTTGTTTACAAAATAAGAAATCAACATAACTTATTAAACTTTATTTATAAAATCTATTTTTTTAATAATAAATAACAATATATAATCTCACAATTAATAATACTTTTGAATGAAGTAATAAGAACTAAAGTAAACTTAGTCTACATAATCTTGGGCATCTTTGATTCTCATTAAAATGATTGATTTAAAGACTCACCAAATTCAAATATTTCAAGAAAAATTAAATAGGGATGACCTGGGATTCTAAATCTGACTAAAAACCGTTAAACAACCCCCGGATGGTTTGATAAAAATGGCGATAAAATTTAAGAACATAAATTATTATTACTGATATTAATATGTCATCCTATAAAAGAAGGAATTGTATGGAATACTGCAGCGATCTGTTATTACCAATTTTGAACATTGGCTTTTTACTTCTTTTGAAGGATGGGCTGCAATTCGATGTCGCAAAGCTTGCCTACCTAACTTATCTTCATTTCCATAATTTGTATAGTATATGTCTTCTAAAACAAATATATGTAATAATATGTTCAGATCCGGTGACAATTCTTTAGATAAATCCAAGATAATGTTATTTACTTTGTACTGTATCTTTTTCTGTATACCAAAACTATTAATCATCATTTGCCAAGCATGAAAAAAAAGTCTCCATATACTAGCGGAGTATGATTTTACATCTTCACAGAGTATTTTAATACATATCTTGCTCAAGTCTTTCGTAGTTATTTCATAAAGACTATTTGGAGAGCTTTTTTCACATTCAGATAGAACCTTTAAATATTCTCCTGCCAACTTGAAATTAGTTATCATTACATAGTTCTCTTTTATAGGTAACTTTTTATCTAAACTATCAATAAGAAGATTTAGTACAATGGAATTATTCCTCTGTAACATGTCTTTGTAAGACATATGAGAGATTAAAGAATTCATATTGTATCTGACCATAAACAGGCCCGGCGTCTTTCTATTCCACATTGTAAAGATGTTATCCAAAACAGGAAGTAATACTTTTTTACAAGCTTCCATTTTTTTCTCATCTGTGCTCTGTATGGAGATACATTCAAAGAGCATGTTCATAAATGTCCAATCTAATTTTTCAGACCATAGTTGCAAAATTATAGTGTCCTGGACCATTTCAGCTACAAAATCTAATTCAAGAGTGGGTAAGACTTGGTTATAATTAATTTTGGAAACAATTTTATTCATGAATCGCTGGCAGTTACATCTTAAAGGTAATTTTTTTAAGAATTTATAACTGGTTATACAATATTCTGTACGGACAACTAATGGTACCTTTTCAATCTTGCTCAACAAATTATAAATGATTATACTCTCTTGATCTGTTAAACTTTCTATAAGATATTTTAAGTATCTCCACTCTTTTTCTACACAACTATTGTAAGATTTATTACTGTTAATATCATTTTTATTAAATATTTTTAATGAATTGTATGACTTTTTGAAAATGTCTGCACGGACAGAACTGTGTTTTGTATTCCTCCACATACTCGAAATTATTTTTTTGCTATCTTCTCTGTCAAATTTTGTGAAAGCTTGTTCAACGCATAGTTTCTGAACAAATTCAGGCCATTCTTGTAACTCAATACATTCTATAGTCTGTTTAGCTGGCAAACTGTGCAAAACAGATTTTATGGATGATAATGATTCCTGAAGATACATATCTTTACCATATGAAAGTACCAATTGTATTGACGGCTTTGGACGTGCCCTATACATATTTTTGGCAATGAAATGTGGCAGTGTGATGATCTTGGTTTTATTAAATTGGATGATATGATGCTTTGACATACTACACACTATACAGTCTAACATTTCATCTTGAGATAGCAAAGTAAAAATTTCTTTTGAAGGCTGTGAATCCAATTTCGTCATTAGCTCAATTTTAAAATCTTTTGCTATTGTATCAGACCAGAACATTCGTAATTTTGTACAAAATCTTTTCATTGGTTTATCTTCTAAACATAAAGAGATAACAGCTTCCTTGTTTAACTCTAATAATGTAGGATTGTGTTTTAGTACATTGAGACAAGTACCTTCATCACATTTGATTAAAAATGATTCATTAAATAAAATTTTGCGCCAAATTCGATTTCTACTATATATAGTTTTTAAGGCTTCTTTTTTTGATGTATCTTTCATAGACTCAACCAAACTTTTAATTTTGTTAACTATCTTTGGATTATTCTGCCAATTTTCACCCCAATCTTGGAACAATAATAAAAGACTTTCAAGACCCCATAATACATCTTCATCTTCACAATTTTCTATATGCTTTTCTGCTAAACTGTACAAAAATGTGAACACTTTTTTCTTTTCCAGTTTATTAAACTTCTTTTGCTCTGATTTAAATTTTTCAGAAGTTGAGAATTTTGAAAGTATTTTGTCAGGTACTCCTTTGTCATTCAAAACATGGTATATTATAATAGATTTTTTGCAGGCTTCTAAATGTTTTTTGTTTTCATTATAGACACCAATTTGTATATAAATGTTATTAAGGAGTGTCCATGTTTCTTCTGTAAATGTAAATGTTTTAAATTTGTTAATAACACCATGGATAAATTGTAAAATGTATTTTTTTTGGGGCTTTTGGTCACCTAGACCTTCATGGAATTCCTCCAATAATCTTTTCAGTTGTTGTTTATTATTTGGCTCACATTGTGATAATTTTCTGAGAAAATTACCTTGTTTGTTTAATTTTAGTAAGGTTTCACGTTTTTCTTGTGAAAAGAGTTGATTGACCTTTTTGTTACTTTCATATTTTAATAGAAAACTTTCTAAATCTTCTTTTTTTATATACTTAGCAAAAGTTTTACTATCTATGAAATCCCCATATCTATCGAAATTATTCAAGAGACATTGTGGATATCTTTTCATCACCAATTTAGTGTACTTAGCATTTAAAACAGGTAACTGACCAGTTTCAACACTATCTAAAATTTTAAAATACTCCTCACCATATTTGCATAAAGTAAACATGGCCTTTTCAAGCATTGGTTTTTTCCAATAGAAACATTTTACATAAACACGTAAAGGCTCCATTGTAAACCATAAAAGCCTTAAAAATATGTTTTCAGGAATTCTGTATATATCTTGATCTAATCTTGATGTTATAAAAGTAACAGAGCAATTGGGTAACCATTTCATTGCAGTAATCAAGTCGATACCAACAAGATAGATAAAGAATTTCTCACTACGGCTTGGATCTTTCAGATGGAGTCTAATGTGAAGTAGCAACTTATTCCTTGCTTCTGTCAACATATAAGGCAAAAGTTCGTTATGCAAGTAGTGTGGACTTATAATTTGTTCATATTGTGGATCTTGAATTAACCATAATGAGTGTTTAATAGCTCTCGATACATAGAGCATGTCCTCACACTTTAAAACATTTAGTATAAAATCAACATTCCTATTGTGACATGCTATTTCAATTTTTAATAAATTTTCTACATCTGATTGACTATAATCTATATTTTTGATTTCTTGGTGATGCTTCTGGATACATAGTTTATTAAAATATTTATGTTTCTCCCCAAGTGTTACTCCTGAGATAGACATTTTTGGTTGTAGCTCACCTGTAATGGCAAAGGAAATAAATTTTCAATGTACTAAATTTAAAAATTACTATTATTGCAATTTCTAATGTTGTGAAATAGTAGGGGTGTTAGCTTCGGTTATCTTAAATATTGTGCAATTTTCCAGTATTAGTCATCTTAATAAAATAACGCATACTCAATACTGATATATAGAGCCATCAATCAGATAACTTTTGAAAAATCGTAAAGAGGACCGGTTTAATTCTATTAATCTTTACTTACATAAATCACGATAATCACTCAGATTTATGTACTCACTATATTCAATTATTGCAGTTTAGGATTAACGAATTACTAGTAACGATAACGTATAGAATTATGTATTATTATTATACAGTAAGGTACGATGTATGAAAGTGCTTAGTGCACTTTCAATTTTTAATTCTAAATCGCCCGGCTTGTTGTGACTTGTGATTACAGTATAAAGTATAAACATAGTTCACTTCACTTCACTTTATTTATAATGGCGACATCTGTGTAAATCACAATTCCGCCAATGTCACGTTCTAAGTCTTCACACAGTGAGGATAGATTTGATAATTTTGATAGATTGAATTTTATCTAAGCAGAGTTACCCAAAACCAAAATGACATCACTGATCACAATAAATACAACACACACAGACATCTAATAATATATACAAGAGGTTAACATTTTACTACAAGGTATGGAGGGGAGAATCTTATTTATAACTTTAATTTATTTACAGAAATAAATTTCCCTAAAATTTTGACGATCGAGCTGGATGGGAGGGAAAGTAGGGAGTTAAGGTTACATGGACGAGGGAAATCTGAAGAAAGATGGTCAAATAACGAGTCATTAATTAAAGAACAGTTAAAAAATATATGGTCTGTCGAGCCCTCGTCCATACCACACTCACAGAGAGAACGGTCTTTAATTTTAATTTTGGCTAGATGAACGGGAGTACAAGTCGTCGGAAATATCTGCGAACCTGGCTTAATGACGTCATACAAACTGGAGAGATAGCAAAAAAATTGAAGATGTAAAAATAAAAAATATTTTATTTGTGTACTTATTTTTATTGATACTCGTACCTACTTGAAATTTACAAATACTTATTATTTACATTATTTAAAATTCAAATTATTTACAAATTTACAAATAATACAAAGAAAAAGTAGAGAGGAAGAGAAAGTGGCGAAACTATTCTAGAAAAGCCTCGACACCAGACATGGTAGCGCTGTCGTTTTCGTCATCTTCTATATTATCACTCAAAATGTTGTCTTCGGTTTCGCTGTCACTGTCTTCTCCTCCTAATGAAATTATTAATTCGCGTTCTTCATGTTCATATAATCTGTCATTATGCCAAAACTTATCTCTTAAGCGATCAACATGGTTGCATTCTTTTTTCCAATCTTCCGGGGTTATACTTTGGATCGCTGCCTTTGTTAACCTTTCTATATCTTTTTCTGATTGGTCAATATTTTTGTCTGCCACCCTTTGTTTCATCAAATTCCAAACATACTCAATAGGGTTGAGATCACAGTGGTAGGGTGGCAGACGTAATACCTCATGTCCATGAGCTCTAAATATTTCATCGATGAAATATACCTTCTCAGGTTTATTTCTTTGAATCAACATATACAGTTCTCTTTTAGTCATTTTGTCATCAAATTCGATGTTGTGTTCTTGCAGCCATGTTTGCATTTCGTTTTTACGTGCACTGAAATTTGGCGGCTTATTTGCCTGCTTACTGTGATAGGGCGCGTTGTCCATGACAATTATTCCGTTGGGTGGAAGGTTCGGTATCAATTTCTCTTTAATCCATTTGGTAAAATTGGACGCATCCATTTCGTCATGGTAATCACCGGTTGTTGATTTACACTTATATAGGAGCTCGGCTCCTTGTATGAAACCGTTCTCATTACCTGCGTGTACCACAATCCAGCGCTGACCAGGAGAGTGATTTATTCGGACACTGGAATCACTACTATTTTGCCAACATTTTGAGACAGTATAGTGTGAATGTATCCAGGTTTCGTCGATAAATGTAACTGGTTTTTTTTCGGCACCACGTTCGTCATTTTCTTTCAGTCGCCTTAAATATTTTGCTCTCCAGGCTGCTATTTCAGGTCTTTGCACCAAAAAATCGCGTTTTCGTTTACATTTTTTAAAGCTGTACCCCAAATCATTTATTAGTATGTTTCTTAGGGCGTCTTTTTGGCCGGGAAAGTTGAGCTCCCGTTTTGCTATTGTAAGAATCTTTTTTAAGTAGGTATTTCTTTTCTTGTGGTATAAAAACTTTCAACCAAAGAGCGTATCGCGCATAAATCAAAATTATCTAGATCTATTTTCTTTTTGTATTTTTTACGCTTTTTCCCTGGTGTCGAGAGCTTGATAGTGTCCGTGGCAACTGAAGCTGAAGTACTAGGTTGTGGATGCTCACCATCTTCGAAGGACGTCATGTCTTCCTGAACATTCGCTGCTCGCGCTGTTTCTGTTTGTATTTTTTTGCTTCACGTTTTATTGTCATTATTGTCGTTTTAGATAAACCAGTTGCAGCACAAGCCCTTTTTGTTGCTTGTTCAACCGGCACAGTGAAAGAGCCGTGTTTTTTTTCATTTTCAAAGAATTGGATTACTTTGAGCACTAAATTCCGCTCTGCACTATGTATAGTCCTACCCATCTTACATACAGCACTAAATAGGTAGTTTATGTAATATTTCACCAAACAGAGAAACAATAAACACTAAAATGCGATTACGAAAGCAAGAATAATACACGTGCGTCGGCGATTGCGTTGGCAACGGTACTGGATAGGCGAAAACGGGGCGGGGTGCGGGGAAGCGCCAGGGGAAGCGCATTCCAGCGAGGTTCGCAGATATTTCCGACGGCTTGTACAAGCGTGCCCTATACGAAGACGGCAGATTATATATATATTTTTTTTTTAATAGAATGGGGGGCAAACGGGCAGGAGGCTCACCTGATGTTAAGTAACACCGCCGCCCATGGACACTCTCAATGCCAGAAGGCTCGCGAGTGCGTTGCCGGCCTTTTAAGAATTGGTACGCTCTTTTCTTGAAGGACCCTAAGTCGAATTGGTTAGGAAATACTTCAGTGGGCAGCTGATTCCACATAGTGGTGGTGCGCGGCAAAAACTGCCTTGAAAAACGACCAGTTGTGGAACGGCGGACGTCGAGGTGATACGGGTGGAATTTCTTATTCTGTCTCGACGTCCGATGATGAAACTCAGCTGCAGGTATGAATCCGAACAACTCCTCTGAACACTCTCCATGGTAAATGCGGTAGAAGATGCAGAGTGACCCCACATCTCTACGCAACGCCAAAGGATCAAGCCGCTCGGAGAGGGATTGGTCGTCGACGATTCGAACCGCTCTGCGTTGTATACGGTCAAGTGGAAGGAGCTGGTACTGGGGAGCCCCCGCCCAGAGGTGAGAGCAGTACTCCATGTGGGGCCGAATTTGCGCTTTATATAGTTGCATGCGGTGGCCCGGAGTGAAGTACCGCCTCGCCTTGCTGAGCACACCAAGCTTTTTGGAGGCTAATTTAGCCTTTCCCTCCAAGTGACCGCGAAACTGAACGTCGTTCGATATGTCAACGACAAGTATTCCAATGCTGGCTATGGCTTTAAGAAGAGTGTTTTCGAAAAGAGGAGTAGCGACAAAGGGTGTTTTTTTAGCGGAAAACGCGCAAACTTGTGTCTTCTTGGGGTTAAATTGGACTAGGTTTTGTCTGCCCCAGTCTGAGACTCCACGTAGTAGAGTTTCGACTTCAGACACAAGTTTGTTCCGGTACTCATCAACAACTGCCCGAGAAATACCTGCCCGGCCAGTGTGAAAAGTATCCCCAGTGCTGTCATCCGCATAGCAATGAATGTTGCTAAGTTGCAACATATCATTGATACGCAAAAGAAATAGGGTCGGGGATAGAACACAGCCTTGTGGGACCCCAGCGTTCACAGGTTTAAGGTCGGAACATGCTCCGTCGATGACGACCTTGATGCTCCGATCGGCCAGAAAGCTGGAGATCCAATCGCATAATTTCTCGGGAAGCCCATAGGCTGGAAGCTTCGAGAGCAGTGCTCTGTGCCACACCCGATCGAAGGCTTTCGCTATGTCCAAACTTACCGCCAGCGCCTCCCCCTTGGACTCAATTGCCTCTGCCCACCTATGGGTAAGGTATACAAGGAGGTCACCAGCTGAGCGACCACGACGAAAGCCGTACTGAGAATCGCTAATCAACTGGTGGCCCTCTAGATACCACAAGAGCTGGCAATTAATAATGGTTTCCATTATTTTGGAGAACAAGGAGGTTATAGCTATTGGGCGATAGTTGGACGGATCAGAGCGATCGCCTTTTTTAGGGATCGGATGTATCGAAACGGTCTTCCAGCACTTCGGGACAGTGCCGAGCGAGTACAGGTACCGGAAAAGGCGCGTTAAGACCGGAGCCAACTCAGGAGCACAAGTACGCAGCACAATTGGGGGGATACCATCCGGCCCGCTCGACTTATGAATGTCCAAGGAAGATAGTGCTTTGCGGACAGCACGTTGCCGGAATGTGATTTCCGGCATCGAAAAATCACACCGCGAAATGGTCGGTGGTGATCTTCCTTGGTCATCCAAGGTCGAGTTGGACGCGAAGAGACAGCCCAAAAGGTCGGCCTTCTCCTTCGCAGTGTGGGCCAGAGAGTCATCCTCCCTGTGCAGTGGCAGAATGGCGGGCTGACAAAAATTCCCTTGGACAGCTTTGGCGAGAGACCAGAAGGCTCGAGTCCCTGAAGGAGACTTTGCCTTAGTGATTTCCCGTTTGAAGGACCTGGAGGCTGAGTTATATGCTGTTTTAAGTTCGCTGGTATTGGCATCACGAGATTTCGCCGCTTCCGCCCATGCATTAAAGCATTCTCGCTTTCGACATGAGGCCGCCTTGCAAGAACGTTTAAACCAGGGCTGAGACTTGCCACCGATCGGCACCGCAGAA